CGTCCGCGGGCGCGCTGGCCGTGGCGCTGTCGGGCTCGCCGGCGCCGCCGCCGCCGCATCGCCTCGGCTCGGCCATGCCGGCGCGGCGAGCCCGGCAGCGCCGTCCCCCGCGGGCAGCCCGGCTCCCCGGCGCAGGCTCCGGCCCCTCGCGCGCAGATCTGCCCCCGTGGAGAGGGGCTGCCGCGATCGCGCCCGGCGTCGCTTCGGAGAAGCGGCGACAGGAAATTACTGAACGGGCTCCAAATTCCCCGTGTGAAGGCACACAAAAGGTGCTCTCGCTTTCTCTCTCTCTCTCTCGCACATGCGCGCGCGCACACACACACACACGCACACGCAGGTCACGAAAGTCCAAGATAAGGATCAGAGAAGTGGAACTGTTGCTGGCTTCTTGGCCGATGATGCCTTTCACACCGTCTGAACGATTTCCCGTTTATTTTTCCATGTATGAGCAACCCCGGAACGTGGCTGTGGCACAAGGCAGGGCTGCAGCTGCAACTTCTGTGACTACACAAACCGTGTGCGTGTCTGTCTTTTCCTTCTGGCAAACCATTCCCGCACTGCAGTCTCCCGTTTTCCTCATCCCCATCCCTAGTAAAGCATTGCCCACATCTTTTTCGCTCTGGGGGCAAGAGGCAGCTGCGGGGGGGGGGGATCGGTCCAGGTGCGGGGGCTGCTAGCATGTGTCATTCTTTGCAGGTTGATCTTCAAGTCGGGCCAGGCTCCTCTTGCACCCAGGTCGCATATGCGCCTGATCCAGAGGTGTGTTCACATCGGTAGATGCTGGACTTCATATTCTTCTGGATCCCCCCCTCTGTGAGTGGCAATGGACCTTGCTTTGCTCGCTTCAAAACAGCTCTGGGGCCCCCCAGAGGCAGGACTACATAACGAAGAACTGGGCTTTCACTCAGGACCAAAACAATGCATCTATTTTTGCACGTGGCACTAGATTTTCAGGGAAGGGAGAAAATGAACCTCCAAGAGGCTGACTTGGAATGAAGACCACTGTGGCCCCCGTCTCTTTATTTCAGCAAGTGTCATGGACAGCAGGGTGGAGGGGCAGATCCGGAGTCCAAGCCCTAACCCTGCTTCCGGCCCTCCGCATTCTGCCAAGTGGGGCCCCAAGCTTCGGCCCCGAACTCTGCCCTAAGGACACCACGCCACCTGCACCTCTTCTTGGGTGGCAGGATTCTTATTTTCTGGATGCAAATTGCGATTGTGGTAGCTGTTGTTGCTACGGGCTGTCAAGTCATCTCTGACATACGGTGACCGTATGAACGACAGCCCTGCTTAACTGCTCGAAATTCAAGGTTGCGGCTTCCTCTATGGAGTTAATCCATCTCATAGCTGATCTTTCCTTTCTCCTTCTGCCGTCAGCCTTCCCTAGCATGACCGTTTTTCCCCAGAGAGCTTCTTAGGGCATACCCAAAGCAGCACAGCCTCCCTTTTGTCATTTTGGCTTCTCGGGAAAGTTCTGGGTTGCTTTGATCTAGGAGCCACTCGTTCGTTTTTCGGTTGGTCCAGGGATTTTCAAAGCTCTCCTCCAGCACATCAGTGGCTTTTCCCGTTAGCTTTTTCCACGGTCCAGCTTGCACATCCATACGTAGCCATCAGAAATACAACTTGCATGGCCTTGGCCTCCTGTGGAACATCCTTATCCTAAATTATCTTTTCTAGTTCCTTCATTGCTGCCCTTCCATATCTCAGTCTTCTTTGAATTTCCTGGCTGCAGTTTCCCTTTGAAATGATGACAGGGCCAAGGTATACAATTTCACAATTTCTATTCATTCATTATTACCAGAAAAGTTACATAATTCTTCTGTAGTTAGGATTTCTGTTTTCTTGTTATTCAGCCACAGTCGTGCCTTTGCACTTTCTTCTTTCAAAATATGGGATGTGGAGCGAGAGGTAGATGTCTGTTTATATAATCATTTGAGGACATGTGTATGAGCCTCTTTTCCTGATCATTTCAAACTTTCTCTCATCTAGAACAGAAAACATTTCAGCTTGTTTGGTTTGATTGGCCTGAAAAGGCCTTCAAAGAGCAGCTGCTAGCTAATCCACCCCAAGTAGCAAGAGACAGAGGAAAGCATTTCATTTAGCTGTGTTTTATTTTCTGGTTGCTGGGATTTCAGAGTTAATGCTTAGGAGAATAGATCCCTCTAGGATGTTGGACAGGTGTTCTGGAGACGTTATGATAAGCCTGCAGCCTTTTAATTTAAAGATGGAGGGCAGGGGAGGGCAGGGAAGACTGCATTGGGAGACAGTGTTGTCTATTCACCACAAGTCCATTTGATTTGGGAGGATTATTTATTAGGTTGATATCCTGCTTTTTTCTTATCACCAGCTCAAAGCAGCTTACATCATTCTCCTCCCCCTGCTTTCAGTCTCATCCCCACAGAACAATTCTGAGGCAGACTGGGCTGGGGGTTCTGTGATGGCCCCAAACCCCCCTAGCAGGCTCCATGGCCATGTGGAGACTAGAACCCAGCTCGTCAGAAGCCCAGCCCTGCACTCTGAACCCGTACACCACGCTGGCTCTCTACATGTTTAGAAGGGCTGCTAGTTAGACTGAACAGCTCTCTGTTCTGAGCATCCAGGTTCCTTCACTTCAGCTGCTATCCCGAGTGTAAAACCTCCGATGTATTTTTGTGCACATCTATCTAAATGTAGGCACATTGTACCCATTTCCCCAAATATACGCACTTCTGCATGCACTAAATAGAGGGCTGTTTTGCCCATTAGATCTGTTTTTCAGCACACATTTTCCTATTCACAGCTACGTTTATTTTAACCATTTTTGCATACATTTCCCCCAATCCTACACATTTTCCGGGCCTATTTTGATTTGCAAACAGCATTGCAAAATTTGGGAAAGCATGAATATTGCCGCAGGGTTGCGTTTCAGCTGATGCATGGGTCCAGGAAGTGCACATTTCATAAATTCATATTAAAGCATGATTCCTACAAATTCCTTAGCTGTTTAGTGCAAGGATGTTGACTGGGACCAGTTGGTGGGAATCTGTTTTGCCAGCTCTGAAAGGCAATGTTAGCTTCTGGCCTATTTCTGGGCATAATCCAGGATTTAGGGCTTGGGTACCTGAAGGAATCCCTGCTACTGCACCAAACTTGTTGAGGCATGTGGAAGTTGTTAAATGTCTGTTTCTGGAACCTGAGATAAGGCAGATATGTAAATCAGCATATAATTGGGGTGGGGGTCCTGGGGTCCTCTAGACCTCAGCCTTGGATCTTTTTGTTTTTCACATTGCCCCAGCTGCTTCTGCTTCTTTGGTTGGCATCACCAATCATTTTATTCTTGTTTTTAAACCACCTTGAAACTGTGGATATAAGGCTGTATGGACCATGTCAAAGCTGATAAATAAATGCAAAGAGAGAGAGAAAGAGAGAGAAGGAAATGACTGATTATCAAGGTGACCACAAACATCCCCCAAGGTGATTGTTGTTCCTTGGTAGCACAGAAAAGAACATGGCTAATTAACCAGCATCGAGATAAAACCAATGGAATTTGTGACCTTCCACACTTAAAACGCAACCTACTAGTCAAATTAGCTTGACCACACTGGGCTTTATCAGCCTCCAAACTTTGGCTCCTAAAAAAAACCCCCAAAAAATAAAGCAGCATGATGGGCCATCCTTGAGGGACATGTTCAGCATGATGGGCACTGGAGCAAGGTGGGCGCCCTCCTCTCCTCTCCATCCCTCTCTTGAAGATGCCCCTCTGTTGCAATACACCTCTCTAAGGGTAACTAGCACACTGTTTTGTCATGAAGTCACACATATTAAGTTCTATTTCTGGGCCAACCACATCCTGTTGCTGTTTCTGGGGTATCTGTCAGAGCTCACTAGAGGTGAGCTCAAGGGGATTTACCAGAGGAAATGGGGCAGCGATGGAAAGTACCAAAAACTTATCTTGAGTTTCAGCATGCAGTGCAGCCTGCAATCCTGCCTTCCTTTAGCAGGGAGGAAGCTCTATCGAACTCAGTGGGGCTTACTTCAGAGTAGACACGCAGGGACTTGCATTCACTTCTTCCCTTTTTTTCTTTCTTTTAAAAGGAGATTATAGCAAGCAGTCCATCTTTCATTGTACACAAAATTCTTCACCCTGTTGTAGCTGAAGAAATCAGTGGGAGACAGGTAACTAAATAATTGTCTCTAGGATGAAGATAAATTTTCCAGCAGTTTCTTGATAATGGTCCCCATTAACAATGGCAGTCACACAGCTTCTGCCTCCCCGATCCCTGGCAAACCATTCCTCCTTTTCTGTCTTGCTTCTCCAAGTGATAGTAGGAAGAGAAGCAAGCAGCCAACCTGGAACTCTTGTTCTTTCAGGGCATTGTGTGTTTGCCCAGTTGGGGTGAGAGGGTGGCTCCCACAATGACAACATCGCCATGTTGGAGAACATTCTGCAAAGTGCCCTTTTTCTAGCGGGAGTTGGAGGGGGCACAGGGAGAGAAAAACAATATTCTCTGGAGTGTCCTTAGAAAAATGTCTTGGAGTGTGTGGCAACACTGTGGGACAGAGTACTCTGCCTTACACCAAGCTGCAGCCCAAACTATTTAGAAGACTCCTCCTCAAAGGGAACCATGGATACCAAATTGGGGGTGGGGGGAGCAGCTTGGTCATGTGCGTGCACGGCACACACCCTGCAAGCAGAACTTAGTGCCGTGCTGATTGTTGAGCCAGGTCGGTGTTCTTATTTGCAAAAAAAAAAAAAAAAAACAGGAAGAAAGGTGATAACTTTTATTTGAGTGAAGAGGGTGAACAAGTGGAACAGAGGTGGGTTCTTGGTCAATTACTAGTCTGTAGCTGCCCTGTGGATTAATATATAATGCATCTGATATGAAATACCCAGATTCCAAGTCTTTGCCATACTCGTTGAGGCTCAGAACACTTTTCCTCTCCATCCTCTCTCTTTTGCTGTTTTCCACTTCGTGTTATTCCGTTTCAAAGATCTTTTCACAATCCTACCTTTAACTCACTGATTCATTCAAACACAGACTTCTCAGGTATTTCTTCCCCCTTCCCCTCTCAAAAGTGCTGTTTAGTATCCAATGAGGTCCAGCTATGAATACCAAGAAACGTCAGGGTAAAATTGCAGAAATGCAGGTTCCAGAGTTGCAGGTCATAAGCTGCTGGAGAACGCCGAACTGTCAGCACTCAACAGCCATTGATAAAAAGATCTTCTGCAAATTCTTCCATTGTCTCTATAAAGTCTTGGCAAGAATTGCAAGGTGAACTTTCCGAAGGCCACCATTCAATCCAAGTCATGGCATCTAAAGGATACTGGAATCTACAAAGGGAGGAGGAGAGCTTTTTTTGGTAAAGAAAAGGATGAAGAGGTTGCGGATTGCTGGAGGAATCACTAGTGACATGACGGGACACCTTTGAGATTCTTTTCTGCTGGTTCTTGAGAAAGGCCCCAGAAAGAGAATGGAAATCTTTCCAAGCAAAATGACATGTGATACTAAACACAGGGAGAGCTGCTAAAATGCAGCTTTCCAATGTGTCCTGGACTGAGGTTTTCTGCACCTCTGGCAACAATGCAGTGCAAGGAGAAAGGCACAGTATTGGTCAGAACCAATTACATCACACGTGGTGCAGGATGATGGGGAAATTAAACCCAGGACTGCCTTTTTTTAGGGCTATTATAAAATTTAGTTCCGCCCTGTAGAGGACAATTTTTTTTTCTTGTCTTTATATCTACCCAACCCCTTCCATCAGAAAAAAGAGATGATTTTGGAGGAACTGAAATGACTACATGAAATGATGTTTTGCACAATGCCAAAAGGAAGAATTTGGGCCATCTCGGAAGTCCTATTTTTCCTGTTGCTGTTCCACTGTTCCAAACACTGGTGCTATGAACTCACATTCTGCCAATAATATTCCCTGTCATAAGTACCACTGCAAGAAGACACCCGAATTTCTCGCCCGTATGGTTGGTTTCTACATACAAAGATTTTTTTTTTTTAATGCGAGAAAATCCTCTGCGGTAGACCCAGACTTTGCCATCCTTACAAAACTGACTACTAAAATCAATAACTGTGAAATGAAACTGGATAATGCAATCCAAGTTAAACATCTGCAATTAAAGTGCCCCTGGCTTTGGTTGGTCTGCTTTACATGCATGACTAGGCCTGGGCTCAACCTTCTCTCTGAACTCTGCAAACATTTGTGCTCTGATTCCCACCAGCAGAAGGGAATTCTGACATGCGATTCCAGCAGAAATCTTAAGAGTCGGAGATCAAAACTTCACAAGCCACACCAGCAAAAATACACCCCCATGGGGAAGAATCCTGGCTTGGAGCGCCAGCGGTCCACCCATGTGCTTTCCACTGCATGCACCATTCTGCTTTCTCCCTACCCTCCAACAAGTTTTCTGTGTCTCACTGCATTCCATTGCGGCTAAGACGCAGTCAGTTGTCACTGCACTGTTTGGACTTCCCACTCTTTTGAGGGTTTTTTCCTCCTCCTCAGGAAAGATTTGGTACTTCTGCAGACCCTGGTCCCCAACAAACTGGCCCCCAATGAACCTTCTGGTGGTTGAACATATGGGGCCAAACAGACAAACTCACTCCCCCCCCACACACACACACACCCCAGCGTGCCAAATAGCATCCCCTCGCATGCATGGAAGGGGCTTCATTCTGGCTACAGAAATGCCTATACCCACACAAACTTGGAAACAGAGAGAATGTTCCTCACAGAGACACTCAGCCAGGTGGCAAATGGTGGAACCCACAGGAAATCTGCCCCCTATGAGGGCCGTGGATGCAACCAAGCAGCAGAGTGCCGATGCTCGTTTCTGACACAGGGGCCTCTCTGCTAAAAGAATTGGCCCTTGGTGCCTCTGCACCATGCCCATGTGCATGGAAGGAAGGATGCCTGCGCATCCAAACGGCCGCTTGCTTACTTGGCGTTGATGCCTTCTCCTATCTTCAAGGCTTCCTTCCCCATGATCAGGTAATCCTCTCTTGGCTTCAGCTGGACACTCATGCAGGAGGTCTTTTTAATAAAGATGATTTCTGCATTCTTCTCCGCAAAAGTCTCCCCTGGAAGAGAAACAAACGAAGTTAGGAAGAACCAAAAGGCCGGCAGACGGAACCGTCTTTTCTTTCCCAGGAAGTCAACCTGGCTAAATGCACCTGCAAAAGGGAGAACCCGCAGCTTCGTGAATTTGCGTGTGTTGGCCTGAAGCCTAACGGCTGTTCTTGGGCCATGGAAGGGATGAGCTGGGGACAGAGGGGGTGAATCAGCAGCTGGGACACCACTGGGGAGGAGGGGAATGTCACAGCACACGCTCGCTGTTACCACTAATCCGTTTAATTTAAAATTCATTTTGCAGTCCATTGTGTATGCTCCTTGTAAAGCTTTTTGAGAACTGATGAAATACAAAACAGCATACACATGGCCTTAAATACAATTTATATTCTATTAAAGGGAGATGGGTGGGATGACAGGGAAGTCAGATTGGGACTAGGAAGCTCCAGGATCATGATCTTCACTCAGCCCAGAAGTTCATTGGTGGTCTTTAGGACAACCTCTAGATGTCAAAGACTTCAGCTCCCATGAGCCACAGTCAGCATGGTCAATGGCAGTTGTAATACTAAACACTGGGGAGCACGAAGTTGAAGAAAGCAGGGCTAGCATGAGGGGCCAGTGCTTGGGACAACCAGGTTCAGGGCAGTCCTCCAGTCACTGAAGCCCACAGCAGCCTTTGGGTCGGCCACCATGGCTCGGATGGTTGTTGTGTGGATAGAAGGGTAGAGGAGAAGAACCTCGTATATGAATGCACATTTGCTAAATCACTAGCTCTGTAACAGAAGCAAGCCACATGCTACAGGAGAAAACACAGGCCTTGTTAAGATTTTTGGACCTTTCTATCTCCAGCCAGTTTAGTTTTGATGGTTTCCACTGAGAAAGATAAATCCCGCACCAGTTTGTAGCCATTAAGAACATCTGGGACAGAGTAAGACTTCCTTTGGCTGCCAAAGGCCAGGGGCAGAATAAAGGGGAATGGAGGTGATCTCCCATCCTGCTCATAAGCCTCTACAGAAGAAAGACCCTGCAGCAGATAGACTCTGGCCCCATCCAGTGAGGTAACCTTACAGCTGGCTACAGAGGAGGGTTAGTCCGACTTAGAACAAGCTCACTGAAATCCACAGGACTTCTGCCCGCTGTTTTCTTAAAGGACTCAGCCTGGATCCAACCCAGCACCGTTTTGGGTTAGGAAAAGAAGCACACTCACCTCTTTTGTAGAGATCCAGGAGAATTGCAGTGTATTTAATGAAGCTTCCTTCTTCCCTCAAGGCCAGGATGTTCACTTTATAGACTGGAGGAGGAAAGGAAATATTGTTGCTGCTGCTGCTATTACCACTGTTCAATAATAGTGAGTACTGGACTGGGACTCAGGAGATCTGGGTTCTTGTCCCCCACTCAGCCATAAAGTTTTCACTGGGGGACTTTGGGTCTACTCTCCCTGACAGGGTTGGTGTGAAGGGGAAGATTATGTAATCCACGGGTTCTTTGCAAGAGGAAAAATAAGCAGGATTTAACTAGAATAAATAAATATTAAGCAATCGTTATTAACACAATTATTATTAACATGAGCCTGGAGGAATGTTGTCCATGGGGTTGCGATGGGTCGGACACAACTTTGCGACTAACAACAACAACATTAATGTTATTAATTATAATTAAGGTTAATATTAATAACTACCATTTAATTTAATTTAAAAATTATTTTTGCTACTACTAAGTCTGCTCCTGGGCAAGATTTTGTCCTTGGGTATATTCGTTTAAAACCAGATGTTCAAAAGGCTCTCCTTTTTTGCTGGGTCAGGACTGGGAGCTTTCTCCCCTGCCTCTTGCTATCGTTCATTTTCTCTAGGAGAGTTTGGCTGAGAAAGTCACCTAGGAAGTTTCTTGGCTAAGCTGGGACTACTAAATCATAATCCAAAACTCAAGCCCACACCATGACCCTGAAACAGTATTATATTTTATTTTTTTACAGGTGTATTTTAAGATTTGGAAGGCTACTGTGCTTTAAACCCATGAAACCCATGAAGGGTGTTTTCACTCTGCTGTTTTAATTGCTTAGTATCTCGTCATCACTTTTAATTCAGTCACTGGGTATGTTTGGTTTCAACTTGCATTTTAAAACAACCCTGGATAGATATTATAAAGGATGCCTTACAAAATACCTTAAACACAATAAAAGCCAGGATCACCTGCCGAGAAGGTTTGGCAGCCCTGGGTCTCAAACTAGAACATGTTAGATGTTTCAGACTACAACTCCCATCACTCCCAGCACCATAGCCATTGGAGAGGGAGAATGGGAGCGGTAGATATGGCGTCTGGGTGGTGCTTGGTTGTGGGTGACAGCACTGGGGTTTAGCAGGCAGATTGGAAGCCACCAGACTCCCCCTTGATCCATCTAGCCTAGCTTTGCTGACACTGGCTGGCAGTCAACACTCTCCAGGGATTTTCACAGCCTTGCCCCTGAATTTGGGGTCTTCTGCATGCAGAGCAAGGGCTTTGCCACGGATACTTGCTTTCTCAGAGAGCAACCCTACACTCCCTGGGTGAGCACCCACCATTGCTTTTATTCAGAGGTCCCATCAAAGTGATGCTACTTATAGCCTCATTTTTGGTCATGGCTTTGCAGGGAGCGGGGAAAAACCAGCCCACGACGGCTTGTGTCGCAGGTTCGGAGCTGCCGCACCACGACTGTTGTTTGGCCTGTATGCGGCATGCATCAGCTGCTCCCAGCTTACCGTATGCAATGTCATTCTGGCAAGCAGCTTCCTTCCGTGAATCGCTGCTTATTAATCGGTCCAGCCTGGTTTGCATGCGCCCACATTCCGCTGTGAATGGGGAAAATAACAGAGAATTAATGAAAACTGGATCACCTTTTCCAAGTTCCAAGACAGGGCCATGACTAGAAAGAGCGAGGCCCAAGTTCAAATGCTGACGCAGCTGTGAAACCCAATGGACATAAATTAAATGTGGTTTGGACTTCGAAAGAAGGAGCTGTATGAACTCGTGCCCTGAGAGGAAGGTCCAAACTCAGGGAGATGCTGAGAGACATAAGCCTGATGAAGAATTCACGAGCTTGTACCCTATGCTGTGATCTTTGATATGGCTTAATGCAGCTGTTATCTTAATATGGATTTTAGAAGTCTAAAATCTAGAGTCTCTGCTGTGGCGCCCAGATGCTGGAATGTACTTCCCAGAGAGGTACACCTGGCACCGAGCTTATACTCTTTTCCGTGCCAGGGCAAAACTTTTTTATTTATTTTATTTAAATGGTATTTTAAAATTTAACAACTTTTAACCTTCAGTCGCTCTGTTTTGTGATTTGTTTTGTTCTGTTTAAATAATTTATTAGCAATTGTTGTTTAATTGTTCTTTTAAATTTTGTAAGCCGTCCTGAGATTATTGTATAATAGGATGGCATACAAAAGGTTTTAAATAAATAAATAAATAAATAAATAAATAAATAAATAAATAAATAAATATGGCTGCCATTCTAAACACACTTGTCTGGCACAAAGTCCCATTGTAATCAGTGGGAGGTTACTCCTGAGTAGACATGTTTACCTTCCATGCATTTGCATTCGCTGCCTTCACACAGTCTTACAAGTGAGTCTTCTCCATAAGCATTGTAAAATATGGTGCATCGTTTATCTGTGGAAAGAAAATAAATTTACAATGTCAGGAAACAAGAGTGCAGTGGATGTTCTTTTAAACCAGGATCTTCAGGAGAATACAAGGCAAGTACAATTGAGAAATAGATATTCTATTGTCCCCTTTCCCCATTTATTTCCAGATACCACCTTTCACAACCTCCAAGTTAATGGTCGGTCCTTTCCAAGTGCCCAAACAGTATTTTGGGCAGCTGTAGCTAGTTTGCCACCCACTTTTATGGAAGCTTCCAGCTTAGAAAGTTGTCAAAACTCAGGCTTCATTTTTAAAAGCGGGGTTTAAAATAAGTGGAGGAAATGAGCAAGAACCGACTCCTTACCAGGAGTGTGATATTCATACACAGTGAATGTTCCTGGGCTTGGCATTCCAACGCGGAATAGTTCAGTTACTCGGAAACCGATACACAGGAAAGTGCTTCCTGGAACCTATTGGAGTAAGGCAGGTTGGGCTCAACATAAGGTGCTCTCTCACTTCGAGGTGACTTTGTCTTGTCTTGTATTCTCTTTGCACTGAAGGGCCTTAGGTCTTGAGTTCGTTAACACATCAGCATGGCTGGAATTCAGCGTGAGTTTAGCCCACTGCAAAAATTCTGCAGCATTTCTGGTTCATGCGAATCTCTGTTGCATGACCAAGATATGGTACAAAGCTGGGCTGATTGTGCTCCCTGATTCTTCACAGGCACTGAAGAATAATTTGATAAGGAGTGCCGTGTTGAATACCTAAACATCACAGAAGATCCAGCTCCTTTCCTTTCCATCAAATGCAATCAGAGAGGGCTATCATTTGTTCAGGCTGAGGAGTGTAGGAAAATGTTTAATCAGTTTCCATACCTCCCTGTCATTTTCCTGCTCCATGTTGCTTGAAGATAAAGATAAAGCTACACGCACAGATTTTTTTTAAAAATCACATAGGGACAGAGTTAAAGACTCTTTTTCTTGCCTGAACAAATGGGTGCGCACAGACACACATATCCCCCCCACCATATACACACATAGAGAAATGTATGTAACATATACCAGTTGCACAAATCACCAACCCTGATCCCTGGAGTATGACTTGGGTTACAAAGGTACAGAAATTTGATAGACTGAAAGACTGGTTTTAAAGGAGAAACCATAAGCAGCCCCAGAAAGACGGGAGGGGGGTGGCAATGGGTCAAAAGTTGCACAGTTAACACGTGTGACAACCTACCGAATCTAACTGCACCACAACATGTCCGTCTTTTACCTCATAATCTGAGATAAGATGGTCGACGTTATTTGCAAGCTGTGATGGAGGAGGAGGAGGAAGAATTGTTAACCCATTGGGAATCATCACTGTCACTTCCTAACAAATCATCCCAAAATCTACCAACAGATCTTGCAATCCAGTCGTCAACCTAAAAGTCATATCAACATGCATTTTCAATGATGTTATTTTTGGCAAAGGGCAAGGGAAGAGCAACTCCATGGTCCGTAGGCAGGATTCATTGGATTCCCAGATGGAGAGATGGACTTGTTCAGTCACAAAGTCATGCCCGCCTCTTCGTGACCCCATGGACAACATTCCCCAGAATACACCCAACCCCACACCCACCTCCCCAGTGACCCCATCCAGCTACCACAACCTCTGCCGTCCCCTTCTCCTTTTGCCCTCCATCGTTCCCAGCATCAGAGTCTTTTCCAGTGAGTCCTTCCCTCTCATTAGGTGGCCAAAGTACTTGAGCTTCAGGAAACAAAGCCCCAAATTTGGAGGAGGGAAGCTATGTGCAGATCCCCTCTCATGGACAACGTGGAAAGAACCAGTGGGCTGTGTCTCCAAGGTAGGGAAAGAAACCTCAGGGAAGGGACCAGGCGGGTATTCTGGGCCAGAGAGAGGCGGCAATTAGGCTGCTGGGATACAAGGTATCTGGAAGGTGCTCTGGTCTCCATCCTTTCCTTTCTGAAGCACTGCAGCTGGATGGTTGCAGCTGCTAAAACTTGCAGTGTAGTTAACTCCATCCTATTTCCACACCATATCTTTGTGTACACAATTTTTCCTAACAAATGTGTACAGTTTTCCTTAATGTAAACCTTTTCCTGTAACAGTTTCCTCTAATCCGCATTTTATTGTGCCCCAGGATGGTGAAACGACCGGCCTGGAGAACAAACCTCAAAGGCCATGCCAGTTCCTTCATTCCTCCTCCCACAACTACCGTTTGTGTTCCTCAGCATTTGTACAGTTTCTTCCCCCATTCTAAGAAGAAATGCTTTGCCTAAGGCTCAGTTGTTGTTGTTTATTAATTTTATTTGCATCCCACTTTTTTAAGAATTCAAGGCGGCTTATCTCATTCTCCTCCTGCTGCTCTCAATCTTATTCCTACAACAACAACAACCCTGTGAGGCAGGCTGGGCTGAGAAGTCCAGCCCAAAGCCACCCAGTGGGCTCCATGGCTGAGCGGGGACTAGAACCCAGGCCTCCTGAGTCTCAGCCCTGTGCTCTTCACCACTATGCCACACTGGCTCTCCTGGCAGTCACTGGCAGAAACAGCCTTAACCTCAAACGCATTTTCGCCCTGGCCACTGCCCACCAGCGGAATTGAGAGCACCTCAGAATTTCTCCCAAACAGAGTTTAGTCCCTGGGCTGCACTCATTGCATGCAATCTTTGAGACAAGGGCTGGGCTGCAAAATTCGGAGCTGCACGCAGCCTAAGAGAGAACTGCTCTCTTATCCACATGTTTCTCGGGGAGTGCAAATTATGTCCGTTTGCTTAAACGAGTACACCAAATAAAAGACTCCTCCCATCCCTCGTGACCATCTTACTTACCATAGATAAGTCTTCGAGGTTTGCTTCCAGTCCAGTGACCAGAGATATGTCCATCACCGCATGGGAGGAGCTGGACCGTGGTTCCAACCTATGTGGCCTGTACCTGCACAGAGTAAAAAAAAACAGAAGTGGAAAGGAGCCCGTGCGATAGAAGGGCTGCTGCTTGCTACGGCTTTGCACCTCAGTGGAAACTTAAGTTGTGGGGGAGAGAAAAAAGATCAGTGAACTTGCTGCAAAGCAGGTGCAGCCTTTCCCCCCCAAAATCTCGCCTTTGCTTGCTTCTTTGCCTCGAAGCCAAGAAACCTCTTGACAGCTTTGTCTTCTGTGAGCTGCCCAGAGGAACCGAGGGTGGGGGTGGATATGGAACCTCCTCCGGGGCAACGTCAGGGGGCGCTTGCTGTCAGGGGGCACCCACTGGTGCTCACTGCCAGACTGAGTTGGTGTTGTGTGCAAATGCACCCATGATCGTTAAACTGGTGTCCGACTGGACAGCCCTTCAAGCTGAGGCCATCCTCTATGAATCAGGTTGTGGGGCCACCTGTCTGAAATGTCTTCAGTTTTCTCTAATGCCCATGGGAGATTATGCTAGGGAAAACAGAGCACCTCCTACTGACCACAGCGGGTAGCTACAAGATTTCATCATGGCAGGGAAGCGGTCTTGGCCATGCTCAGAGAGAGCTGCAGTGTCAGAGGCAGGAATGCGCCAAAGTGCAGGGCAGTGTTGTTAAAAATTGACAAATGCAAAATTCAACATTTCTGTACTTTCCCTCCGATGTTCCGAATAACCGGAACGCAGAGATTGTCTCTATGCTCCAGACTTACTTTGCACAGGCAGTTAACAGTTTGGCTTCGCTTTGGAATCCGAAGTAAGCATCCATTGACTGGTAACGCATTTCTGCACATGCAAGAGAAAGAGTTCTTTACGGAGGTATTCAGGACCAGCCTGCGAGTAGAAAATTCAGAGGCTGCAACAATGAATCCTCGTTCTGTCTATTCAGCTTGTCCTGGCCTTGCTAGAAGACTCCTCCTTGGAGGAAGCACTGGGAGACAACAAGCAATCCACCACGAGAGTGGGTAGGATCTGCCTGTGGACCGAGAGAGGTGCCGGCGTTTGGGTGGCCAGCATGGCAGCATCACCTGTGGAAGACACCTGTGGACAGGGAAGGCCCTGAGCCCACACAGGTGATGTTCCTCGAAGGAACAGGAACAAAGGAGGAGTACCAGACTGAGCCGGAGGCTTCCTTGTGAGAAGAAGTCTACTTATACATGGAGGCCCTGCTCACAGGGCGGACCTCTGATAGCCTCCGAATAAACCCCTGAATATGGTTTTCCTTGGGTTGAACTCTGGACTGATTCCTGAGCAGGAGTGAACTCCGATTTTCTTTCTGCCTGAGCTTTGCCATTTTTGCACCCGTGGCGCCTGCCTGTGATCAGTGCTGCCGAGACCTTGCTTTTTGCCTGATCCCTGTTTATACTGACCATCTTGGAACTGTAAAAGCCTTGAACCCACAGCCACTAGGCTCAGGCTGTGGACATGTGATGTACCCAGAGGCATTAATTCTTTTGTTATTAGCTGCGGCTTCATCCCCAAATGGCATGGGTTGTCCTTGTTACCCCTTACTCCTCTGGCCAAAAACACCAAGGCCAGTGTCAAGGGCCCCATGGATGCCTACAGAGCACTTTGGGGTCACTGTCACTGGCTGGGTACCCCTTGTCACAATCACAATTTGTGGTTCCCCCCCGCCATTTCACCCCCTAGGGATTGCAGTCTCCTGACTGACAGTCAGTTTTCATTATCTCAGTTTTGACAGCCAATGATAGTTCTTTTTGTTTTTTGTTTTACTTTGCTTACTCTTGACAGTGCTGGAGGAGACTCCTGCAAGTCCCTTGGACCGCAAGGCGATCAAACTGGTCAGTCCGAGAGAAGATCAACCCTGACTGCTCTTCAGAAGACCAGATACTGAAGATGAAGCTCAAATACTTTGGCCACCTAATGAGAAGGAGGAACTCCCTGGAGAAGACCCTGATGCTGGGAACAATTGAGGGCAAAAGAAGAAGGGGATGGCAGAGGATGAGGTGGCCAGATGGAGTCACTGAGGCAGCTGGTGTGAGCTTAAGTGGACTCCGGGGGATGGTGGAGGACAGGAGAGCCTGGAGAAATGTTGTCCATGGGGTCATGATGGATCGGACATGACTTTGCAACTAGCAAACACAACTCCTCTTGACAGCTGTCAAAAAATGATCTTTGCTTAAGAATGAGGCCCTGAAGTTCACAATGAGATTTTTAAAGCCACTAACATCACCGAAACTCAAAAGTCTAGGCAGTTTATAAAGGGGATTGTTGTTGTCATTTGCAAATACCTGAGAAATGATGGTATCAAAGCTACATTAGAGCTACCAAATGTCTGGTGTAGATGCTCAGATAAACTAGATATGAACAAATATGTTTCACTTTCTATAACGATCTGCATTTTTCAAGCACAAGGCTCTTCTAACTTTCACTTCTCTTCACAATTTTTAAGAAAAGGTCACCATGAAAATGCAAGCCTCCTTTGGTATGCCTGTTTGCACACATGAACACACACATTTAAAATACATTTTTTCAAGTCATTTCCCCATCTACACAATCTTGTTTGCTAGTTTCCCTAATGTACACTTCTATAGAACGGCATTGGAAATGTCAGAACAGTTGTGTGTATTCATTCAGAAACTGCAAATCAGAGTGGTTTGAGCCAACTGAATTTCTTCCCCCTGCCCTTTTGCTGTGTGAATAAGTTTTATTCGTGTCTTTATTACATTTCTATACTACCCCACAGTCAAAACTCTCTGGGTGGTTTATACAATTATTTTGTAGCTTCTAAAAAGAATGGAGAGACCAAAACTGGAATGAATCATGCCAGTGAGTATGGTTAAATGAGAGCTCAGAGACCCTAACCACACTTATTGACCCTCAGAGTCATAGCTAGAAGGCCACTGTCTTGTCACAGGACAACAGACCCACGGCACTTTCCCAATCTCTGGTCAAAGCCCTTCACCATCTTTTCTCCAGAGACTGCTTTCAACGCATTTTAAATTGGTTAATTTCTTACCAGGTGCCTTTATATCAATCTTCAGCTCAAAGCTACAATCATCTTCAGAGGTACTGCTCTTATAATACACGGTCCTCAGCTGTATATATTCAAAATTTAAAGGAAAGGGTTAAATTGATTTTTAAGCAGTTTTGAACAAAGCAGCTTCCAATTTAGCTGCAGACAAGAGAGTCTTATTAGAGTCTTTGTAACTTGTGCCAATAATAAGCAAGGGGGTCCTAGATTAAATCAAGCCAGAACTTGCCCTGGAAGCAAAAATGGTGAAACTGAAGCTCATCATGAGAAGGCGAGATGTCCTGGAGAGGACAAGCATGCTAGGGAAAGTCAAAAGCAGGAGAAAAAGAGGAATCCCAACTAGGAGATGGATGGATTCCCTACAGGAAAAGCCAGCCTTGAGCTTATGAGAGCTGAGCAAGGCTGTCAGGGATATTCTGGCTGTCAGGGATATTCTGGATATTTACCACAAATCCAAAATGACTTGATGGCAACTAACACCACCAACAACCAGCCTAACTAGTAGCAAAAGTTCAGACAACCACCCACGTTCTCATTTTCCTGCTTGCTTTGAACCCATTTCACACAATGTAGAGTGCATCAGCCAGCCAGGCCCAAAACTGTTGCAGAGATAAGTTTGTTGTGTTATTTATGGAAACAGAAATAGCAAGAATTCCTCATTTTCTTGTCTGCTTGGTGACGTGTGACTTCTAACATGACTTAAAAAATTTAAAAGCGTATTCTATAGGAGGATAAAGGAGTGGTGTCAAATAGCAGGAAGAAAAGGCAGACTAAATCTCTTCCAATTGTGTGGATACGGAGATTTAATTTAATGCAAGCAGTAAGCCAAGAGGCTCTATTTACTTACATTCACGATAGCTAATCCGGTGTTGCTGCCTGTACGGACCTCGATGTCATCATCCAAAGGAGCCTGGATGCAGAAAGAAACACGGGGAATTGACACCAATGCAAATTCCTGTGATAATAAGCTTCTCATCACACAGTGACAAAGAGTGGTGCTCCGCATCAGTATTTTTCAGCTACAAAAACAGGGCTAGAGAAGACAGAGTTTGCAGCAGAGCAGGAGAAATGGATAAGAGAAGGAAGGGAAAAGAGATTGGGCAGGAGGAAGGAAGGATCGTGAGAATACCTCCCTTCTCCTCTGACATTTCACAAGGAAAATCACCCAAGTGGTTCAGTAGGTACCTTGTCTACAGAGGACCTCATGTCCAACCTCCATCAGATCTGAAAAAGATCTTTCTCTGTCAGAGACTAGGTGAAGATCCCCTACCAGTTTGCCCAAGCTTTCCCTTCTTCGGTATTGCATTTCATAACAGAGTATCGTTTCAAGGATATTGGACCAGGACGGGGAAAGATGGCTGCCCCATGGCTAAATTGGTTTTGAAAAGGGGCTGTTCAGACACTTCCTAAATGATCATGATGACAAAAGATGTGTGTGCAAGTCTGTCTGTCTGTCAGCACCATAGTTTCAATCTAGACACAAACCTGGCATGTATAATAAGGAGGTCACAGGGTATTGGACCTCAGGGTTGTTTGGTTGTTGTTGTTTTAATGCATTCGTTGATTTTAATGAGGCTGTACGTGTAAGGTGTGCAGTGTCAGCTTCAGTCACTAGGTGTCGGACCTCCCTGACCAGTGCACAGCTTTGCAGTTGCTACTCTATGAAGCCAGGAAGAAGCAATTTCAAGAGTGATATACCTGCCCCATCGCTGGGCTCCACGGGAACCGAGTGGACCACCGTCCTCACCAGGGGGCTATGGGACTGCACCCTGGCAGAGTCCCGGCCACAGCGCTATGCACTGGGGTGTTATCACCCCGTGTTCCTCACATGGGGTGGCCATAATGCATCCAAAATCAGGGAGCTGCCCAACTTTGCTTGCAGTTCATTTGTGCAAAGTTGGGGTTTATTTGCTAATTTACTCTTAAATTCACGATTCTCCGGCTCCAAATGTTCATTCTCCCATCCAAATTTTTCAGTCCTTTCCTCTAAGGCACTCGGGTTGGTCTCCAAACTTCTAGAACTCAGCAAGGATGCAAAGTGCTCCGACCGAGATTTTCAAGGAAGACACAAAGAGCATTTCATAAGTCTTGCCCTCTCCCCTCCTTTTTATCTTTCTTGATTATAATCCACCCACTCACTTCCACAGGCTTGCCGATGTAATTGCCTCTGGTAAGCCGGTAGTGATGGAAGTCACCATGATAGCTGTAGGCTGTTTTGATGCTCATGTCCAGGTCCAGCCGTTTAGTAAGGACGGAATATTCAGTCAGGGCTTCCAGAGCATTGAGGGTATCCTGTCAGAATTCAGTTAGAAAAACCGAAAGCAAATTACAAATGCAAGAGGAATCAAGTTTACTCAAGGTATTTAGGCAGAACACTTCCATTTATTGCTCTGTGGTGGGGGCTGCTGAGGGGTGGCACCTTCCCCAGGCTTTACTTCTTCCTCCAGAAATAACCTGCGCTTTGTTTAGTATGACTGGACACTGAAATCCTGCTCAGGGGGAAGCACTATAAAATATATATTTAAATATAAATGCATGTGCATGCAAATACTGGAGCTTCCTGAGAAAGAGGATTTGTGCCAACACCAAGAAGGCCCTGCGCCATGTCCCAACCAGACATGACTTTGAAGGTAAATGGATTATAGGAAAAACCTCAGACAAGAACCATAGTTGATAATCTCCTGATGGGGAAGAAAAGGGACTTTGAAATTAATTCTTTGGAAGCGATGTACCTGCGTGGAATAAAATCCACCTCCGTATCTCTGTTGCTCTGATAGCCATCGTATGATCGGATTGGCATATGCCTTGTCTCCTTGAAGCAGAGTAGTGAGCGAGGCATAGGCTGTGGTTTCAACCATCCTGGCGGTCTCCTTGGAGGGAGTGGCTTGATCCAACTTGCTGGACGATTCTTTCCAGAAGCGATACATAGGAGGGCCCACTATAAAAGCAATGGAGACCGAGAGTGACCAAATAAAGCAGAGTTACATCGAGGCAAAGCTGGGCAAGCCACACTCTGCCCTCACCCACTGGCAGGGAACCCTGGGGGCTCCAGGAGACTGCCTCCCTCGACTACCAGGAGATGTATCAGCCTAGTCCCATCCTCCCATGTTGCCTTGTGATCCAGAAGTGCCCCTACTGGAGTTTAGGCTGCGCCTACATTGGATAGCACATGACACGGGATTGCCCTGACACCTCAGATGCAAAGGGAAGTGCCCACAGGTCTCTGCCATCATCCAAGGGAAGGAAGGCCACGAGGAGGCTGCTGGGCTACCCCACCTGACAAGGGGAAGTCCACCCTTAGCCCATCCACCAGGCAGGGAAGGCACCGCTTTGGGACGCTCGGCCTGCTCTCTACCAGCACGAACAGACAGCGGCAATGGCAAGCAGCCTTAGGCTTTGAAGAATTTGCTTGGAAAATATTTCGGATGGAGTCTGTGTGTATTCAGCTGTGTTTGGAGTGCTGCACCAGAGATGCTGCCATGGACTTTCTAACGGGCTCCACATCTGCCACAGCTCAGTGCCAGACAGGCACAGTATGATCCCCTCCATGCTTGGAATGGCTGCGTTTCCAGGATTCACAGGAACTTGATTCAGTTTGGCTTTCTGATAGGGAGGCTGCAAATGCTGCGTCCCTTTGCAGGAAGAATTTGATATTTAAAATGTGGGAGAAAGTGAAGCTGACAGGTTTGTCTCTTCTGTAGACCCCATGGTTTGCAAAAAGAACATGGGTCAACCTTTACCTTTCACAAGGGCTTCCTTCTTCAGCAAACTGTAAGCTGTTCGTGCACCAGCTTGGTTGAAGTTTGTTAGAGTTAGCGCATAAGTAACGATGGCCAAGGAAAATGTGCTTTGTGCAGACTTGAAATGTTGCAGCAAATAATTTGCTGCTTTATTTTTAGCATCTTCAATTTTCTGCAAAGGAAAACAGAAAATGGGTTTGTTTTTCTGGTGATTAAGGAGCTCAGCATGCCCCACCAACATTTGATTCTCACAACTAAAGCTGCTAAAGTTAAAGCCAGCGTGAGAAACCCACAGTGCTCTGACCAAGTTCAGACTGTCTGTGCTCTCTGCTAAGGGCACCGAGATCTCCACTGTGGCCCACACCAGTTCCTGAAGGCCCTGAAAGTGGAACAGGCTCAGAAGAGCAGCAACAGGCTGAGCTAGTCTTGAACTTGTCCCTATTCTGATGTGAAAGGTGAGGGCCAGCTAATGCCAACTCACGAAGGAAGGAAGGAAGGAAGGAAGGAAGGGAGGGAGGGAGGGAGGGAGGGAGGGAGGGAGGGAGGGAATGTGTTGCACAGGAGGCTGGGGACATTGGTGTCTCTGGTGCTTCTCCACCGTTCCACTGTCTTCTCCAGCTTTGCAGGAGCCATCTACATTGGAGAAGACATTCAGCACCATGGATAGCTCCTCTAACACTCCCCTAAAGGGAAAACCACAATGGGTGAGGATCCCCACTGAGGCAGACGTGGTGGGAAGGACCCCATGCTAAACCTGGTTCCGTCAGCTTTGGGCAGTGACTCAGCTACCGCTGCTCTACAGTTCATGAATCTGACCCTTGGGTTGCAAATGGACCACCAGCATGCTGGGATTCTAGAGTGGGGCACCAGTTCTGGAGTGCAGTGCCAGTCGCTTCCAATCCCAGGCAAAGAGAGAACTCAGTCGCGCTCACCTGCAGCGGGCATAGATTAATCACTTTTTCAAATCCGATCAGGGAGAAAGCTGTGAGGTACAAAGTCTTTTCTTTCTTTTCATTGGGCAATGTCCCCTTTGAAAAATGGCAGATAAAAGAGAATTAAGGATAGGTTTAAAATGTCGGCCTCCACCCTGATCCAGCTCTCCATCTGCAGTGACCCGTGGGGAGAGGGAGCTGTGCAAGCAAAGGATGAATCGACTGGGTTCACATGACATGTTCAGCCACCAAGAGCCACAGTGGCTTAGCCCACTGTCCGAATTCAGCACTCCCAAGGGTGGCTTTTTTGGGACTATAAAGCTACCCCAACAACTCCCTGCTTGTTGAAGGGGTCTGTAGCCACTCCTGGGTTTTCCATGACACAAACCCAGTGAAAGCTCCAGCACCAACAGAGTCACTTGGCAAGAGCGGCCAAAAGGCTTACCTGCTGACCAGGTGGCTCTGGGTGAACTGGCAACAGCCACCCAAAGTGCCCAAGCGGCAGCCGGACAGCTGTCATCAGGCCCCCCTGTGGTCCCTTGCAATCCCAGTTAAGTTTTTGGTAAGGTGTTGGTTGCATTTCTTTCTTAAAACATCTGTTTTTTACCTGCAGTTTTACAGGCTCGTAAGTTGAAATCTCTCTGAAAGAGCCATCTCCCATTTGACAGATGTCAATCATCCATTCCAGAGTTAAGCAGACAGAATCCCGGTCAATGGTCACATACTGGTGAACTTGACCAAAAATCCTTAGGACAAAAGCTGTCAGCCTACAATATCAAAGGGTTTTTTAAAGTTATTCCTCGGTAAATCATTTTGTGGCTGAGTTTAATTTTATTTTAAATTCAGGATCTGATATTCTAAAAGCACTGCTGGGAATGTTTTGAATAGGGGAAACAATAGTCTTAGTGTTACTATTGTTTCATGTCTGTACTGTCCCCTAAGCAAACTTTTCTGGGTGGTTTGCAAAAAAAAAGAAAAAGGGTGAGGGGACAGGCCTTCTAGAAGCACCAGAACAGAAGGAGGCAGTTGAGGTGGACTTGGAAAGACAGAGAGGAGGTTTTCGCCTTCCCCAGCCTGACTGCAGCTCCTGGCATTTCTGACCACTGGCCATGCAGGGTGGGGCTGGTGGAAGTCACAGATCAGAACATCTGGAAGGCACCAGACTGATGGAGGTCACTGCGAGCGAAAAAGATTTTAGGACATTATCTGTCTCTCCCCAGCAATTCTGATACGGGAGCAGCGGTTTGCGACTTCCGTGGGAGTGCTTAAGTTGCGCCTCCGCTGCTGCCGCTCGACTGGTAGTGTGTAAATAAGCGAAAATACTGGCAGCTTATGCTTGATCGGCAATAACCTCCTTCCCAGAAGGAAACCAAAAGCAAGCAAGCATGGTGCTCCAGGGTCCTTCTCACCCTCTGGAGTGGCTCAAATTAGTTCTGCTAGGTTACTAAGTAGGAGCGGTCAATATGACGACAAGAAGTTGGTGGCTTGGCAGCTGTGCCTGCCTCTAGTGTGTTTCCAAGTCCAGTACAAAGTGTTTGTGTTGACCTTTCAAGTCCTCAGCAGCTTGGAACCAGAGTATGTAAAGGAGCAACTCTGTCTATTATTAGTACTTGCTCAAACATTTAGGTCATCTTTGGTCATCACTCCTGGCTTCTCTATTACTACTACTACATTTCTATACTGCCCACAGCCAAAGCTCTCCGGGCAGTTCACAACATTTAAGTGTCCCATCCAGATTTCCACCAGCACAACCCTGCTTAGCTTCCAAGATTAGGCAGCATCAGGCACTCCAGCCCATACAGAAGCTGTTTTGAAGGAAGCTAAGGCAGGGGGTCATAAGAGGAAGAGCCTTCTAGGTGTTGTCCCCCACCCCAATTATGAAATGCTGTCTTTGCACCGCTATTTTCTCACCCAGACATTTGAACTCCAAATGGTTTTCAGATGATAGTATGGTTCTTATACATCCCCATGCTTTTTTTGCTTGTTTTTTATTTGCTTGCTTCTTTCATGTTGTGTTTCATTCTTTTAACTTGATATTATTCACATCCAGAATGCAATAAAAAAAGAACGTAAATAAGGAGCCCTTGACAAAGAACAGCCCTTGTTGCACGGCATCGAAGCCGAACTGTTTCTGAAAGCCCTTTGTTGTCAAAAGCTTTTAACTTACCAGGTGCTGGCCTCTCCATTCTTCCACATGCTATAGGAATGATCTGACTGCCGGAAGGACAGGACGCTGATGATCCCTAGGAAACATACACCGGTGTGATTCCAGGGGCTTTTTTGTGGGCCCTGCTGGATCCTCGTCTGCTCTGGAATCTGCAGCCTGCCTTCAGTCGTGCTGCTTGCTGTTCTCGCCCTGCTGGGCCTTGTCCACAGCGTGTGGCTGCCAACAACCACAGGCCCAAGGACCTGCAGACAGAGCTGGTCCTGTCACTGGGCAGAGGAAAGCAGCTGCCCTGCGCAGCAATTCTCCTGGATGAGCGCTGGAGAATGCTGCCTCAGGTGCACTGGAGGATGCTGCTGCTGCTGCTGCCAGCATGGGATTGTGGGGCCCACTTTGCCCTCTGCCCTTGGCAGCAAAAGTCTGACGCCTGCTCTGCTTATTGCCTTCCCTCCCCAAGGAGTCCAGTAATATGCAGCCCTCCCTTAACATCATCGCCTTTTAGTGAAGGCTCAGCTTGACTCCCCTCCCTGATGAGGTCTGCATGTCCGCAGAATCTGGAATCAGCTCAAGGAATGCTAATGTACCCTCTTTCATCTTCCGTCTCAGGTCAAGTCTTGGAGTTATACTTCCTGCACCAAGGATATCCCAGCTGTCCGTCCTCTCCAGGAAGTCAAAGACATAAAACACTGGCACGATATTCATAAGTTCGGTTTCCGCACTCCCTCTGGGGAGATAGGCCAGAAACTTGAGCCCCTCCGGGCTAACAGCTGCATCGATCACCTCACCCAGAAGGAGGCCTGTTTAAAAAAAATAAATAAGTCACACCATAAAATCCTGCTTTTGCCATTCATTCACGGCAGATGTTGGACAGGTCGGGGCGAGGGCTATGGCCATTTGGCAGTGACATCCAAGACCACGGAATGATCTCCTGGGGAAGATAAATTATCGACTCAAGCTTTACACCAACACCTGGCATCTGTGGGCAGCTGGAAGGACCCCGGCGCTCTTGCAGGGCCTGCCCTGGGGCTTCGTTCAGAAAAAACCCACGCCGTGCGAAAGAGCCGAGTCGGATGGGAAGGATGAGAAATCTGCTTGGTTCCTCTTTAAGTGCAGACTTACCAAATTCATGCTTTATGGTCCTCAGTGCGAACTGGAAAGCAGCTTGCTCCCAAAAATCGCGATCTGGTGTGGAACTGCGAGGCATCAACCTCCCAAGCATTGGGAAAACAAGAAGCCAGGCAAAATCCAGCCTGACAGCATTGCCCGACTCGTTTTAATTGTCCGCAGTGTCCTGAAACAGCACTTTGAGCAGGAGCATGGAGGGTAATTAAAGGAGCGGCTAGGCAATGTTTGGGGAGCAGGTGCCCACTATGGCATAAGCTGGCCGGGGTCCGTCAATGGGAAGGATGCCTTGCCCACCACCCTCTCAAATGTTGGATCAGGACGGCGTGGGCTGCTTTTCAGCGGACAATCACCCAGCTGCTGCCAGAAGATCGCTGATGAGCTGTCTAGGATTCGGTTGATGCCCCCGAGTCCCAAGGCATTAGAAACAGAGAAAACAGAGCGAGTCAGAAGGGGTCTCCCGGGCCATCTAGTCTGACCTCCGGCACCAGCCAGCTCCGCTCTTTTGCTTTGGTTTTTAGTTTCACAATTATCCACTATTCTTTTATTGGGCTGTCGGGGCTGCCTCCTATCCAGTAGCCTCCCGCCCCAGTCTGTGCCCTCCAGGCATGCTAGACTACAATACCCCTCTTCCCTGAGCTGGAGAGGATGGACATTATAGTCCCGCACCAGGTTAGGAGAAGGCTGCCAGCTACCTTTACCTGGGAGTAAATCGCATTGAACTGAATGTGGCTTCCTTTTGAATAGACGTGTAGACCCTTGTAAGTGCCCTGATTCTGGCTGATAGAGAAGAGTGATTTTCAAAAATTACATATTCTGAATAAATATATTACCTTGAATTCTATTTTATTTTATCTGACTAAGTATATGTGATTTTTATCCTGTTTATTTATTACAAAATTTAAATTGTATCATTTTATTTATGCTACTTACTGTAATGGCCACCCAGAGAGTGTGATGCTAATGGGTGGCTTCCAAACAAATCTAGTAATAGGTAGATGGTATTTAAGCTGATCGGAGGCTGAATTTGAACTAGAACAACATTTAGAAGTAGAATGCAGGAAAATAAAGTACAGCATGTTTAATCTCTTACACCATTTTACCTTTTACACTCACAGTCCTGTGCAGTTTTGTCTTCGGGACCATATTTGGTGGTATCTTGCGGTGGAATTCCTGCTGCCTTTTCACCACACCTGTCATGGACCATGTACATGAAGGTGAAGTTTGTGGGGCTGGTACAAAATTTCTTTTTCCCCCCTTGGCCATTGGCCTTATTGGCTGGGACTGACAGGAACCAATAACTGGAGAGGCTCATATTTCCTACCCCAGCCATACTGAAAAGATGATGCTGTAATCCGATGCTTATTTACTTGGGAGCAAGGCCCACTAAATTCAATGGAAGTTGTTTCCAAGGAAATATAAGACTGCATTGTAAATCTTACAACTTGGCACTCTTAAAAGTTCTGTCCACGAGGGAATCTCAGCAGGTACAGCTGAATCCCCTCACTGATGCAACTATTAAAGTTATAAACTCTCTCTTTTGCTATCTTGCCACCTTAATCACAAGCAACTAATGTAAAATGTACTATTCCTATATAATGTACTTCCTCATCTCTATCCTATTCTGTCTTCTGAAATGCAAAGCAGCAGAAGAAACCTTCCACAAATTGGAGAAGGAATTTCTGGATGCAGATAATAATAATAATAACAACAACAACAACAACAATAGCAATAATAATAGTGGCAGCACTTAGGAAACAAAGGTTGGAGTCACATTCTTTGGGCTCTTGCCCTCCCCATTTCTGGAATGCTTTTGACTGAGGTAATGTAGACCCAGAGAGAAAAAAGTCTCTCCAATCCTAGACTGAAGGAAAAAACTGGTGATAAATAACTCAATGGCCATAAGATGTACTCATATAATTAATTCAGAATTAAATTGTGGCATACACTTAAGGCACCGTTCTATGCAAGTTTAGACAGAAAAAAGGCTTACAACTCCCAGCATGCCTCAGCCAACTGCCTAAACCTACACAAAACTATGCCATTAGCGACTAGTGCTAACAGCAAGTTTCTGTACAAGCATGTTGCTACTTCCTTAAAAGTGGGGGAATGATTTTTTAACATTACTTGCCATACCATAAATTCCTTGTGGGTCCAGTGTGTGACCTTCATGAATTTCCTTCTGGATACCTTCAGGCTAAAACCAAGAAACAGGGTCATCAATTTCTGCAAAATCATCATAGTCATTCTGTTTCAAAATCTGCAGGGCCGCTTGGCAATATCACACGCCACAGGCACACAATGCCACATGAAGGCCAAGTGACAGAAATGGCCAGTGTTTCACCAGCTGATCATGCCTTCTCCCCCCAACCCAATGAGTTCCCATCTTTTGTGCAGCTTCTCCTCCCATAAGGGCTTATCCCACGGTACACACTGCCAGAGTGCCCATAAGCACAACCAAGAGGGCAGTCACCCTGTTGATCCCAATCGCCCTGCTGATAGAATGTCTCTGCACAAGGAAGCTCCATTCAGCCATCATGGCCAATGGCCACGGACAGAGCAGACCTCCTCCTCCTCCCCTCATTTCAAAGCTGCCTGAGCCACAGCGCATCTCATGCTGGTGAGCTCCACAAGTCAAGTCTATGCTGCGGGAAGACATCCCTTCTTTTGTTTGCCCCAAATCTACCGTCCCTCAGTTTCTTCGGAGACTACCCATGCACCCCAGTTTCAACGTTACAGAAGACGAAGAGAAACCACAGATTCTTAAATGTCATTGTTTCAGTTTTGGAGAGAAGGGTTTTCAGACAAGGGCTTGCTCTTACCACAACTCTTAAGGTCTTCACGAGGATTTCAGGGAAAGAAGTACCTCCCAGGGTAAAGTTGATGGTGTGGAGACCCAATTCCAGAGGAAGAATCTTGAATTTTACTAAGCTCGTGGAAAAGCCTTGGAGTTCCTTAGGACGACTGCAGTGCGTGCTTTGCAGGCCACGTGGATTGGTGGAGGCTGCTCCGAACAGGCAGATTCCCTGGCCGACACTTATTGTAGCACAAAACTAGAAGGAGTTGGAAATGGTTTTGTCAGCTGGTTCAACATCCGTCATGTGAGAAACAGCAGCAAGAACAACACTGAAGCAGCCCATGGTTTCTGCCCAGTGCTGACAATCAAAATAATTTATAAACTCATAACCAGCTTAAGTCCTGCTGACTTTAATTAGTCTGGTCAAAATATGCCTGGCAAACAAAATCCACAGCATGTTCTCTCAGAAGTCTCACAAAATCTGCTTCTAGGTAGATAAATGTAGGATTGCAGCTTAACTCTGCATCCAACTCACTTTTAAATGCACACAGATTATTCATTTGAAGCAAAATGCAAGAAATGTCAGATATTAATATATTAAACAAATGAACCCATGCTCCCAACACTGGGAACCCTCCAAGTGCTTTGCACTTCAATAGCCATCTACCACAGTGGTCAGGAATGCTAGGAGTTGTAGTCCAAGCATTCAGAGTATACCTGGATAAGGCAGGTGGAAATAATTTAATATCCCAGGATACTTGAAGTGAACAACAAAGACTTGTTCTAAATTCATTATCTGATATGAGACAGAATTAGATGCAGAAAGTGACAAAACTGATGTTTGAACTCTAAAGACAACTTGTTTGTTTGCTTAGCTTAAAATTATACCTCACTTTTCCACTACAAATATTGTGGCAGGGAAATAACAAAATCCAAGATTCAGTATACATTTATAGCCCAAACTTATTAGCAAATCTATCCTAATCAACCTTTAACATATCACGTAAAGAAATGAATATCACCTCACCTACCAGTCAAACTGTATTTTAGCCAAAAGATAAGTCAGCTTAAAAGACAAACTAAATCTAGACTAGATCTTTGCCTAGATAAGAATCTCTGCCTGCCAGCAAGAAGGGCATCTTTTCAGTGCCTCTCTCTGGATCTTGTGATGTCACAGTACGAAACTGTTTACCTTTACCTATGCTCTGCTTGCATATTGTTAAATATAACCAGTTGTTACAGAAATGGTTTAACTCTTTAGTGGTTCCTCCTTCTAAGGGAAATTAAACCAAGGCAAGCACTGCTCAACATCTGAGGAACAAGGCATCACAACCGATATAGATAATGAAAGAGTTTAACAACTGGCAGACATGCACAGTAATTTTGGTCACTTGCAAAGAATGTCGCTCTGGCCCTTCTATAAAATTCAGGTAGCAGAGCTGAACGAGGAGAAACACTGAGGTCCTTGCCCGTGCCTCCACCACAGGACCTACTTTCCCTACTAAAGTTAAGATCTTAGTGATGACTTAAAGCCCTAAACAGCTTAGGGCCTGGGCAATTGAAGGAGCAGCTCCTTCCATTTTATTTATTTATTTAGAAGATTTATATGCCGTCCTTTTGCAAAGCCTCAGGACAGCTTATATAAATAAATAATAATAATATAAAACAAATAAATTCCAGATCCACCCTGACTGCAGATTAGAACATATATAGCTAATATTAAAAGTTATTAAAATATTGTCGGAATAAAAAGGTCTTCGCCTGGCGCCGAAAAACAAATAACGACAGCGCCAGGCAGAGCTCTCTGGGGAGCGCATTCCATAGGCGGGGCGCCACCGCAGAGAAAGCCCTCCTCTGGGTGCTCACCCTCCTAATATCTTTCACGGAGGGTTCCCGGAGGAGGGCTTCTGCTGCCGATCTCAGGGGGCGGGAGGGCAAATATGGAAGAAGGCATTCCTTTAGGTATCCAGGTCTGAAGCCGTTCTTCTTCCTTCTCTTTTCTCCTCCTATATTCTTTATTTACTTATTTTATATTGTTAATTTAAATTTTATATTTTGTATCTCAGTGTATTTTTTGTATTTTTGTATTTAGTGGTAATTTATTATGTTCTATTGTATTTCAATGTATTTTATTGTGTTGTAAGCCGCCCCGAGGCTTGGGCAAGGGGCGGCATAGAAATGTTATAATAATAATAATAATAATAATAATAATAATAATAATAATAAGGGCTTTATAGGTAATAACCAGCACCTTGAATTGAGCCCGGACTTCGATGGGAAGCCAGTGAAGCTGGTAGAGGACTGGGGTTATGTGAGAATATAACCACATGTATACCTGCCCGCCTCCAAGAACTGGACTGGAGGTCCTTCTTTGGGAGCCCCCTTTGAAGATCAGAAGAATGGCTACCTGGAAAAGGGCCTTCTCTGCAGTGGCACCCCAGCTATGGAACAGGATCCCCAAAGAGATGGACCTGGCACTGACGCTTTTTTTCATTTCAGCACCAGGTCAAACCCTTTTTATTTTTCCATTATTTTAAATGTTAATACTTAAATGTTTTAAGATTGGATGATGTATCTAGTTTATTTTATTGTATTACTGCCCTGAGACATCGTGAGGGGAGGGAAATAAAAGCTTTAGATAGGTAGGTAAGTAGGTAGATAACCTTTCACCTCCTTATCTAACACAACTTATGCTCTCTTTCCTCAGGCAGCAGGAAAACTTATTCTGGGGCCGAGTGAATGAGCTGTTCTTAGTAACACTCTCAGACAAAATGGACTTACTCTGATCATACTGCTTCTGTAATTGTAAACTGTTCCTCTCAACTCAATTTGTTCTCCACGGACTACCGAGTAAGGGACGTGCACACTTATGAAGACCTCTTTTTGTACTTCCACTTGAAGTGCATCGGCAACACAGATACCTTTGCGAAAACAAGCAAACACACACCATAGCTAGCAAATAGCATTTACTAAGGAAGTCTTGTAAACTGCTATAGTTTGTTCTCTCTCTCTCTCTCTCTCTCTCTCTCTCTCTCTCTCACTCTCACACACACACACACACACACACACACACGGAGGGAGGGAGGGAGGGAGGGAGGGAGGGGAAAGGAAACAAATACTGGCACATTCTGAAGCCCAAACTGGGAAAAAGGCAGAGTGTGTGTGTGTGTGTGTGTGTGTGTCATAAACTTCACGCAGGCCATGGCACAAGGATATTTGTGGAATTTGTCTGTTGCCAATTCCTAGGTCATGTATCTCAGTTTGTACCATTGAGCCTAATGTAAGAGCAGAACATAACTATCCAAGTTATCTCCCGCTTGTCCAAATACTGTGACACAGCTGAAACCTAACGAAATGCACTCTAATACATCTTTCTATACACCTATTTTTTAAAGAATAAATGCACTTTTGCACAGTATTTCAGGAGGATGTTTCAACATTTGGAGGTTAACAGTTTGGGAGAAGAACGTATTTGTCATTACATCACTGCCCCTCCATCCTATGCCCTACTGTCAGGTCAGGTGTGTTGCAGATGCTGGTTCCCACCTGTGCCAGAAGGCCCTGGCCTGAGCTCATGTGTCTCCAACTTAAGCCTCCGCAGTCTCATGCTGCATGCAGATTACATTTGCTCATTCAAAGAACTATATGAATTAAGACATGTTTATGTACCTTCATCTGAAATGCTAACACCTTGTATTTCCCAGGTGGTGATAGAATCCGGCAGAGTGACAGGAAGGCTCTTCAGTCTGCATTCATTTAAAACAAACAGGCAAAAAAAAAAAAATCAGAACAGTTCATTTACTAATTTCATAATTGCTCTGGAGTGGGAATGGGTTCATCTGAAATGCTAACACCTTGTATTTCCCAGGTGGTGATAGATAGATCACCTATAGATAGGTGATAGACAGACTTCAGTAATGGGATGGGCCACAAAAGTTTTAAATAAATAAATAGGTTTTCAGCTGGATTGATTGTACTGAAAAACTCAGAAATGCAAAAAAGACTCTTTCTGGCTAATGGGGGAAGATATCTAATAAATAAATATGTGAAGGACAGTTACATTTGGAATCCTGTATTAGACCAGGGAGTGTGGATTTTGTTGGTTTACATTAACATAAAAACCCAATTAATTCCTCTCTTATCTCTTACCTTGCATAAGATTCTCTCCATGTTGGTGCTTATCTATGTTCTTGAGTACTTTGCAGCACCAGTGTTACTGAGCAGGTGGCAAAACAATTCAATGTTGTTCTTTCTCTGAGACCTGTGAGAGTTGCCAGCTCATGGCTTATCCTTTTTCTCACTCTTTAGTTTCCAGTTCTTTACTGAAAATGTGATTCCATTTCTCTATGATATCTATATACTAAAGATCTATTCAACGAAAATCTTAGCTCCATAAGAAAGAGGGCTAGATTCTAACTGGCATTTGAAGCCAAATGTTACCCTAATTAGAGTCTAATATAGAGCTTGGTACCTAGGAACCGGGTGGACCTCCCAAAGCCAACTCTCCGGAAAAACGCTTCTGACCTCTGGAGTCACATCCCACAGGGCAGCTAAGCCTGAAAAAGATTTTTAGAAGGAATCACAGGAGATAAGGTTTGTTGGGCCATCAAGGGCTGCTAGTCCAAAGATCCAAGTGGATTCTTGGATACTGAGCAGACATGAGGATTCAAAACCTCAAATACAATAGTACAGAAACAAAAGGTAAGTACACAGAAAGAAAAGTATTTTTAATCAGGCTGCAATCCTACATGAAATGTGAGGAAGCTCCGCTCAAATGGAAAGGAGTTTCTTTACCCTTGGATTTAGGGTTTTAAAGAAAGGACAATAGCACAAATAAAAGATTTGGCTTTAGCAGATGATTTGTTGCACTGCAAAATATGGACAAGCATTCCTAGGCCTGTCCACTCGCAGAGAGATTTTAAAACTAGGCTGAAGGGGGCATTGTGGTGGCCCATCCAGAGCAGCAGTGAATCCCAACCTGTGCCACGGGTCCACTTACGGTGTCTCGCCAGCAATAATACTCTGTGTGTCTCAGTGCTGCGCAGATTGTTCACACGGTTGCAGCAGTTCGCGAAGGCTATCCGGCACCTTCTGCCACCCGTAAGGCGCTTGAGTCTCTCCGCGCAGGTCTGTATGAAGGGATACGTCTCTGCTCCATCCTTGCAGCACTTCTGAACACCTGGATCCACGTACTGGGACGCTGCAATGGCAAGAAGGACTTCCGCTGTCTCTTTCATGCAACGTGAGAGGAATCGGGTCTAGCTCCGTGCTTTAGGGAGAGATGCTCAGTGTGCCTGCTGTTCTCGGTGGCCTCACCCCCGTCCACTACTGATTGCGCCTTCTCTCTGGGGCTAGCTCATAAAATTGCCCCAAAGGTGAGCAATGGAGGATGCTATTCCATGGCCGCACTCTTGTCCGTTTGCTCAGACCGGTGCAGGTGAACTGCAAGTGCAAGGTGGGTGCAGGGGAACATCGGTTGGTACCAGCAACAGGGCCAGGAGATTCTGGGGGGCAAGTCTCAGCAAAAGCCCAAAGATGATGTCTCTTGGAGTCAGCCCTAGTGGTCAACACTTTAGACAGAGCTGACCTGCCATGAAGGGAAACTCTGCCCGCAGTGGTATTGCAAAGCAGGGCAGAAGGAAGCCAGAACTTTAGACAGGTGGGCAGGAAAAACAGGAGAGTGTAGCGCAAAGAACACCCCAAACTCAATATACTTCCCATTGGGCTCTCGGGTTGCCGTTTCCCCCCTTTGTTTCTCTTACCCTGATCAACTCTAACAAACAAAATTAGGATAAGAAGTACCTAGTTTTTCGATTTCCGCGATGATGGTAGACCGCGATGTTCTTACAATTGCATGGCAAGCTTCATCTGTTGAAACAAATCAAGTGAAGCAAACTGGTGGCCATGATTAGAGACGTGATTTTATCCTTCTGTCTGCAAAGAGCAATGCCTTCCCCTTGTCTCTTTCAACGCACAATTTCTTTTCAGAGACAGATAAATGACAAACATGGGGCTTTTCCACTAGAAAAACCTGTCCAGATTGTTTTATCTTTCATTTTCAACCCAATGGGAACATCTAAAACAACGGCATTAAATAGCCACCGCAGCAAAAGCTGTCTGAAATAATGCAAGCTACTCGTGCTTTTAGATTTTGCGAAATCGAATGTTAACATTTTACCTAATAAATAATTTGACAGGGAAAGATCCCTACATTGTCTGGGTTACCAGGTAATTCCTGAACTGCACTACAGACTTACTTCTGTGCCCATTTATGCAACTGAACAGCTGCCCAGCCCATGCCCATGAATGAAAGGTAGCGTAAGTGGAAAAGGGGAGTAGGTTTCAATGGATTCTACTTTACTCCATGCTATCCCCCAAATTTACCCTCACTCAAAACTTAAAGCCACCTTTTTCAGGCACTCATTCTTGCTTTCAGGGCTGGAATGTTGGAGGACCTTACCTGCTTCTTTTGAGTCATCTGCATTGGCATTGGTCATGAAGGTGAGCCCGGCCATTCGGAACACGTCTATGTTGTTTTGTCCTCCACCAGCACCACAACCAAGATCACTACTTTCCAGTTTCAGAAGAGCCTGTGGGTAGTTGGGAGAAGGCAAAAAGGACAAGGCCAAAACTAATTTTAATGTAAGATAGCGTACATTTGGTTTAAGCCCTCCAAACTTTTATCACGTCAAGGGGCTGAGAACATATCGATGGTCTTAAGAATCCACATGTCAGATCTACGAGGACAAATCTGGAATGAAATAAAGGCCAGTCAAACTGAAATACAGTAGTATCTCGGCTCACGAAGGACTCTGGTCGTGACCCAAAATGGATGTGAGCCAAGTTAAATTTCCCCATAGGGCTCAGTGTAAGTAAGGTTAATCCATTCTGTATCTATTTTTTAATCAGAAAAATGTGAAGCAAAGTGACAAAGAACAAAGATCGCGGCCATCTCCCCACCCACCACCTCAGCACAACCACGATTGCGCCCATCAACCCAGCATGCTGGGGGAGGGACAGACGGGCGCGAACAAGGGTGCACTGGGAGTGGGGAGACGGGAGCAATCGTGCTGGGGGGAAGATGGCTGAGATCACAGTTGCACTCCTACAGGAAAGACGGGTGCAATCCCAGCCATCTCCCCCCCCACCACCCCCAGCGTGAGCACGGCCATCTCCCCACTCAGGAGGGTGGGGGGACAGCCACGATCATGGTCGCCACACCCAATGCAGAGTTTGCGACCCGAATTAAAATTGTTATCAAATTTTTGTTCGCAACCCAATTTGGTCATGAACCAAAGCGTTTGTGAGCCAAGGTACCGCTGTATCTCAATTGTATTATGCCTTCTCTTCACAGATGTTTATAGATAATTTTGCTCATTCTCATACTGTTTGTCAAACCTGAATGCTCTAATGATACAGTTGCATTGGAAGCTAATTATAAATAGTAACTAATTATTGTGAAAAAATGAAGAGAAGTGATTTGTCATAGTGGAGTGAAAGATTTTGTCTATGTGCTATGAACTAGACCAAAAGTATACACCTAAATATTACATTTTTATCAGTTTGCATACACACAGTACATACGCAACACCATGCCAATAAGATTTTGTTTTCCTTTTAGACTCAACGTAACTTTTTCCATCGGCCGCTTCTTTTCTCCCGTAACCCCATAAATTGCCTTGTCCATAGACGATAAAGCAACAAGTGAGTCAAACTGGGTTGTCATGGAAAGCGAAATGACATCTTTTGGCCTGTAAGAGCTTTTCCTACTCAGCAGCTGAACCTGTGTAAGTGAAGGGGAGGGGAGAAACAAGCATGATTCATTGCAGGAAATCACTCATTTCGAAGCGATTCAAGCATTTGTCAACCATTCTCTGCATTGTGCCCATATTCGTTAATGGATGGAGAAAGTCAGCGAAGGTCAAGGCGCATTACTCACTTCAAGGCTGTTCTTGCATTTCTCTTCTATATTTAACCAGACTGAATCAGCTACCAGTTCTGCAGCTCCCTCTCCAGTGACTATGTAGTAGACGAGAATGCGGGCCGACGGAACCATTTCCTTAGTCAGCTGAAACTGCAGACCTTGATAATTGGTGCCTTGTATCCTTCCCTGAGTTCCATAGCGTATTATCTTCCCTTTGGATAAGATCTGAAACAAAGCCATGCATATAGAAAGTAGTGGGTTCAAAATACTGTGTAGAGAAGCCCTTTGTGTCACTCAGACCCTACTCCTTATGGATGTCCAGTACGTACCAAGTAACTGTAGTGATGAATCTTATCTATGTAGTGGCTTGATGGATAGATGTTGACGTGCACGGTTTCTCCCACAAGCAGCTTTTTATGGTTTGAAGCCCAGTCGATGTAGAGGTAGCTCCCACTGAGGGAAACATAGGATTTTGCCTCGTAACTTTTGCTGGCCTGGTTTTCCTCCGGTAACCTGGGATCTGCCGTTGCTATCTAAAAATGGGGGTGCACAAAGTGAAGCCAGAAGCAGCCATAGCTGGGAAAAGGTACGAATTAGCAGACGGAATTGGAAGCCCAATGCATTTCGAGCTAGAAAGGAGCGTGCCGAGTTGCAAAAGGAACATTTCTGGCCCATTCGTGGCTGTGGGAAAGGGATTCTAACTGAGTGGGAGGCATTGGCCTTGCATGCGAAGGTCCCCATTTCAATCCCTGGCAGCTCCAGGTAAGGTAACATTCTCATAACTCTTATAATGTCGGGACTTCCTGATGGAAGCCACCATGGGAAAGTGTTGGTCACGTTTCTCCTGTGATAGTGGGTCAGTTTGCCCTACAAAGAAAGGGAGGCTGTGTCATTGCACAGCCTTCTTTCAAGTGCATAGTGGGGAAGAGAAAGTGGCTGCCACAGGAATTACTCCGCAACTCTCTCATCTCAGTAGCATGAGCAGTGATTATTCGCCTTGCCGTCAATTGGAAACTCAGAAGCGCAGGAAAAAGATATACGTGGCTAGAGCTAGTTAGCCGTAAAAAGCCTGTCTTTACACTCACAAGTGCGGAAGGCAGAGTACTATTGCTAAAGATTATCGGTGCATGTCATGCTCCTTGTACTTTAACTAATAATTAGATACTTGTGGCTTCAGGATCGAGCCTAAAAGCTCTGGAATCGCTCCTGCTCCACGCTCCCTGGAACTGCTGAGTTCACTGATTCTCTCTCCACTTTGGAAGGACAGGATGCAGTCTAACTGGGGAGGGGTGTCAGTTTAAACCCCTCCAACTGGGGCTCTGCCTCCTCTTGCCAGCGACACATCATTCTTCCTAGCCTCAGACCGCCTCACCCTCACTTCCCCTCCTTACACTTTTATCATCCATCTCATGTGCTTGCCTTAACAAACCCGCCTTGATTTCCCTTGCTTCCTGTTCATTTGACTGTTCTGTTCACACAAAGAAAAGGCCATTATCAGTCCTCACTTCCCTTGCAGAGGGTTTAGTGCCAAATAAATAAGGTACTCCTGGGCAACAGTTGAGCTTTTCCAAGTGGAGTGTGCCAGTCGGGCAATCCGCTTTGATACACGACCTTCTTTTGCACCCAAATCATCTGTTTCCAGTAGATTCAGAAGAATCCCCAGTTCACATACCCGGATGTATAACTACAAATCTGCTGTGTGGTTTAATATCAGTGCCAACTCAGTCCTCATCTGGTAATCTACACCCATTCGATTTACCCGGTTTGGCATTCAGACACACTTGCAAAGCCTGTGCTGATTCCCCATGACACTTAATTCCTACCCATGTGGTGATGGCTAAAACCCACAGAATACAAAACAAAAACCTAAGACTGGTTTCTCCCCAATTAGTTCATGTAATTACCATAATATAATGAACAATGATAAGTGTATACTATTAATACTGTGCTTGAAATGACCAGTTCTCTGCATGTCTACTCAAGACACACTAAATTCAGTGGGACTTATTCTGAAGCCAGGCAACTTAAGGGCACAATCCTGCACTAGTTTGTACAGAAAAGGGGCATGTAACTCCCAGCATGTTCCAGCCAGCATAGCTAATAAGATGCACACACTGTGATTGCCTCTTGCTATAAGCTAGCACTGTCCCCCATCTCCCATCATCCCCAGTCTGCTTATATCACCCTAGCACCACGGTCCTGAAGGGCACCAAATTAGGGAAAGTGAGTTTCAGTAAGGCACAAACTAACTTCTCTTTTTACAGCCAGGAGACTTTTGATCATATTTCTCCCCTATTGCGTTACATTATTTTTTAAAAACAGCTTTTAAGGTCACTAGTCCAAACGTAAAATCTAAAAAAAAAAAAAAAAACCTTTCCAAACTGAATTGTGCACTGGCCAAAGTATACAAAACTCAAAGTACACACTGTACAAGAACTGAAATGCCAAAGAATTTAACTCACTCGGAACTCCAGTATTTTGGTGTTAGCAGGGATATTAACCACAAATAAAGCCATTCCATCAGTCTGAGTTGTCTGTGTCGTCCCGGATTCAGGTAGTGGCTGCCTTGTTAGGTCTACATCAAAGGCTGCAACAGTGAGTACCACTGGTAGATTTCTAACTGGCGCATCCATTGTATCTTTTACCTGCACCTGTTTGCACAAAAACAATTCAGTTGATTGCCATACTATCTTCCTTTAACTCATTGTACCAGTATCAGGAATTCCTTTATCATCAGGAATTAGATGCATGTAATGGTTGTCACGAATGCAATCAAATGCGATTGGGTACCCATCCCCAAATAACCCACAGTTCCACTTACACTAATTTGCAAAATTGAGCTGAAATTACCCATGTCTCTGTGCACATTATCTCTGTGCAGTTTCAGAATAACCAAAATGGAAACCTTGCACTTCGGGGGCATTTTTTGGCACTCTGTGTGAAAAAACATTTCCTTACTGATTCATATTAGGTGCCGTTTGTTTTCCTTCCCCAGCCCTCACACGAGAGGTGTAATTTGTTCAATTATCCTTGTATTCTGCAGCTTCCAGGATGCTTAAACCTAGTGAGGTATATTGTGGGCTGGGGGGACTTCCAAACTATTTCAGCACCTTTCCTATAAGGTTCTGCGGTGCCCTCGGCTGCCCACATTTACCGTCAGTAAGATCATCCCTTAACCAAACCCGATTGGCCCTGTGGCACTGTCATGTCACCCCATTCACCCTCTGGTTCCTGATCTAGCAGGATCCATCCCCTGGCTTCTGTTAGAGTAAAACCCTTTTTGTTCAGGCAGCCATTTGTTCTATCAGATCAGTAAGGTTTTCATCTGACACCTGTGCTTAATTTCCTGTAAACATTTACTAAATCGTTTTTGTTGTTTTTAATGTATCCTAGAGTTGGTTTTGATTGTTAAGGCTATTCTAAACAAAATGTAACTACCAGAAGGATGGGCTATACATTTAAATATGCAATATATCAAATAACACCATGAGCTAACTGGGTGGGCATGCATTCCACTTTCCAGGAGGCAGTCCTCTATGTTTGGTGGGGTGTCCCATCCAAGATGCAGCTTGCAGAGAGGACAAGCCCACAAATCTTGACATTTCTTTCCACAGCGGCACATGGACAGCAGAACCAGCAGCCATTTCTCTGCTCTGCTCTTTGCACTCCTGTTTAAATGGCAACAGTTCCTCCTGTACTTGCAGCTAATGCTCTCTCTGCCGGCATATGCGAGGCAGATCTTTGTCCCCTTTCATCCTCTTTCTTCGGATGATGCATTTCATTTTTCTTGGCAATGTGTATGTAGCCACCCTAGTGATTAATCCAGGCAGAAGATCAGCTGGGGACGAATCAAAGCTGCCCAAGAAGAGCCGGCCAAGGGAACCGCTGGCAGAAAATGGCACAATCAGAGTGTTTGCTGGGGTGCGGAATTCGTCATCGGCTGGGATCTCAGAACTCGCATCCTGTTTCGGCAGAGAGCAGCACACGGCGGCAGGGCCGGCTGCCTCCTCCTTGTTCGATGTTGCCAGAGTTAAGTGAGGTCAAGCACAGGTTTCGCCATCACCAAGCCCCTCTGCAGGCCACTCCCAATGGGACGGGGTGGAAAGGATGGAGGACAACCCTGCTCACTTCCCCTTGCCCCTCCCACCAGGGCTTTCTTCCAAGACCCCCTTTTCTTGCCTTTCCTCTGCTCCAGTAAGAGGGTCTTGCTTGCTAGTTGCAAAGTCACGTCTGACCCTTTGCGACCCCCATGGACAACACTCCTCCAGGCCTTCTTGTCCTCCATCATCCCCCAGACTCCACTTAAGCTCACACCGACTGCTTCAGTGACTCCATCCAGCCACCTCATCCTTTGCCATCCCCTCCTTTTGCCATCGATTGTTCCCAGTATTAGGCTCTTCTGCAGTGAGTCCTTCCTTCTCATTAGGTGGCCAAAGTATTGAATTTCATCTTCACTATCTGGCCTTCTAAAGAGCAGCCAGGGTTGATCTCCTCTAGGACTGACCGGTTTGATCGCCTTGCGGTCCAAGGGACTCGCAGGATTCTCCTCCAGCACCACAATTCAAAGGCCTCAATTCTTGGGCGCTCAGCCTTCCTTATGGTCCAACTTTCACAGAGGGTCAGGCAGGGGAAATACAGCAATCCCAGGGACCATTACTTGCCCCAGCTCCTTGGAGGGTTCCACAGCAGCCCTCAATCCTTCAAAGCTATCCTGCAAGTCTTTTGGCTTGCTTCTTTTCCCACTGGCCTCATTCAACCTCCCCTAGCTTCAACGCCTCAACCTTCCTCAAGCCCCACCTGGTCCCCTCTTCCTTCACTCACCTGCTGCCCACCTGTGACTCCTCCCACTCAGACCCATTCTGCTCAGGTCCATTGCTCCTTTCTGGCTGCCCAGCCTCTCCACTCCCCCTGTTCGTACTCTGTGTTCTGGGCCCTCCCACCCCATCCATTGGCCTTCTTTCTCCCTCTGCCCCCCACACATCTGTCCAGTTATCTTGCTCTTGCACTGCGCCACAATGCCAATTTCTTAAACTATGTTCATGGTGCTGAATGGACCTCCCATTTACATGGAAACTGATGCGAACTGTGATGGAAAGAGCACGGAGGCACATGCCACAGGTACATGCTCTCCTCAGACCAGAGAAGAGCAGAGGGCAACATGATGGGTTCACACCAGGTGATCGTGTTCTGTGCCATTTCTTGTACCTACCTGAATCTCAGGTCAGAAAGGGAGAGAAGAAAAGCGAGCACACGTATGTGGCTAGCTGAAGCCAGACAAAAAGTGACACACAGAGCAGTGGAACGGGCTGTTCATAGGGCTTAAGCTATGCACTGCAGAGGCACAATCATAAATAAATGCATTATTCCAGGAACCATTTACATCTCTCCTTCCAGCAGGCCCAAAGTCCAGGTAATGCCTGTTCCTGCTCCCATTCTCTCATTGCTTGGGGAAAGGAGGAGCACGTAGCCTCGCTGTCATCATTAGCATGAATGTAATGGTTACGTAATGCTATGACTGCGTCCCGCCTTTCCCATGTCGACTGACCTTAATGACGTAGGGAAGTCCAGGCTTCACAAAGAGAGGTGTGGCGACCAGGTTCTGTTTGTATGGAGACAAGGTGTACACGATCGTGGACAGCTCACTGTCCTCACTGTGGCCGCCTACAAAAGAAGCCTCCTGGTGAGATAGCTTGGAGAAGAGAGCCTCGGGTCTGAGTGCCCAAGCAACTTGGGCGGAGGGACGCCATGAGACAACCTGAGACAGGAGAGGACAGCCCCAAGAGATGGAAGGAGTCCGATTATGACGTTACGTTGATACCTTCCTCCTCCTCGCCACCTCTGTCGTCTGGTCTGGAATAAGAGGCCAGTTGCACTGAGCTCCGTCTCCAGCCACTGGGGAGGACCGTGCCACTCCCCCACCATGCTTCTCTTTGAAGCAAGTCCCAGCTCCTTGTGCCCCAAGCTGGCCTACTTCCCTCAAGTTCAGTGGAGGACACTCGGATAATCACCAGCCCTGAAGCAGGATCCACCTGCCACTCTCAACAGCTTCTGAAGATGGGGAGAGAAGGTCCTTTGTCTTGGGGCGAGAGAGACAGGAAGCCACCATTTTCCCAAACTGTGGGTCCACCTGGCTCGGTACTGTTGCTGCAGATCCTGAGTTTCATGCCAGGGTTTTCCAGCTCTGCTGGGATCGTCCCTGGGAGCACCTGCAGGCAGAGCTTGTGTTCCTCCCGGAGCCACAGCCCACCCCTGCTTCTTAAATGTATCTCACCATGCGCAATACACTTGGCCTGATGTTTTAAGCTCCAAACCATGTGTTATATATGCATGATGTCCCTTAGCAGAAAGAAGCCTTTCAGGCTGATGCACAACAAGTCAAAAAATATGCCATTTGCTACATAGAATTCTCTCTTTTCACATCATCAGTTTTAGGTGCTACAGGACTCAGACGAAGAGCCCAGGTGGACAGGTTCTGGCTCCTTAATGGGTGCATTAGCAAGGCAGCATGTTGGAGAAGAGAAACAGTCACTCCAGGTCAATGAGTAGAGATCTCCGGGCAGAATGCCCCAACACAGACGAGCATCAGGAAACCCATCATCCTCCATTGCGTCCTACAAAACGTCTAGGGGCGAGCACCACAGTTTGGAGCTCTTCACTGGCTGGCCCCATCTAGCCATGCTGGCCCTGACAGGGTGAGCTTAAAAGGGCTTCCTACCTGGGACTGAGATTTCATTTTTGCCTTTCCTCATGAGCAAACAGCTGGAAGAAAGGTCCAGTGGGTGCTGCTAACCCAGACTGAGGAAGCGCTACCTGACCTGTTGACTTGGGAATCCATTAAGGACTTTGAAATGGATTAAAGAGAGGTTTACCTCTTATTTCCACCACCGACACGGCGATGTAAAGTCTTGCATCATCAAGCTCTTGGAGATCGTGATAGCCTATTTCACTGACAGCCGATTTGCTGTTAAAATAAAGCTCTGCAACTCCGTCTTCTATCTGAGGACAAAGGCAAAGAAATCATGCCATATTCAAACAGCAGACTGGGCCCAGTTTTACTCCGTTTCTCTTCAAAGCACCTTGACTGCCTCTTGGTTCCATGTGAAGACAAAGAAATATCAGGAGGCCTTGTTTGTCAGTGGACCAAGGCAGGCAACTCTGGGTTCACACAAGGTAATTGGCCATAGTTGGCTTATAAGCCGGGGTAACTTGTTGCGTTGTCTATGTTCAAACAACATGACAAGCCACTCCTGGCTCACAAACCACCATGGCTCTTCCTGTTGTGCGAACCTAGTCAAGCAGATGTACTTGCAGGACACAGTGATCCATCATGTTGTAGAAACCTAGGCCACTTCTTGCAGGGCGGCTTGTTGAGCGGCAAAAGTCCACCCTGGCAAACCATGCTTTGCGCTGGGGTTGGTTCACCCCGGTGGGTTGTCATCTCACCTGAACCTGGGCCACTGCCCTGATCATGGGTACAAGGAAGAGGTAAGCAAGAAGCTCAGCAGTTGAGCTTACTCGGGCGACTGCCAAGTGGCACAATGGGCAACTATCCCTGACTTGGTGCCAACCTCGCTTTTGTGCTCTCCACAGCTTCCCCCACTTTCCCTTTTTCTCCTCCCCAGAGATTGATTTCTGCAAAGTCCAGGTGGGCAGCCAGTGACAGTCCCTCCAAAGCCGAAGTGAAACACCACAGATCCAGCCACTGGTTCAGCACCTATTTATTCTGCACATGCAAATATACTTTATAGGGATTTTATTCTTGGCACAGACTTGCCCAAGCATGTGAAAGAAACCTTAAGAGAAATGAAATCCTATTTTTACGCATTTCTGAAATACGTACCTCACTGCAGTGACCTCCCTGAAGACGACCCTACAATGGGAGGTCAGCACAGCATGGCAAAGCCACTCAGCTATCATGATGTAGCAATACAAGCTATTCTGCAGGGCCCTAGGGGAATCTGCCATTAGTTCTACTGTGTTCCTTGATTCATCATTCAAGATCAGGCCCCTCAAAAACACCTTTCATTCATTGACCTAGTTTCTGGGACTAAACGCTTTTGAATTCTGAGAAATGAGCCAAAATAGTTGGCAGATGTTTACCGTATTACAGATCCTGGCAACTATGCAGTACGCTTCTAGTTTCTAGGGGCCCTGACAAATGAAAAATTCTAAAGAACTCCAACATTTTCCTTCCCTGGAAAATATATTGGCATGTGACCAAATTATAGCAAATATTTCAAGCCAAGTTCCCAGAAGCAACAAGAGCTGGGGAGTGCTTCAAAGACTCTGCACTCTCACCCACTCCAGGGAGGGATTCACTAGGAGCCATGACTAAATTAGCTTAAATCCAAGTTGCTGACAGTTAAGCGGTTTGTGGAATGGGTCGTTAGGATAAAATATGAAAACCACTGGCTTCTAAGTAGAACCATTTATATGAATGAGAGCGAACTATTGGATGGTTTTTGATGAGCGCTGTCCAAGAGCCTTGGAAATTAATTCTAACAGGAGGGGGGCACGCATTATGGTTTCATGATCAGTAGGGTACCCAGTTCCAGCCCAAGGATATTTATGGGGTTGCTGATGATGAACAGTCCATGTGCAGCTGGACTTCTGAATACACCTAGCACAGCCTTCCCCAACCAACAGAGGAATTTGGACTGCAGTTCCCAGAATTCCCATCCTGCAGGGCCATTAGCTGGGAATTCGGGGTGTTGTTGTCCCAATGTGCCTGGAAGGCAGATGATTGGGGAAGGCTAGGCTGATTGATAAAGTATCAACAATTGATAAAGTATCAACCATTCCCCTGCCACTGCCATTTCTTTCTTTGCTGATAACTTAAATGCAAACTGCTGGGTCTTTACACTCGAGTAGTGGCCATCTAGCTGAATGGGGCATGAAAGCAGCAGCACCCTCTGGCCCATGCGCCCCAGCACCTGGTGTACACAGGCATGTACCCATCTCTTCCATAAAGTTGCCCAATTCCCTCTTAAAGTCACCCAAATGGGTGGCCATCACTGATGCCGATACCTGTTCTGAAATCCAAGCAAGTGCATGGGGACCCAAGTTTTCAAAAGGGAACAGTGAATCTCTAATAACTTTAATGTCTCTAGGCAGACTAGGGATTCTAGTCTGTGCCTAGGGATTCCAGAAAGGCTTCAACTTGGGCCCCTCGACCCTTTTAATGAATTACTTTCTTTTTTAAGTAACGCGGTCCTGCTAAAGAGCAGCTTCCCATCGCTGATGGAAAATCAACAAGAGATCTACTGATGTGGCCTGGCTCTTTGAGCCAAGCTGAAACTGCTCCCTGGATGAGGTACTGTCTGCTACATTTTACTCCAAAGAGTATTTGTTTCCCCTTTACGCCCCTGATAGGACTACTTTAAAATGGAAATGCTGACACTGAATAATTGCCTCAGTAAACCGGAGCCAGATCTAGACCTCAGAAACGACACTGGGAACTGGAGCAGATAGAACCCGATTATATTTTCTCCAAACTTACCTCGACCTGTCTCAAGGCGTTGGGCATCATGGTTTTCTGCCCCCCCTGAATTATTCCAAAACGGACAAAACCTTGTGCATTAGCCAATGCCTTGTTGTAAAAATACCTTGGAAATAAGACCAAAAAGAAAAAGTGAGTGAAGGAGAAACTGCACATCAGCCCATAACCTGACTCAGTTTTTGTCGCTGCAGCACGGATAATGGGAAGAGGAATGTATAATAAGTCATTTATTTCCAACTGGGAGGGGCCATCCTTGGGGCAAAGATGAATGGGTTAAGGCAGACTTCCCAAACCTGGTCTGCTCCAGTTGTTTCAGATTTCAGTTCCCACCAGCCCCAACCATCATGACCAATGGCCAGGAGTGCTTGGAATTAAAATCCAAAACTTCAGCATGGCACTAGGCTGAAGAAGGGTGCCTAAAGCACAAGCCAGCCACAACGTTGCTCATTACTTGTATGCAAGAAACATGTGGGTTGTATGTCATGCACAGAGCAAGGCCGGTCCTACCAGTAGGTAGAGGGACGGCATTGTGGCCGAGGCTGGGAGCCAGAAGCAAGGCTGGGGAGAGCCAGGGACAGGTGGCTAAGTTAGCCCACTGCCACGATGGAGGCACCTGCCTTCCTCTCGGTAGTGAAAACTAGCTCCACGGCCAGTCCACTCCAGGCAGCTTCTGTAAGCGGAAAGGGTCAGGGCACCCTTGACCTTCCAACAGAAAAATGCCCAGGCCAGCCCTAGTGCACAGGTGCTGCAGGGAACTGTGACCAGACTTGGGACTCTGGGGGATGGGAGCAGATTTTAACTCTCCTCTCCTGCCAAAAAACAGCTCTCTGAAGTTGCTGCTTGCATTTCAGGGAAAGTTCCCACTGGTGCCAATGGAAAAGTCAGACAGCAGCTTCAGAGAGATCTTTGTCAGGGCCGTGGCAGGGAGCCTCACGACAGAATTAACGACCAAAGGGAACGAGTGAAAGCAACACAAAACTCTGCACTCTGGAGGGCGCCTGTTCACAGTTCCAGTCAGCTATGGTACGTTGTTCTAGCTTCCACCCAGCCCTCTGATCCCCAGCCTAAAACAGTCCGTCAGTATTCTGCACTCGCAGGCTATGCTTGGTGCCCACTGGGTCGTTACTGGGTTCCCCGTTATCTACTCAGGATTGCCATTTTCTTTGGTTTTGTTTGCATATCTTACCCCTCCCCGCTGCTCCCCTTTCACTGCTACTGCCATTGAGCACTGAGAGCCTGAATTGCACTATCTAAGTACTGACACTCACATCTGAAACTTCCTAGCCTATAAGTCAGGTTGCCAATTCAAGAGGCCATACTATAGAGCTTGAGGAATCTTTCCCAGAATCCACTGCAATGTCTTGGACTGCTAGTGGGACTCCTCCAAAGGGCGGGGGGGGGGGGGACAAACTAGAGTACAGAAGAAACATTGCTAAGCCCGTCTTACCTGGCTTTGATAGTAATCTTGAATCTTTCGAATTTCTGAGAGCTAATGAAGTTGCTCTCGGGTTCTATGGTGACAGAAAACCTTGGCATTGCTGAAATATGAAGTAAAAGAAAGTTAATTTGACACGTTTAATTATACAGAGGAAACCCTGTACTCGAGGTTGGCACTCATTTTGTTTCTTCTGCTCCAGAGTCTCATTTTATAACAATCTTGCATGCTGGTGGGAAAATCTTTGTTCTGTTCTTTTCCGTAAGTGATAAGAAACGCTTTTCACCAGCATAAATTTTATCATGGCAAACCTTAATTCAATCCTATATTTGAATGCATGGAGGAACCCATTCCCTAAACCACGTGGAAGGAAATGGAACAAAGAGGAAACTGTTGGATGCATGTGGAAACTACCCATCCTATAAAGGAACTATACTGCCTTGAAGGTTTCAGAAACATGCTTGTGAGGATAAATGTTCCTGGAAGCCAGCTGCAAGAAGAGCTGCATCTGGGGTGCAGTTGGAGAGGAAGAACTCGTGGGTGGGGCTGAAGTGGGCATAGACTCAAACACAGACCCCCACCACTTCTTCACTGAAAATGCCTCCTCCCATTTCTGAAATGGCTTTTCCCCAGCAAAAAAAAAAGTCACTTAAAAGCATGTTAAGAATATGCCAACAGCAAACAAATGCAGTTCATGTATTGAATATACATTATGCATATTCAATAATGCAAATGGAATAATTTGCCCCTGCAAAGAATACACATCTGGTATCCTTATATTCATTAGTATTAACATTCCAGGAAGCATCAGCATTACCATATTTTTTAACTTGAAATGGGGCAACAGCAGAGGTTGCAAAGATCGTCTGATACTTGGCTTTAATTTTCCAAACACCGTACCTATGAGGAAAAAAGTTCATGAAGGCATTTTTAAAAATAGGGGAAGGGCTTCATTCTAAATTTCAGGGTTGAGCTGTAAATTTAGTCTTCAGATTTATTGGTCTCACAGGAGATTCCCTATTTCAAAAGTCAATGTGTATTACTGGACTTAGTTTCAAATGCTGTACTCATGCTGTGATTAGAGACCTACCTGCTTATTCTGCTGAGCGGAGCACGGGGTACCTGCCCTGAAGTTTTACCTTGATGGTTCCACTTGGGGGTTCTAAAAAACCAGCCTCCCTGGTCAATCTTAGCAGGGGATCAGAACACTCTCCCAAAACCTGAGACTGATCCAGGGCATGCTGTCCTGATGCAGCCAGAGAATATTCCCAGGAACAGAAAGCAGTCTGCAGGCATTAGCTACACATGACTGTTTGAATGGCAAGGCAGAAACAAGTGGTCTCTTGCACGCTTGCCTTCAGCCTAACAGAAGATCTCACAAGGACTTCCAAAAAGTGACCCAATTCTCCCTGTTCCTTTCCATGATTGCTTGGGATGGAAGGAAGCTGCACCCACCTGGGCCTGAATTCCTTGCATTTAGATGGTGTGTGTGGGGGGGTTCAGTTCAAAAAACTGGTATATTCTGAGCCAAATCCATTCTTTTGCCACCCCCTTGAAATTGCTCTGTTAGCAGCCCATGTTCTCTGCCCTCTCCCACAAGCCTTTGCATTTAATTCTGCAGGGTCCTCACTGAGTCTTCACAGAGCAAAGTAAGAGACATGTTCAATTTCCCTTGAAGAACAGGCCAGTGACCATAGGACAACACATGCTTTCCTTCCAAGAGATCCTGGGTTTGATCCATGGCGTCTCCAGGTAGGGCAGGAAATACTCCTGTGCCTTAAACCCCAGAGAATTGCAGCCGGTCCGTGATGACAAAGCGGGCTAGGTAGATCAAGGATCTGATGCATACAGAGCCAGCTCTGTATGCATCTCTATCCCATTTGTTTGTTTGTTTGCAGTAGCACGCAAACACTTAAGTATCATTTGCAGAAGTGCTTTACCTAGAAGGATACATTCTGTAGTCAGTCAAGTAGCAAACATCTGACTGAAACAATGCACCTCGGGAGTGGGTACCTTGGAGAACTGAGTTTTCCAAACAGAGCTGTCTCCCTCATTAAGGTCCTCTTTGCTTTCAAACACCGTGAACTTCCAGCATCCCCTAGAGGGCTAAATGTGAACCAGTTTTGCACTTCTGAGTAAAATTCATGCAGACTGATTTGCCATCTTATGGCATCGCTGCTGCTAGAGAAGTCCTTCTCCATACCCCACAGAAAATAATCTAATCCCATTCCATTGATCAGGTTGGGTTTCAGATTCCAGGAAGACTTTTCCAACTCTTGAGACCAATGTTTAAATCAGTGTTCAGCAACTTTGTGTCTTCCAGATGTATTAAAGTGCCTGTAGGTCATGGATAATGGGAGCTATAGTCCATTGTATCTAGAAGGCACCAGCTAGGGAAGGGGGACTTAAATCCATCCGTTCAGATTCAGGATATACAAAACACTTGAAACTGTACTGACTGAGCAATAGCAGCACCAACACATCATCATCATCATCATCATCATCATCACATTTCTATGCCGCCCCTTGCCGAAACCTCGGGGCGGCTTACAACATGATAAAATACATTGAAATACAATAGTACATAATAAATTACCATTAAATACAAAAATACAAAAAATACATTGACTTACAAATATAAAATTAAAATTATCAGTATAAAATAAAAATATAGGAGGAGAAAGAGAAGGAAGAAGAAGTTGCCCTGGCCAGATCATATGTTTTAACAATTGAAATGATGTTTAAATAAAAAGGTCTTTATCTGGCGCCGAAAAACCCGTAACGACGGTGCCAGGCGGACCTCTTTGGGGAGTGAATTCCATAGGTTGGGCGCCACCGCAGAGAAAGCCCTCCTCCGGGTACTTACTCTCCTAATTTCTTTCATGGAGGGTTCCCGGAGAAGGGACTCTCCCGCAGATCTCAAAGGGCGGTCGGGCAAATACGGACATAAGCGCTCGTTCAGGTAGCCAGGACCCAAGCCGTTTAGGGCTTTATAGGTCATAATCAACACCTTGAATTGGGCCCGGGCTTCAATGGGAAGCCAGTGAAGCTGACGGAGGACTGGAGTCATGTGATCATAACGCCCCGTCCCCGTCAGCAACCTGGCAGCTCTATTTTGCACCATTCAGGTTGCGCCCAGGATCAAAGCTTTAATTAGTAATATTTGAAGTATTAATAGATATACTTAGGATGTGGTGGGATTTTGAAGTCAGGGAAGGAAACAATTCCGGCAACGTCATCTTCATTTATAATATCCACCTCTACTCCTTCTGGATCCTGCATAGAAAATAAAAACTTGTATTGATTTTTGACAACTTGCATGTTGTTCTGCAGGAAGTTCCCTTGGGCAGGAGGATTTGGCCCTGAAACTCTGAAATAAATGCAACATTTAAAAAAATAAACCCTCCAAATTAAGGAGTGGCTCAGCAGAACTCACTAAAACAGATTTGTTTGAAAGATTTATACCTCACTTTTGATTAAATGTTCTCCAAGCCAGCTTATAACAGATCTAAACGAGCAAAACACAAAGCAGTGATGGCTTAAGATCAACTCCAAATAGCATCTACATATTTAAGTAACACATTTTCAGGAAAAGTTTGAACAACTGTTTCCAGCAGTTAACTTGTTTCATACAAAGCAAATAAGCTTGTTCATATTTTGTAAGGTCTGGATGAAATTAAAATGGCTTCCAAAGTCCTCACAGCTATGTTGGAGAAGAGGAGTACGTGAGCCCAGAGTGCATGGTGAGGCTTGTCAGATGTCTGTTAGGACAAACTTTATTGCCAAGGAGGAAAGTTTCTGGGGCCGAGATGTTGCTAAGATGAGAAATCCTTTACTGCTGGCTGTGCCAGCTGCGGCTGATTGGAGTTTTGAGTCCAATAACATCTGTACCCCCTTAGGTTACTTCTGCATGCTGGCTTGTTTTGTCTATGCTGCTTATGTTTAAAATGAAAACTAGATTATGTTTACATTTAATGAGGAGTGACACTCACCACAATGGTTAAGGTGACTGATCTTCTTGCTGGCCTCAACTCTTCATTCAAGGAATAGACCCGAACCTTCACTGCAGTGATAATTTCAAATAAATGATACTTAATTCTAATGGAATGCATGCCTTCTGGCTCATTTGGGAACCTCAGGGCAGCTAACAAAAATATCTAAAAAAATCAATACATCTACCAAACATCAGGAAAAACAAAACACAAATTAAGAGCACCCCACCGACACTAAAAAGTGACTGATGTTATCCATAAGACAACACAGATTAAGGAAAATAACCAGAGCTTGATTTAAGAATGCATCCCAACATCTGCTGGAAGAGGCATCTATGTTAAGAGGCATTCCATCCTACATGACAGAGAAAGAGGGAATGCCTCTTCCAGGATTGTGATCACTATCCTTTAGGCTGTACCCCTACAGTCTCTGGATCATAACACATTTGATTTGCATCCCCCTGCCTCCCTCCCCAGAAAGTGAGGGAGATCCTCAAGCAGAAAAGAGATCTGCTCTCACAAACCTCTCCCTTGCAGGTATGGAAATGTCTATACCCTTCCTGCTTTGCGATTGGTGCTCTGATGGGAGTAACCGAAAAACAGGACATCCTGGAAATAGGATCAGCAGATGCTTTAAATACACTATCAATAAATTTCAATGGAACAACAACATTACAGTCTAACATTGCATGACAGCATCACAATCAAGTTAAATCAGATGAAAGAAATCTTAGCAGCATCTTTTTAGCTAAAAATTTGATAGCTCAATCCAGTCAATTAAAGGCCAATCCTATGCAAATTCAGACAGGAAAAAAGGCCTCCAAGAGGACTCTGCTAGGAATTTTAGGTCTGTTTATTTAAACTTGCCTAGGACTGCACCTCAGCTAATTCAAGTGTGCTATTGTTTTAAAAAACAATCAAAATTGGCTTTAAGGATAATGCAAAACTGCAACAGTGTTTAGCAGCATTTTGCAATAGAAAAAGTAACCTCACCTGATTGATCAGGAGTGTAAATAGGCTTGTCTGTCTGAATAAAGAGGAATCCATTCTCATAAGTAATGGGCATTTTCTTCTCTTTTGTAAAGTGCGGGGAAGTTGCTTCCAGATATACATATTCTACTGGTTTCTTTGGGTCTCTGCTTGATAAATCTTTGGGCTGAATCTGGAAATGGTATAGATTTTTAAAACAAAAATGCAGCCAACTAATCATGTAATAGAATAATTTCCCCTCTTTCACGAAAACCAACTAAAAATGCCAAGTAACAAACTTGATAAGATCGGATTCATACCATCGCTCAGAGAAAACTTGATGACATGCCTCAACAACAGCATGGAGTTTCGGGAAATCAAGTCAAGATCTGTGCTATTAGTTGTTTTAAAAACACCTGGCAGTGAATGCACCCTAACCGGCGCTTGCGGTAAGTGGCACTTAATTATGTCTCAGGGTTATAACCCTTTCCATAGCCAATGTAACCCAATGTGCTGGACTATAACTCAACTCACAGCTCCGCTCAGCCTGCCAAAATGAGGAAGGCTATCTTCCTATCAGAAGAGGGATCCGAGGCCAGTGAAGATGGGAAAATTCTGGAAGGGCAGCAGAAACAAAAGAGCTGGACCTTCTGTTAGGCAAAAGGAAACACTTGGTTGCTTGTTGTTGCTAGTTTCGAAGTCGTGTCCGACCCTTCGTGACCCCATGGACAACACTCCTCCAGGCTTTCCTGTGCTCCACCATCCCCCAGAGTCCACTTAAGCTCAAGCCAACTGCTTCAGTGACCCCCATCCAGCCCCCTCATCCTCTGCCATCCCCTCCTTCTCTTGCCGTCAATTGTTCCCAGCATTAGGCTCTTCTCCAGTGGGTCCTTCCTGCTCATTAGGTGGCCAAAGCATTTGAGCTTCATCTTCTAGTATTAAAGTTTTCACTAAGTATTAGTGTTTCCACCTTAACCCCTTCATGGATCACTGCCTTGTCGTGGCGAAGGGGCTTGCATAGCTCAATGAAGCTATGAGCTATGCCATGCAGGGCCACCCAAGACGGACAGGTCATAGCAGAGAGCTCTGACAAAACGTGATCCACCGGAGAAGGAAATGGCAACCCACTCCAGGATCCTTGCCATGAAAACCCCACGGACAGTACCAAAAGGCAAAAAAACACTTGGTGCAGGTGACCAAGTCTGGGAGACAGTGGCGACATTTTGGAGAAAAAAAGATTTGTGCCAGAAAGCCTGCTCAGTGCTCCCTAAGTTAGTTTGCTACCTTAAAGAGCAGCAAAGGATGCTTGTGTCCCATCATCACAGCTGAGGCCAGATCCAGCGGACGTTCCAACTGGCCTTTGTACATGCAATAGGAGGCTGGACCATTCTGGCTTGTCACGGGCAGCAAAATGTCTTTGGCACTTTAAAACTCACACATGGGTGATGGCATAAAATTCCTTTTCATGGTATTTCTGGTCCCCTAAGCCTTGCACCATAATAAATGAGTTGCGTTATATGAGGCCGCACCAATGAAACATTTTGTGCCAAAACACATTTGGCTTCTGCTGAAATATATTTGATAGTACTAGTCCTACCTGGGCATTTATTATTGACACTCTGTAACTAATTATTAGTCTGTGCAACAAAGGATCCTTTGTAATACAGCTTTGGGCTTAAATTAAACCGAGTGTGTAAGTGGACTGGAAGTTGTTTTAACTACATACCGTTACTGTGACGGAACCTTGGAACTGATTTGCCGGAGTTAGCTGAGCGTGTCCAAGAGCGTAGGTTGTTTGTTTATCAGGGAAGCTTTTAACAGATATTGTCACTGGAAACTCCTGTTCGTATCCAAAGGCTTGGATCACCACCTTTTCAGATGATGCGACACGGAGGATTTTGGGTGCTGAGATGACATATCTGTAACAAAGGCACAACAAATGGTCGCTTTTATCCCTTATGAGGGGCCCCGTCAGGCACTGCGGTGTGTTTGTGGAGGGTAGGAAACCGTCACTTGTGCAACCAGAAATCACTTTTGCTCGTATTTTGTAATGGGCTTGGCCCTGTGCTTTCTGCAGCATCATGCTGAGAATCCTTACATGTCTCTTCTGCATCTGCTGGTGTAAACCAATAGGAAAATTCTTGCCATTACCCTAATACTTCATCTGCCCCCATTCTAAAAAAAAATCCTGGAGCTGTGCTCACCCATATTCCCCCTATACCATGCCATGGATGCAAAATGTTCCACTGCAAGAAGTTCTTTGTTTTGCGCTGTTATAGTCTTGCAAAATTCTGGCTCTTTCACTGCAAGTTCCTCCTTCCTTTCCAAGCTACATGAAAAAAGTAATGTGAAGGATCCAGAGCCGCTGCCATATAATTCAAAGAAAAAAGATTGCCAAGGGAAAAAAGCACATACTAACAGTATCAAGAAATAACAGGACAAATAACTTGAATGTGTAAGGAACTGCCTCAGCAGAACCACAGTTTAGGCGTGATCTAAATTAAAGCACTCAGTCCCTCAAGGACGACCGCTTTTCCACCAAGCTTTGTCATTTCAACAGCAGCTCAGTGGCTCACCTGCCAATTCCTGCATATCAGAATCTATTACATAGGCTGCTAAAAGTCAGAGAGAACTTGACAACCCTCCTCTTGTGTTGTCAGCTGTACAGGATCGCACCGATGATGCACAATTAATTGGACCATGTGCAACTTCTCGGTGACGTGGGTCCAGCCTTCCCTGACACAATGCCTTCTGTATGTGTTGGACTACAATTCTCCTGACCCACAGCCAAGGAATGGGAATAATGGGACTTGTAGCTGATGTAACTGGAGGGTACCAGCAGTTTAATTGTGCCCATGGGGTCACAAAGGGTCAAGCATGACTTTGCAACTAGCAGCAGCAGCAGCTTAATTGCTAAATACTGGAGCAATTCTAGCCCTTCACAGCTGAGGCTGAGCAGGCTGAAAACATCCAGCTGCAGAACAGCAAAACCGCCCAGGACCTCTGAAAAACATGGGCTGATATTAAAAGAAAGCTTTTTCTATGCTATCGCTCAATGCACTGCCCACTGTTAAAGATCAGTTTTGCATTAAATAGAATTAGGGTGGGCACGGGAATCCCTGAACAATACAGGTGACATGCTACCAAAATCAGCAAGAGCTTTGATTCTTCGGTGGTTGTCTAACTGGCTAGCAATTTGTTTGTGACCAAACAGCAGACAAATTTGCTTGTCACCATGTATCTCATCTTCACTATTTATTCATTTCTGATCTGGTTTTTGGTATGAAAGGCACCATGCAGGTGGATTACGAATTGCATAAACAGAGCACATAACTATTTAAATAAGACCAAACCAGTTCAACAAATAATATTACAATAGGATTAAAAGAGCACTCAAGCTGGACTGAAAATTCACAGGACATATGTTGTTTTTCCTTTAAGGGGTGTATGTGTGTGTGTTTTAAACAAAATATAGCTATAGCTTTAGAAGTTGCCAGCTGAGGCATAACATGCATATGGGGTGTTTTAATCCTTTCTCCTACAGTGATTTGGTTTATTTAGCCCAGTCCCTTCCCCCAAACCCCATAGCAATAATACAGCAGGTCCACCATCCCACTACAAAAGTCGCAGTTTGCAAGAACTTCCTGGCCAGGAGAAATTGCACAAAATTGCATGTCACCTGTTTCAGCCTTGCATCTCCAAATGCCTCCTGAAATAACATTGTTCTATCTCACAGTCTAAAAACATCATTACAGGTTTTGTGGTGGGCATCCTTGGACAGGGAGGCCCAGAATTCAGGAGCTGTCACCCTCATGAAATTCTTTCTAGACTCGCTAGGCAGTGGTGTATGAGTCAGGGTCACAGTGATATCCTCAACTTACAGGAGGGCAAGCGTCTTACGGAGGAAGAGATAAAGTACATAGACCCATGCTTCCAGGCTTCAAAATGGGCTGAATCCAAGCTTAGTTATGTTTAGAATATCGCCACTCAAATCAAAGGGACTTAAACTATGTTTAAAGCTTACTGATTTCAATGGATCTGCTACTAAGCCTGCCAAAACCAGTCTATCCCCTTTTATCCTTGTTCTGGTTAACAACAACTCTGTGTTGCATGAAGCACACATTACTTACGTTTGCTCCTGAGTCAACCCTCTTCCACAAAACATCAGAAGAAAGAAAATGCCTAGAAGATTCATGATTGCTCGGAGGTGTTGGGACCGGGGAAACCAGCCCTTGGTGTTCTGTTCTCCTGCAAGTCCATCAAATGAATTTGTTAGTGGATTTATCTAAAAGTTAATCATTCATCAGGTCATCAAATCCCAGAAGGGAATTGTGAGGAAATCCCCTTCTATAATGCCAGCCAGACTGGAGTACCTAATTCAAGAGCCTTCCTTTCCCGTGTGCCTTTAAGCACGGTGCAATGTATACTGCTAAGTCAGACACTCCTTTACCATGTAAGCAAGCAAACTCTGGGAGAAGTAATGCAATACCTTGTTCCTTAAAAAACCAAAAACAAACCTCTAGCTGAGATTTCTTCAGACATGTTGTTTTGAGCCATTCTTCTTCACTTCTCTGCCAGCCTGAGTTTGAGACATTGTTACACATAGACAGACACACAACCAATATTTCTAAGTCTCTGTCTCAGGATCATTGTCCAAATAAATCAACAGGACAGAAATCAAATTTGCCATTTGCAAATCACTAATTTGTATCTATCCATGCTATTTAAGAACTAATTACTAGGATGCATTTAAATTCCACATCAATTTATTTAAATCCACATCAGTTCAAGGAGAATAAGTTCTCAATTAATTTGCACACCTTGTTCTAAGTCATTCCTCTGCCCCAGTGGGGGTTCCTCATTTTAAATAATTTGCAAACTCTCTCTGTAGCTTCCACTAACCCTTCTCCAGTCCCTGCTTGTGTCTCTCTTGATCCTGGAGGAAAATTGCCTGCAGCCCATGCAATTCAGCTGGGATAAAACTTAAGATTAATGGCCAGGTTGTGGAGAATTGATGGGGGTTTCAACATGTGGGAAGGGAAAAAATTAAGTTCTTACCGCAAACCCCTTGATAATCACCACTTGCATGGGAAAGTACACTAAGAAAAAATTCCATTAGTACCAGCTGAGACTCAGAGCTTAGGGAAATAGATCCCAAGCCCTGGGAAACAGTTCGGGGCCAGGGTCCCTCAGCCCAGGCCTAACAGGCAACAACAGAGAAATGCTGGAGGAACAAGTGTGTTTTGGGGAGACAGTGGAAACACACCATTTTTTCTGCCTCCTCAAACTGCATGGAAAGAAAGTGGTGTCTTAGCTACATAACCAACATTCAGCAAAAAATAGTGGTCATGATGCTCCTAGGATTAGAGAGAGAGAGAGAGAGAAACTAGGGTACAGGATTTTTTCTACTCAGCCATGCTCCACTGGTAGCTTAGCTTCCAGGGCTCATGACATTTTTTGCCCTGTGCCAGCGATAAAGAAAGCCGAGTGGACAATTGGCATGGCTCTATCTCTGTCTTGTCTGCAAGTGGGGAGCAGTTTCAATTTCACTGATGCGCCTTTTAACGATCCACATCCACAGACAGAAGAAAAATGAGGAATGCCCAGATTGCACTACATTTAATATAACCTTGTTAACTTCCGATAAGCAGAAGTCTGGCTCTGCTTCTTTTATTTGCGTATTAAGTGTAATACCCTAGCGAGCAACAAAACAGAAGTTAATGCCAAGATGTTGCAAGTTTAAACAAAAGCTATAGCCAGTGCTTACGGGAAAAGGGCATTTTCCAAAGAAATCTTTGACCAATCGAATCTTGCATACCCGCCCTCATCGGGCGGGGGGGGGCAGGTCACCCTTGCCCTTGTCAGCAAAAGGCCAGGACTTCTGATGTGTGTGTAGTGGGGGGGGGGGGGGGGTTCAGGCAGGTTTCAGGCTTCCTTCACTGGAAGACCCTCTTTCCTTTTTTGAATGTGGTCAGTGCCTGCAATGCAAGCAGCCTTGAATAATTGGAAAACTTGATGCAAATATAAACCAATGGTTAGATTAAAAAAAAAAAAAACCATGGGGTGATTTAAGCTAATTCAGCCCATGGCATATCCGGCAATTTCAATCCCTAAAATTTGCTCTTACATCACATGACTTGCATTTCTTGCAATGTGGGTTTTGAACTTTGCATCTCCGAAAAGCTGGACCCTCCAAAAAGCTGGTTTCTTGCCAAGTCTGACGGCCAGTGAAGAGCAACCACAAATGGGAAGTTCATTTCCATCCTTCAGCCTCCTGACCCTGGTCTGATATTTAGCCTCCTACTATAAACCTATTAAATTTTGAGCACTTCCTCTCTCCTCCATGCAGGAAGCACCGAGAGCTTTTGAAGAGAGACTTCGGTTCTGCAAACATTATCAGAAAAAGTAGCTATGGAATTTCAGCATTGTTGCTCTATAAAGCCTGAATGCCTTAATGAACCATACAATCAAAAAAGTTCCTTCAAGGAATTTGCAACTTAGTAACGACCTGGTAAGCAGCATGCTTTGGCTGGCACCAAGGTTGCCATCCTGCACACTGGGCTGACTCGTCAATATTTTATTTATTTATTTATGCAACCGATTTGTTTTCTATTCATTCTCTCTCTCTTCCATGCAGTAGCTGGACCGACAGGTTTCTCTGTTTTTTTGCCTTTTACCAGGCTCGGCATCAAGAGTCAGCATGCGAGCAGGACCTTGGCAGCGTCCAGCCTAGCAAAACAATTCTCCGCAACTCAATCTACTTGAGTTTGCAGAAGCAACGCAACTCACCCGGCCACTGCACCGGAGGGGGCGTGTTTATTGGGTTTCATTGGCCACGCCCCCTTCCGGGCAAGGTCTGATTGGTTCACATTACTGCAGTTAAAGGTGCAACATTTTTAAATCAATCTTTCAAATGAGCTCAATTAAGGAGGTACAAGCTAGGCTGGCCAGGTGCTAGGGTGCTTTGGGCAAGTTTTCCTTTAAACTGCCACTGCGGTTTATCCAGCTGGGGCTTATCGGCCACGGGCAGGCAGTGTGGTAGAGTGGTTAGAGTTTTGGACTGGGATGTGGGTTCCCGGTAGTGGAACTCATGGAGTGACTTCTGCCCAGCAGTCACCAGTCTACCTCACAGGGTTGTTGTGAGGATAAAGCGGAGAGGAGGCGGAGGACTGAAGCAGCCACTTTGGGTTCCCCCTAAGAGGGAGCAGGCGGGGTAGAAAGGTAATGAATGGGAATGTTGCGCAAAGGGGAGCTGCCCTCGATCCAGCCGAGCCGAGCCGAGCCGAGCCATGAAGGCGGTTCGAAAAGGCGGGAAAACGGCTGCGCGCGCTCGCGCGCTCGCGAGGAGAACCGCGCGTGACGGGCAAGCCGCGCCGGCCCTGCAGGGGGCGTGGCCCAAGCAACTGGCCCCGCCCCTCCTCGGCCCCCGCCCCGCGGCCCGTCAATGCTCTCCGCGCCGTCGGAAGAAAATGCCGCCGGGCCGTTAAAGGACCCGCCGCTTCCGCCTCTTGTCAGGGAAGCGCGAGGTGCGTCAGGAGCAGAGTCGGCGCTTCCGCCGCTTTCTTCCGTTTATTTTCCATCCGAGGAACGATGATAAACGTCAAGAGCTGAACAGAGAGGGGGGAAAGGCGAGAAAGCGAGACCGAGGCGGGTATCGCGCATGCGCGCCTGCGGCGACCAGGCGGAGGCTGCGGCCGCGGGGCGCGCGCCGGGGGTCGCCATGGCAACGGGAGCACGCGACGCGCGGCCCTGAGGCGGCGGCAGGGGCCCGCGGTCCAGGTGAGGGCGAGGGCGAGGGGGGCGTCTCCCCGCACCCCGCAGGTGTATGTGCGCCCCCGGGGGCCTCCCCTAAGGGAGTGCAGAGCCGCGTCGGGCATGTTTGCCCCTTGTCGTCCCCCGGCCCCGCTGGGGGTGGCGCGTCTCGGAGGCCTCCGCAGCGGGGAGGGCGCCCGGTTGGGGAAGGCTGCTCCGGGGATTCCGGGCCCGGGCAGCCCCGCCGCCTTGCGCGCATCTCTCCAAGCAAGGCGGGTGCGCGGCGGGTGCGCAGCGGGCGCCCAGGCGCGCTTGCCGCCCTGAATGCAGGCGATGCATCTGCTGGTGTTGCGCCCCCGGGCTGCACCCTCGACTGCCCCCCCACGACCTTCCTGCTAGCAGAGTTTGCCTACCTGTTTTCCCCTAAGGGCAAATGCCCGCCTCTTTTCTCTGCCTACATCCGTTTTTCCCAATAGGGGTGCCTTTAGCAGGCAGGGTTCTTTAGGGATACATTCTTGCCCAGACTTGAGAGCATCTGTAAAGTAGCAGATCTGTGTTTTGTTTTGGTTTGGTCTATTTGGGTACTTAGCACTGCCTTTGCATCCAAGGGAGTCTCCACGCTGATGTTTTGATGGAGGAAGTGTGAGACAGAACTGCAATAAATAAATAAATACATTTCCTCTTCCCAGGTTTTTATTTGTAAAGCAGTGGTGGTGAGGAAATAATACTTCTGCTTCCCTACAACTTTTATAATTTCCAATCGCCTGTATGCACTCAAGGGGGGGATTCTTTTGCACATATGTTGGTTGATGGGAAAATAGTGTGTGCCTTTGTGTAGGCAAACAAAAGAGATCTTGCATCTTAAGAGGAAAGCAAGACTGATCTCTCCACTCTTGGGGAAACTCTAGTGGGATTTCCTAGAAAAATAGCCTTTTCTGTGTTTCAGGGACTGAGGGGAAAGATCAGAGTAATGCCTGAACTAACGCAGAAGACCTATGGTTAAGTGGTACCATTTTCATGCTTCCCAATGTGGATTAGAATCCTGGCAATTATATACCTATGCATTACAAAGGTTGAGGAAGCTGATCTACCCTTCTAGCATTGTGTATGACGTTGATTAGGCAACTGCCTGTAACTAATCTTTCTTTGAGTAATCTTGAGTCCACAAGCTGACTTCAGGAAAAAGAACGACACCCCTAATAGGGGAAGTGAGAATAGGAGCTGCCTTGCCATATCGAAGGTGGAGGGGTACTTTCTCTGCATGGTTCAGCATGGCAAAGAATGCCTCTATTTTTGGACATAAGCTGTTCCCTTGTTCCCCTGTTTTTCCACCATATGGTCTTGTTCTTTTAATTTCAGCAGTTGTGAACCATTTTGCTTTTGGACAGCTCATGCTTCAAAAGTGGGGCTTTTCTGTATGCGGTAGGCTGATGTCTTGTCTTTGTCTGATAGCAATGGTTATCTTCTGCATCATGTGGTATATTTGAGTGAGGCACGTGGAACTAGATGTGGAGTTTTGGATGGCGGCAGGCCTGCTGTTAGCAGACCACGTGTTTGGGCAGCTGTGCTTGTTCAGCACCACGTAGGAGCAAAACCCAAGTTCCGTTCAAAGTTGAGTAAGGCAGCTTTATAGAGCACCATGCAAATTACAGTTATGCGTTGTGGTAGCATGAAAGTCTGTTTCAGGCACAGAGTATTAAGGAAAAAAAGCTACTCTCTCTCCTTATCTCATGTTTTGATGCTTTTCATAACATATTCAAATGAGGCTTTGGTGTCAGTGGTTTCGTATTCTGAACCTCTGGAGAGATGTGAAGATTACAAGAAGATAAAGGCTCTAATTAAACAAATCAAGATAGTCATGGCAAGGGGCGGCATAGAAATGTTATAATAATAATAATAATAATAATAATAAAAAAAATCTTTAGAGACTCCATTAGGAGTAGAGGGGCAGCATATAAATGCAAAAATAAATTAATCATTATGACTATGCATGGCAAAATTTCTGTCTGTTCATTTCTTCCTAACCCTGAAATTTCCTAGGTACTGTACAGAACTAAGTGCTTCATACAGTACTCAAGAATCTAATAGATATGGCACAAATCAACATATAAAGAGGAGGGAAGAAGAAAACAAGTAGATTTGCATGCAGCTTAATCCCAGCAGTATCATCTGGATGGTGGGCCACCCGCTTTTGACCTTGCTTGCACGATCACCACCGCCCACCACAGTTTATTAACCATGGTGAGTTGTGGTGCTGAGAGGCACCAGGTTGCCAGTCAGAGCCCTCGTGGCTACTAGTAATGTTCAAAGCAAAGCCCCGTTTTAGGGGACCACCCCAACAACCAGCCTCACCAATCTCACACAGAACCAAAAGTTGCCATGTGCCTCGTACCACAGCCTGCATATTCAGAATGATGGCTCCTAGCGCCCTGAGAAGTCCAGTGGGGAAGGTTACCCATGGTGTCTTCTTGTTCCATTTGACTTGGGCCTTTGGGTACAGCTACATGCACAGCTCAGCAGCCCTTGGTCCCATGGCTAGTGGTGGAAGTCTGACCGTGCTTCCCTTCAGCTCTGCGGAGACAGGCCAATTAACAGTTGGAGTGGAGGGAGAGGAGAGGGAGAAACACGCATCCCCTTGCCTCATGGTTCTTCCTGGAACAGCACCTCTCAGGTGCTGTTACTTCCCTGGCCATAGATTTGGGGTCTTTCTTTCAGCTCTGCAATCCCAGGGCAACAGTGAACATGAGTTAAGAAAGATATTATAATAGGGTGCTTGCTTCTTTTGGAACAAGGTTGCTTTTTGTCCACCAAGATAGGAGCCCACAGCAAACAGTGTGTAAGAAGCCAAAAAGTGCATGCTTTTTATTTCAGACAAAACAAAATAGGTTCTCTGTATTTTATAACTATCTTTCTGGGCCAGTTATGAAACTGTTAGTTCGCACTTTTATGACTTGTTGCTGAGAGGGCAAAATGTGTAGAGTGTTTAAACACATCCTAGGCACAACCTCACCTTCACCACCAAGCTTTTCATCTCTCGGGTGGCCTCTCACTTTTGTTTCCCCCATTTTGCTGAAACAGATAAGAACAGTTACTTGCCACTCATGGATTAAAACTAGAGGGTTAACTAATACAAGAAGCAAGAAACTGGGCTTACTCTTTTTAATGGATACAGGAAAAGTCTGTATAGCAGTTTCTCTCTTGGGCTAATAGCTCTGGTGTGGGAGGAACTCTGCTAATATCTGGTATAGTTTTTCTGCTCTGGGAGTAAAGTATGCAGTAAATAACCAAAGATGGAAGGTGTGAAACTAAAGTGAATCCTTCCTGGTTGGGTGATGAGTACAATACTGTGTTTCCGCCCCCTAATGATGAAAGTATAAGGAGGTTTGGAAAGAAAGCTTGTTTTGTTGAGCAAGCTCTTTCACAAGCCTTCCCTCCCCCTCAAAAACTAACAACCACCTGGAATCAAATTATTTAATTTGACATTTGAGCTGCCATAAGGATCTTTGAAAAGACTTTTGAAAAAGATCCTGTGTCTTTGTGCTTGCAGCTTTCCTTCTGAGAACATGCAGCATTCTACGCAATGAGGAAAAGTCGTCCGCAAAGAGCATCACCTAAAACAAGCCCGATGTCTCCGTCTCGCACCCAGAGTCCAATGTCTGCTGTAAGTTCAAGCAGTCGATCACCATCTCCACTTAGCAGACAAGGAGCTCCAGTTCGTTATCTAACAACAGGACAAAGGCTTCGAGAAGATGCTGCAGAAGAAAGTGATACAGGAATTCCCTTTGAATCTCCAGTTGGACAGGGTACTGTAATAAACAGTCTCTTGCAAAGCATTTAAAATATTGCAGTGTTAACTCCACATAACTCAGTTTCAAGGCATCTAGAGATCTGCTTGGCTATTCTTTGGAAAATAGAATATGACTTTTAAATTAGCATTTTTTTTTCATTTCTTTCATATTTGAAATAACCCGTCAGGACAACAGTGTTTCTAGGGCAGCTTGCAAAACTTAATAATAGCAACACAAAATTCCAATAACAACACAAAAGGAAAAGAAGTTAAAAGCACAGTATTCAGAACAACTGAATAGCCATTTTTAAAGCCTGGGGAATTTTAGAAAGTCATTTGCTTGGTAATTGCAATACCAAGTAATTAAAGTAATTTTGTTAGAAGCTTGAGCACTACATAAGTACGAAGAGCAGAATGGTTCTCAGGCAAGTGTGGCTGACTGTGCTGGGGGAGCACCCAAGTGGGAGTCTTCCCCACTCCCTGTGTTTAGGAGCATGGACACCCCCATTGCCCAAAACAGGAGACTGATACAATTTCTGTTTCCCCATTGTGGTTCTGGCAAAGCATTAATTAGTTAAAAGCACAAATCCATAACATTTCAAGGTGTGTTTTTCCTGAACTGAAAATCCTGTTATAAATACATACAGAAAAATTATGTAGTGTGTAATAGGAAATTTAATGTACATTCAGGAAAAGAACGCCTTGAAATTAATTCATTAATAAACAAAGGGCTTTGGAGTTTTACCAATAGCACTGCACCTCCATTTATGCATATAAGTGTTTTATGAAATAGCATAGCAAAAGGGCGAGTTACAAGGGGGACATGCCTTACAAAGTTAAAATCTTAATTTCATCAGTGGGGGCGGGGGAAACACAAGGAGGAGAGAATCTGGTAATGTGACAAATGTTATATTATTAACTGCATTCCGGTTTGGGTTTTGGTTGAAAAATAGATCTAATTGGTTTATGAAAGGTTGTTTTGGAAGAAGATTTTAGAAGAAAGAGATATCCTCTCTACAGGAAAGAGCTGGAAAGTGGAAGTCGATGCCTTTTTTTAAGTATGACCACAGTAACTTTAAGTTGTAAAACCAGGGTGCCTGGACTGTGGCCCTCTAGAAGCTTTGGTGTATGTTGCCCGACCAGCACTATTCCGCATGGCCTGTGGTGAGGCATCAAAACATCTGCAGGACTACAAGTTGCCCATTCCTTTTGTCAGAGACACAAAGAAGGAAGTCAAGCGTAGCAGCAAAGTACATAAGCCTAGACATCCCCACCTGAAGCAACAATACCTAAAACAATCAGCTGAGAGGGGAGGGGGAGAGGGAGTGTGAACCATTCAGTTTGGTTTGTCTTAAGCACTGCATATTTCCATGGCTGTTGTAAAAACAGTTTGTGAAACATCCAGAAATACTACGGTTTGCGACATCTCCTTGTTGCAAGTCTTTGCTACAGTGTGCCATTGTCGATTACTATATCAACATCTTCTTGTTGATTACAGGTGGCAATTGTATCAGTCCTGGTATCAGATACATAACAGAACCTCTGATCAATAAGCTGTCCAAACAGGAAAACGTGGCACGTGTAACGGCTCTGAATCTTTCCCTTGCCAAAGATGGAGGAAAGAAGTTCAAGGTATATACTTATCATTAACATATGTTCACCTAGAACAAAAGCCTTGTTGCGTATGAACTACTCCTACACATTTCATTCCTGTGTGTGTCCCTCTACAAAAACCTTGAATAGCTCTGCCCCTACCCCCCAAAATCTTTTAAAAGAAGCCGAAGCTTTGACACATAACTATCAAAGCTCCAAGCTCCTTTAGAAGAAATGGCTCACACTTCTCCTGTTTTGCTTTTCCTGTAAAAGGAGCAGCATGCCGGGTGGGGGAGTCGCTGTGTTTGCTTTGTGGCTTGCTTACAATCCGTTGCGAAACCTTTTGCCCAGGTTCAGATGGCAGGCACCTCATGGTGGGTCCAAGAAGCCTGCAACAAGCCATGTTGCTCGCAAAGAAGCCACCCTGCTCAAATCAGTCCAGATTTGCAGAACACGAAAACCCACTGTGGCTTGTCACCCGCCATAGGTTGTCATGCTGTGTGAACCCAGTCATGGAGACACAGAGCTGTTTTTATGCTCTTGCCATGTTAGGATAATCGCAGCACCTTCTTCTTACCTTTGAGTGAGCAAAAAAAACCCAGAGGAGCCATGAATGCCCTTCAGAATGCCTGGTCCCACACAGCTTTTTTCAGGAAATCAACCCATTTCATATTCGGTAGCTGTTTTCTTCTTCTGTCTTTGACTTTTCCAAGTACAATTGTCTTCTCCAGTGAGTCTTGCCTTCTCATGAGGTGCAAGTATAATAGCTTCAATTTTTGTCACTTTTGCCTTCAGAAAAAGTTCCTTCTTGATTATTTTTCCATCCCCCATGATGCTTAAAACAAGAAGTCTACTATTTCCTCCTATTGTAAAAACTAATCTAGTTGCCTAATGTCTTGCTTCTGTTTTTAGTACATAGAAAATCTGGAGAAATGTGAAAAACTAGAGGTCCTCAATCTCAGCCACAATCTGATAGAGAAGGTTGAAAAGCTGGACAAACTTTTGAAGCTGTGTGACCTCAATCTGTCATACAATAAAATAAGGTACGAAAGAAAAGAAAATAATAGGTGCAGACAGATACAAAAAGAGGACTGCTCTGCCCAGGATGCCCCCAGCACATGCCCCAGCCAGCGGTGAGGGTGGAAGAGGGCTCCCCCTTCCGAGGCGGCAGTCCTGGCTCTGCCTTCAAAGTGTTTTCTCAGGTCAGGAGGCTCCAGGCGTGTGGCATCATCGTCATTCTTCCACCCCTTCCCTGGAACTTAAATTCCTGCATCGCTGTATCCAGTTTCTCGGTTCTGTGGTCGTAGGCCAAAAGAAAGCATACTGCACCCCATTAAATTCTCAACAAAACAGGAGATCTGTTTGCATAGAAAGCCTCTAGATTGGTCAGGTATTTAGAAAGATGAATTTGAGTGGACATTTTATTATTTTTATTATTATTATTATAACATTTCTATGCCGCCCCTTGCCGAAACCTCGGGGCGGCTTACAACACGATAAAATACATTGAAATACAATAGCACATAATAAACTACCATTAAATACAAAAATACAAGAAATACATTGATTTACAAATATAAGATTAAAATTATCAGTATAAATTAAGTAAATAAAAATATAGGAGGAGAAAGAGCATTTCTATTAAGTATTAGGAAAAAATAGTAGATACCTGACAGCTTTCCTGTGTTTGTGGCTAAGATTTAGCGTTGTGCACATGTGGTTTTTCTTGACCCTCCAAAAATGGAGGTTGAAGGACGGAAAATGCATCGGCCATTCCTTTGCGTTGCAGCCGAAACCTAACATTGTGCATGCACAGACTGCTCATCTTCGCCTGCTTTTAATATTTTTCTCTCTCCCTCAGTAAAATAGAAGGCATTGAACACCTGCACAATTTGCAGAAACTGAATCTTGCTGGGAATGAGATTGAGCACGTCCCTGTATGGATGGGGAAAAAATTGAGGTCACTGCGGATCCTGAACCTGAGAAAGAACAAAATATCCTCAGTAGGTGATTTCAGCCCGTGGCCGTGCTGTTGCGGATCTTAAATGTCCTCTGTTTACTTTTTAAGTTTCTGCCCATTTGATGGAATGACACTTCCTGACAATAGTAAACCACTGTGTCTCTTTGGAAGATAGTTGATAAGTTACCTAGCTTTAACTATGTAGCGTTATTATTTCTAAAAGAATTGGCTTTTAGGGGTATGTGATCAGTAACCACAGAAATGTATGACTTAATAAGAAAAGAAAATGAGGAAGTGAGATGTCGGAACATATGAAACAGCCCTGTCATGAATCAGACCATTGGTTTATTTATTTATTTATTCATTTTTCAATTTATATCCTGCCTTTTTCCTACAAAGGACTCAAGGCAGCTTACATCATTCTCCTCCTCCATCTGATCCCCACAACAACAACCGTGTGAGGTAGGTGGGGCTGAGAGTCTGTGACTGGCCCAAAGTCACCCAGTTGGCTTCATGGCTGAGCGGGGACTAGAACCCAGGTTGTCTGAGTCCCAGTCCCATGCTCTTAACCACTACACCACACTGGTTCCATCCCGCCAAGTCTTGTCAGCAATGACTAGCAGTGCTTCTTCCCTAGCCCTACCTGGGATACCAGGAATTGTCTCTGGGGCTTCCCATGCTCTGCTACTAAACTCCATACAGGTCTGAGGAACCAGGAGGATTAGAAAACGAAGAGCATAGCCATGTAACTCCTGGCATATCTTCCCTAAAGCTAAAAAACAAACATCTGTATGCTTGCTTCCTAGTAGAGTTTTATTAGGTGGTTATTTGCTGAGAGCATTCATGGTAGATCAGTGTCCCAGAAAGACGGATTGCCCATCACACTACCACGCTCCCTCTGCTGTGTATAGATGAGCAGACATGTTTAAGAAAACATTCTTAGGTCAAGTTAGGCAATTAAGTCCACTAGGCCTGGCCAGTTTCCTGCCTGAGTTGAGTGTGTCCTGGAGCTGGCATTGGAGTTCCACAGCCAACAAGATGGTATGCAAAAAGATTTGGAGAGGTAACCTTCTTAAAAACTGCTGAGCTCGTGAGTGCAAGCGGTCAGACCATCACTCATGTAGAGTTTAGAGAGCATTAACACAAAACCATATTGATTGCTTGAATGGTTGTAGCTTAGCTTGGGACTAGCATGACTTTCTAGAGTCTTTCAGAAATACAGCTTTTGTGCTGTAAACACTGATACCTGTGCCTGTCTTGTTTTTAATTTTTATGTCTCATATACTGCTTTCACAAAGAGCCTCCACTGTGCAAAACCGCAAGTTCTGCTCAGTTTGTCTTTGTGTAATCATCCTGCAAAACCTTGTTCGTTGACAACAGTTTGATAATTTTATATGTCAGAAATCTTGTACTAATAGTTGCCATGATATTTGAATAGTTAGACTTACCTTGTTTCAGTTTTAACACAAAGGATGTACTAAATATATCCTTTAATGAAATGTTCAATTATGTGCACGTTAGCACAGGAAGAGAGGGTTCTTTGTGCTTTAAGGAATGTCTAATTCCTGTACTTTGTATTTTTCCTTTCAGCTCCATGAAGTAGCTAAACTGAAGCCTCTTAAAAATTTGACTTCCCTGTTCCTGTCTGACAATCCTGTTGCAAACCTGCCTCATTACCGTCCCTTCACCATTTTTCATTTGAGGTCATTGGAAGATCTTGAGGGACAACCAGTGACTGACTGTGACAGGGAAGAGGCCACTGAAAGGTTTAATTTAGGTAAATATGACAAGCATGGGTTCAAACAATTAACATGCATTCTGATATAAAAGTAGTTCTTGTTGAATTCGATGGGACTGACTTCCGGGTTAGCGTGTATAAGATTGGAACTTCAGTGTGAAACTTTTCCAACCATGTGCATGCTTTGGACTTGGCAAAGAAAAGGATTTTACAAAGGAACAAGTATTAGTTTCATGTGCAATTCATCATCTGTCCCCACTTAAACCACGCATATTATATGCAGAGGACAGAACTGTTCAGTCTGCAGAACTCCTTAACGCCGTTTCTTTGTTTCTGTGTTGGTAATATGTGAACATGTAATGTAATGAAGTGTGTACTATATTGGTGTGCCTTATATTGCAGAAGAGATAGAAAATCTAGAAAAGGATTTGGAGAAAGCGATGAAAGAGTTGGAGGACCTTAACAACAAGCAATCTGACCTGCTTGAGAAACTTCAGCAGCAAGAGGACCTAAACAAATCATTAAAACAAAATCACCTCCGACAGAAACAAAGCTGCAAAGACTTGGAGAGTGAGCTGGAGACAAAAAATGAACTGGTAAGGATGCTTTAGTTGGTGCAGTCCCAGTGTGATGTTGAATATCAGCATGTGCGCATACCTTTGCATTTGCCGTCTCGCATGCTATGGAATGAGAGACGGCAAACTGGCTAACTGGCTATTAAATGCCAGAGAGCCGTGTTTCGTTTGAGGAGGATGCCTGGTCAGCATTAACACTGCTGTAAAAATGACTGCAATGGGTTCACAGCCGTAGGAAGAGGCCAGTATGTACAGGCACCGAATCATTTCTTTAGTCCGCTCCCTTTTTGGTTTATCTGAGAATAGCCACTATAATCTGTGTTGGCATATTTACAATTTTTGTTTTGAAACCTCTGTGCTCTCTGGCTTTCATTACCTTTCCCTATGCCCTCAAACAGTTGGATTTATGTGTTTGTTGCTAAGGGCAGCCCTTTCCAACCTTGTGTTCTCCAGATGTGTTGGCCCAGTTCCCATAATTCCCGCTTGCCACAGCCAGTGGAGTGGCAGCCCAGAACGCCTGGAGGGCACAAGGCTGGTTTGGGGATTCAGGAGCTGCTGTTCCTGCGACTGCTGTGATGTCCCATTGTTCCTAATACTCTAAATCGTAAACATATCCCTCACTTTTCTCTTTTAGATCTAAAATCCACAATCATTCAAATGTGTTGTTTGTTTTATTGCAACCCTTACTTGTCATGGCTGCAAAAATCTTAGGATTTAGCTGCAGCCTTTTAAGTAAGATTGCTCTGGACTGGGTTTAATGAACCCTGGTTTCAAAGAGATGTGTGAATATGACCGCTCTGGAGAATTAGAAACAGGGAGCACATATTTTTCAGTGTTCGAATTCAGCATCCTATATTTTTTGGCACTAGCTGTTCCAGTTCATTTGGATGATAGATTTTGCTTGCTTCTCTTCTCCTTTAGCTGGTTTTGACCCAGTTTCCTTCCTACTGAGCCTTTATTCTTCACTGATGGTAGAGTCGCTATTTGGGGGGCGGGGGAGGGAAGCTTCACTACTTTTTTTTTTACCTGTGGGATTTTCCTGCATGGTCCTGTTTCAGACTGTCTCGATAAAGTTGGAACTGCACTTGTTCTATAATTGTTTGCTCAAAACCTCCCTGTATTTTTCCAAAGTAGAAATCATGCATGGTGTTAGATATTTTGATTTAGTAATCTAATTCTTTTCTTTATTACAACCTTTCCTGTGTCTACCTTTCTCTCTCTCTTCCTCCTTTTAGTTTTCTCTTCTGCTACCTATTGGAACCTTGCTGCATGTTCTTCAGGTATCCAACAAGAAAAGTTGTCAAAGAGAGAGCACACTATCTGTGGCTAATGACATAAAAATAATAGGACAGTTATAAACTGGATATGTGCATTCTTTAATCAGTGTATTTTGCTTCTCCAACTATACTGTGACTACAGATCACAAGTACAATCAACATCTTGTTTTCTATGGTTAAAGACTGGTTGCAAACCTCTACATGAAACCATGTTTTTGTTTTCTTCTTGGTAAAACATTCTGTTTGCAATCTTCAGCAAACCAAACTAAGGCAGTTTCCCCCTGGTTGTGAGGGGACAAACAGGACTTGATGATGTCCTTGGAAGACGTCTGGGGAAGGGCCACTTAGCAAATGAACAATGGTTCCACTGTGCCCGTTTGAGAGTTCAACCAGATTTAAACAACAAGCTATGGTTTGTGCTCATCTCAGTTAAGTATGTCACCTGCATCAAACCACTGTCTTGCCACAGGTGGCGTTCAAAGATAGCCAAGGCAACATTTGGGTTTGTTTTATGTTCAGTAAGTTCTTAATAAAATTGAAAATATTTTACCTGAGAATAAATATTCTAGCTAGAAAAATATGAAAATAGTGGGACTACGACAGTGCTGTGAAAATAAAGGCCTACTTTTAAAACTCTCTCATATTTGTCTGTATTAAACCACCTTAGTGAACTGAGTAACCTTATTAGTAAGAAGAATTATGCACAGGTGTCATGGCTGGGTAGGAAATGGAAGAGAATTCTAACACAAATTTCACCTCCATTTACTTCTCAGCCATGGAATCTGCATGGATGCCCCAGGGGTTTTTTAGGTGCAGTTTTTCCAAGCAGTTTAAAAAAAACACTTAGAGGCAGATCAGGGTAGAGCAAATGAGACACCAGCAAGGCCCTATAGTATGATCCTACTGACTGTGCCTTTCAGCCATCGGAGCAGGTTTAAAAACAAACCTGCCAGGGAGCTGCAGTCCCAAAAAGCACTCACAAAAAGGGTGTGTGTGTCTTGATATTTCCACTTCCTGGAAGAGGTGGACAACCAGGGAAGTGTCAGAAATATGAAAGGCACTGGGAACTGTTAGTTCAGTGTTTGAAACTGAGAGAATTGCATTGCTGTGGAGGAAATCCTATTGCCATCTCTCCTCATTGCACTGACCTTTCCCCCTTTATCAGTGATTTGGAATTGACAGCTCAATGGCTGTGTACCTGTGTCCCGTCTTGCCTTACCAATTTCCATGCAGTCAACTCCCCTTCATATCCTTTGACAGCTAAAATTGACAAGGACATCAACCGGGTAAAATTACATCTGTTGAAAAACTGTTAGTGTGCACTTCTGAACCTTCTAAAAGACTGCCCAAAATTATGAAGAAATTTGCAGATGTTACCAGGGCAAAAAAGCAATCAAAAATGTGGTGAAAGTGCCGTTTGGGCAGAGGTGGATGGGCTCTCGCTGGCGGTGACACGGGAAGATTGCGAAGAGCAACACGGGGCTCTTCGTGGTCCCTCTTTTGCCCTCTTCCCGTTTTTGCCAAGCAGCTTGTTAGCCACTCTTCACAGTCCACAGTGTAAGCAGTCACCTGGACTGAGGTGACTTGACAGCCCACTCTGGTTCCAGCACCCCAGAATAAACCAGGAGTTGTCAGGGTGGCTTCTTGCCCCAGAATACACAATCCTGCAAGAAGCAGTCTGATTTTGAACGATACAAGAACATACTATTGCAATTTACCCAGGGTAATTTTCCTTAGAAAGGAAAACATGTATCCTGAGGCGAGGGGCTGAATCCTAAGGCGTCATTGGAGAATGGAGGAGCTTGTAATGCAGTGGATCCAAACTTGCTCTCTCATCAGAATGCCCTGCTTCAGGACTTACTCTTGGCAGCTGCCAGCCAGGACGCCGTGGTGGAAGCTTCATGCCTACAGAGCAATCTAAGTCGGCCTCAGTTGGTCACCAACTAGAGAAGAACTAGAGAAGTTGGTCACTAGAGAAGAACCTCTGTAGCAACCTGACCCGCAGATCTGGGGTTTAGGACTGCCATGTAAATGTAAAAAAGTAACATTTAAAGCAGAATACCCTTGTCAGTTAAGTTGGACTTAGGGGAAACCATGAATTTTTACTATATAAAGACATTGACCTTCTTTGCATAATTAAACAACCCGTGGTTTGTTAACTGGGGGTTGTTCAGGAGCATGTGAGCAGTCTGGCTTTTAACTCCCATAGTTTTCACTTTGCTGAGCAACCCAGGGACTGACGTCTCCTTGACATCTGTACTTGGAGCTCTGAACTGTTGAAGCAGAAACAACACCTGTTGTTAACGTTTTAGTTGTCTCTTCCCCATCAGCTTAGAGTTCTAGCTTGGAATGTCACAGAGCATGTATTACTCAGGAACCAGGTGGGTGGGAGCTGTACATGTGCTTACCCCAAAGACCTCCAAAGTAACAAATGGGTTGTTTAATTTTGCAAACTGAATCTTAGTGTCATTGTGTAACTCATGCTTGTATCATACAGTGACCTATCATATATACTACTTGAGTCTCTATTTTATTTATGGAACTGACTTGTTTTAAATAAATTTTGTATTAGCTAAAGCAGAAGACGGTGGAATTAACCAGAGCCTGCCAGAAACAATATGAGTTGGAACAAGAACTGGCTTTCTATAAGATTGACGCCAAGTTTGAGCCATTAGGTTATTATCCAGCAGAGGTAATTTTTTATAAATATTATTCTGGATTTTAGGGGTCCAGACCTTCGGTATGCAGATTTCTCTGCCGGGATCCTGTTTATTCCTTGTTCCCCAAAGGGCATAATCTTATCTCTGATTGTACTAAACCTCTGAAACACAGCACATGGCCAGCCTTCCCCCTTTTGCTGTAGAAAGGTATATCAGGGGCCATTCCTACAGTTTTATTTGACATCCAAACATCTCTGAAGCACAGCACTAAAATAAGCTTGGAAAGGAGGCATGGATGCAGTGGACTTCTGAGGCCCAGTATAGCAGCAGTGACTCTCTTACTCCATAGTCAGGTGAAAGGTGGGACATTCCAGGAGGTGGTGTGTGCACCTTGCCTGCAGCCTTGCAGATCTTTACTGGATTTGTTCCTTAATTTTTCTTCAGTTAAGCTGTTGATGGAAATATTTGGCGAGCTTTTGGGAGCCTGAACGTTATGAAGAAGAGGGCATCCTGGAGAATCGTGCCTGCATGCCGTCATCCCCGCAGTGGTGGCGGCCTGCAAGGGGTGAGGGGGGCTTTGGAGAAGCAGCATGCAAGGGCCTCATGCCTGCCGTTTGCCGCTCGCCCCTATGGTCTCTTCTGCTAGAGAAAGTGGTCATCCTATTGATGAGGGCTGCCATTTAAATCACACAATTGACATTTAAATTACATATGCACAATTGACCTTGCTCTTTTTGAAGTCAGTGGGAAATGCCTCTGGATGAAGCTGTTGAAAGAGTGAGGTTCATAGGGGAAAAAATTACCAAGAAAGTCTCCTCTGACACATTCCCCTCTGAAATACATGAGAGTTGCACATAAATGTGCTTTTCACAACTGAGACTAATTTCAGCAGCGAGTCTACTGGGTATTTTACTGTGGATTGTACTCACTCTTTCTAGTCCTAAAAATGATACATTGGGAAGTCAATCCAAGTGTGTCTCCTTTTATGCTTCATGAGGCTAAGGCCTTTATACTATCACTCTATAAATTCTTTCTGGATATACTATCACTCTATAAATTCTTTCTGGGGCTTCCCGTAAGGGCCTTTTAAAATGCAGATCATTTCATGAACATAGAATGAATTTAGATTTATGAATTTAGATCTCTTGTAAATGAGGATAGGAGAAAGTTTTTAAAAAGAGTAAGGAGTTATAAAAAGATGCTTGGGAATATGTGTGTTTGTTTACAAATCCTTCAAATATTGGTAATGTTTTATTATTTCAATACAATTGTTGAATTGTTATTTTATGGTTGCAAACCATCCTGACGTTGTATTGCCTGTTTGGTAGCATACGAATTCTAATTCTAATAGTTCCATTAGTACTAATGAATCAATAGATGCATCAACAGACTCAAAAGAAAAAAATGTCAAAATACACACAAAATTGAAGTAATTAATCAGCCCACCTTGATGCATACAACTGGCTTTGAAAACAGCTTGAAATACAACTACAATGTGTCTGATTGCAGGATGTTGACCTTGACGATGTGCCAGGTGAAAGTCCTTACATTGGCAAAGCCAGGTACAAAAGGAACATGTACGCCGTGGAAGGCTACATCCCAAGTAAGGCCCAGAAGCTGCAAGTGGGAAGCTTAGGACAGGAAGAGCAGCAGAATAATCAGCAGCTCAAGCTGAATCTTCTTCAGTCCCTGGATCTACAGCTGCAGGAAAAAGAGAAACAGATGAAAGGAGGTACCACCAACCGTCCCTGTCACTCTCAAATAAGAACCCCAGCCCCGGGTCCATTGTCTTCTGTCCAATGATCCATCAAATCGGGAGCTATGTTTTGTTACGACCCAGCAGCATCTGATTTCAGTGACATCATGGCTGAGGTGACCTGTTAATCGCTGACTGCCAGCTCTCACTGCGAGGTATTACAGCAGATTGCGGTAGAGCAGCAGCAGCCATTTAACACAACCCTGCTGGTCGGTGTCCCTGCTACGATCAGACTTTTTACATAAACCTTTTCTAGCCTTTTGACTTGCTGGTCTTCATCCAGTGAGTCTCCTCTGAGCATATACATGACAGGAAACAATACTGAAGCTTTTGAAGCGTCCTCTGCTGTCTGCATGGCCTTCCCAGTTGCGATATTTGCCTGTCCCCATTCGAATGCTTTCAATGCATATGGCATTACACATTTTTTCTCATTTCCCTAGCCCAAGAAAAATTGTCTGAACTGCACAGTGAAGCAGTCAATGCAGAGCAACGGGTTTTGAAAGCAACAGAGGAGCTTAGACAACTCCAGGATGCTGTGGCTCAGAAAAAGGTACGCAGATTTCTCCTGAGGGACTGAAAGCCATGAAAGAAGCATTGGGCTTGTTTTTCTGGTTGTTTGGATGGATGAGCTGTGTGGTCTTCCTCATAAATTTGCAGTAAGAACAGTGTCAGCCTAGATGAGGTCCTCTGCGACATGAGGGCAGAGCTCCTAGTCGATGTGAAATCCACGTGTACAACCCAATCTTTGAGGACCCACATTCTTTTGGATGGTAGCAAAGCCTTGGAGGAATGACCAGGCAGCTCTTGTAACAGACGCTGTTAAGCAGCGAATGTTGTGTTGCACATTTTTATTGATGGAATAATAAAATACTACACATAACTTGTCTATTACCCCATGAAAAACCTTCAGACAACTAACTAGCTCAGTGGTTGGGCCTGAACTGGGCACACTCCACTGTTTGCAAAGATGCTGAACCAAAGATGAAGACTCTCTCTGGTAATCCTCATTTTTAGAACAGTTACCTTTGGACCTCAAGAACTGACAGGAAGTTTGTACCTCGAGTTGGATGGTAATCTTCATATCTGAGAGAATTATTACCATCAGTTGGTTTCTTGTACATTGTAGCTACAATGCCTGATCATTCCTTTTTGATTACAGTGCCCAAAAAAGTAATTTGTTATGTGTAGGATGTGGTTTCAAAAGTAAGGTTAGTGTTTCTGCATTGATCCACTAAAAAGAAATAGAAGGACTGTTGTAATCCTCTTCATATGAAAATGATGCCACAAAGTATCTCAGCCATGTTGACAAATTTGAACCAAAGGAATTGATGGAATGGATATTTTGTTGAAAATCTTCCATGTAAAGATTGGCTACTCCAGGGACATCCCATTGCTGCTCTCTTTAGTTGCCATTTTGTCTTGTTGTTGGAAGCGGAATTGTCCTTGTGTTAGGAATATTGTGGCAGGGGAAACCTAAAAATTATTAGGAAGGGTTTTACGTTTCGCATCCTTGTAATATACTGAAGATCATTAGAATGCACGTATCTGTCATGTTCTGGTGTACAGGGATTGGATAGTTGTATTAGGATGCCTGGGCATGTCATTTCTAGACACTGCATTTGATAAAAAATGCACTACATCCCACATGTGTGAAGTGCATCTTGGGAAAGAAAGGTTTTAAGACATAATTACCAGACAGGGATTCTGGGTCTGAAGATGTTGAACCCAGTTTCTTTCTGTTCAACGTGCTGTTTTGAAGTGTCTCAACTTAGTTGGGTACGTTTTCTGCATCTTCAAATCTAGATGTTAGAAGTGGAGAAGGATTGTCTCCGGCAAAAGCTAAGCAACAAGATACTTCTCCTAAGTCAGCTTAAAGGGGAGGCTCTAGAACTGGAGAAGCAGATGGAACAGCAAAAGCAAGAAATGGCCAAAAAAGAGGAAGAGGTAGAAGGCCTGCAGATTTTTACAGACTCTCTGGATCCTAAAGACCCCAAGCATGTAAGTGTTGGTCTTTTTAATCTGAATATTAAATATTATTCATTTCTGTACCACCCCCCAGCTGCAGCGCTCTGGGTACATGGCTTCTTTTTTTTTATTAGATTCTGTTATGCTGAAGAAATGCTAATTTTGTATTGTCTCATCTCAAATTTATTTATGTTTAGCCAGGCCTCCTGTTCCTTCATGATATTATTCTAATCTGTGTTTCTTGGTGTTAGAAATGGAATGAGCCACAATAATGGAAGACTTACAGATGAGCAAACCAGAGGAATGTTTTGATAAGGACCCTGTGGTACAGGCACACCCAAAAGAGGAAAATTGTGCTGATTACTTCCTTTCTAAAACAATGTGGATAGACCAGTTTCTTAATCTCACACAGACATTTACTTTTAAAGCTTCTGTCCATCTTTGGTATGGTCCATTCTGTTTAATTAGTCCCAGAAAATACAGAATGGAGCTACAACCATTGGTGTGACTATATAGGCCTTTTTGTTTCTTTAATCAGTCAAAACACAAAATCCCATTATACTAGATAAAGAGAATTCTTCAATACTAGGGCTGCAACCCTTAGAAGCAAGTCTCATCAAGCTTAGTTGGGCTTCTGTTCCAGGTAAGCATGCATATGACCGAGCCACAAGAAGCTTATGTAACATTTCACCAACATGGCTTAGTTTCTTTTGAAAAGAACCCCAACTTTTACTAAAATCATAAAGGATATCAAGCATCAGGATCTAGTTCACTATAATAAAAGTGTTAAGCTCTGTATTTGTGAAGAAGGAGGCAACAACGAAGACGACGACGAAGAAAGAATATGTGGGAGTGTGTGAAGTCTTTTCGTTTCAAATCTTCCTTTGTTTTTGAGGCCCAGGGGATCATTATAAAAAGAACAGTCAAGTCAGCAGTCCAAGATCTCAGCCCACCAATTCTGTGTGTTGTACGGAAGTTTCCTGAAGTGGGAGGAGGCTGCTTTCTCCAGAGAGTGAGCCCAGCCTCTCAGAGAATAGCGCTGCCCTGGAGCTGATTGGATGCCCGCCCTGCTTCCTGTGTTGTGATTTAAAGCAAACGGGACAGAGTCCAACTAGCTCGACAAGTAGGGATTGGAGCACATGCTCGCGCTGTGCAGGCGTCACAAAGAAACTCTCACACTCCTGGAAGCTAGCTCGTTTCAAACCACTTCCGAAGCAAAGCCCAACTGTCAGATAGCGCCAAAGCACACCAGTCAAGATGGGAGGCTAAGAGAAACTGTTCTGCTCAAGCAACTTTTCTTAGTCCTGCTTTTGTGAGTGAAGCTTTCAGCACGTGATTTGGGCAGAAGAAAGGTCAAAGGAAATGCTGTAAGTGCCTTCCCTTCAACCCGGTCAAGAGACCCTTGACGAACCCCGGCAGCTGCTGAGAACCTTTGGAAGGCCACAGGGTTACGCTGCAGATGCGCCTTAAAATGGGACGAGGCTGCTAAAACATTGCAGAAGTTTCAACATGGTCCTTCAGCTTCCTGCTTAGGAAATGCAATGCAGTTTTGGCTCATGAAGCATTTGCTTCAGCCATTTGACATTACCTCGATTCATACGTGGAAGAGCATGCAGGAAAACAATCTTTGAGCAATACAATACAATCTGAGCAATATGGGTGTTGATGTTTAAGTAGCAATCGGCGTTTATTTGATTCCACAGAAAGAACTGCCTAACTACGGGCTCAGTTCACTGTATCCGTTGCTGCTATCTTTAAGTGGGTGTGTTTTGTACTTCGCGTGCTCGTGAGCGTTCTGTGGTTATAGACGAGTGTCGGATCGCTAAATCCCTGGCTGGAGGAGGTCTGTCCTGCAGGATGTGACCCCAAGTTTCTAAGCCAGGCAAACACTTTCAGTTCAAGTGAAAGTCTGATAACAAAACATGCTATTCATTCAGCTGCGCTGTCTCATGTGGCAGTTATTAGAAGTTGTTGTGCCCAACTGTGCTGAGATAGTGCTGGATTTTGCACTAATTAGTATGCTCTTAATGTAAATATCCTGGTTTCATATTTAGGGGGAAAGAAAAATAATATGCTGATGTAAAACGGGAATTAGTACACTTTGCTTACATGTTTAATGCAGATGAGCCAGCAGCTGATCTCTCATAGTCCCTGGAGACAGATGTTATTATGAGTTTCATCTGACTGGGCTGTGGCCGGGGGTGTTACAGGATCTCTTGTATAGCTAAAATGAGGAACTGCAGTTTGCAAAACGGCAGCTGGCTACAATTGAAAGCAGGGCCCCGTGCTGCCTCCCTCCATAACGTAAAATAAAATTTATATTATCTCTTGATGTATTTACCTACCTGTGGTGCCCTGTTATATGGAGTAGAGGCAGCAAAACGCCCACTAGGGTGCCTTTGGAAGATGGGGTAAATATTAATTCTGTGTTGCAGAAGGGCAGGGAAGAAACAGGGGTGCCCTTTTCTGCAGCTTTCCCCTGTTTCTTGTCAAAAAGCAGCTTCAGCCTCACTCAATTTCTTTGGGGAACCAGGGAGCATGTTAGCAGACTGCAGGGTAAGTTTTTCATTTACTTGTAGTGAGGGTGAGAAGTACAGAACCCTTCTGTGGTTTGATGTTCTATAGCTTTACAGGAGAGGCACATGCCTGAAATGAACACCTGGCTCTCACACAGGAGTATAAAGAAGCTATAGAGGGAAAAGCAAATGTGGTTAACATTTTGGGGTTTAATTGGAATTATTTCAGTTTATGCTACTGTTAGCTTAAGGATTTCGATAAAAAATGTTTTTCCTTGGTCTTCTTTCTAACTGCCCAGTCACCAAAGATCTCTGAGTAGCTCACAAGAGTTAAAACAATGAACTATAACAACATGACAAAGCCCAAAATAAACCCTTTAAAAATGAAAGACTACAGGATAAAAGAAATTAAAGGGGGAAAAACTGGAATAGTGCCAAGATCTAGCATTACAGTAATAGATGTAAAATGACAGGAGGAGGAGAATATGCCTGGGAGAAGAAAAGGGCCTTCTCCACCTAGCATCATAATCCCACAGCGTAGGTGCCAGTGGAGCCTTTCTAGAGGAGGGCGCTCCTTGACTGGGTTCGCCCTCTTGTTAGCAGCCTCCTGGTTCGTTCCATGCGATGTGAGCCCAAGGAGAAGGGCCTGTGTAGGTGACTTTAGGGGTCCGGGAAGGGCTATGATTCATAGTCCAAGGAAATATTTTTTTCAGGGAAGAAGGCCAGGAGGAAAGGTGGGATCTTCCTGCACCTTCCTTACGGATCTCCCGTGGCATGAAATATAGTTTGTCATTGCATTCTGCCAATAAAAGATGCTTCGGACATCAGAGCTATCCTGTTTGTGATCAGTGTCTGTTTGAGAACGCAGTACGGCATAGTGGTTAAACTGTTGCCCAGGTCTTGGGAGGCCCTGATTGTTGACAAAATAAAATGCAGACAACGATGATGGGCTCCTGACAGGGAAAAGAAGGTGGGGTATAAATATTAATACAGTGACCTAGCTCTCTGCAAGTATTCAGACATGTGCTGTTCTCATAGAATCGTCGGAACTGGAAGAAACGTGGCTGTCTTGCTTAGCACCCCTTGGCTGAAGCAGCCTTGGCCATACACCGAAGTTAGCTGAATCACTGTAGGAAAGTACAGTACCTTCCTTGGCACTGGCCAAAGGGACTGAGACCACCCATATATTTTTTAAAAATCTGCGATACCTGTGAAATGGGTTTCTCTTGGTGTGGAAAATGTGGCTTCAGACATTCAGTGTCTTGTGTGTTAAGGCTCAGATCCCTTTAACTCTACCTTGGAGGAGTTCATTTGTCCTCTGCTCCTCCCGTGGCAGCCATTTTGTGGTGGTGCTTGAGATAAATTGGTGACTGGCTCAAAAGAGTTGCCCCTTGAGCCAGTAGAGCCTCGATTGCAAGAGTTTCCCAAGGAAGAGGAATATTCTTTTAAAGGATGTTCAGGGTCTTTTTGCTTCTGCCTTGTAAACAGAACGACTGCTCTGGTTTATTTAAACTGCTTTTTACAGGCTCATATGAAGGCTCAGAAAGCAAGCAAAGAGCAACAACTCGACATGATGAGCAAGCATTACAAAGAGCTCGAAACCTGCCTGGATGACATGCTGTCTCGCATTGCAAGGGAAACGGAGGAAATCAGGGATTTGGAGCAACAGCTCACGGATGGTAAAATGGGCATTTTAAAGCTGCCTTTACTTTGAAACATGGCTGTGTAAAGTTTGGCACCTCCCAACTTTACAAAACAAACTTGGTGGATGGGTGTATAAGCTAGTTCTCTGTTTGAAGGGCCATGGAGTTCCCAGATGTATTTACAAAGATGTTTCAGGGTGCTGGTATGGTTAAGTGTCTGCTTCAGGAAAATAGCATTGTACAGTACTAAGTAGTTAAATAGTTTATTACCCATGTTTAGTTCTCTATAGCATAGAATCACTCTTCATACCTGAAGCTCTGCTGAATTGCTTGTGGTGATAGGAAGGGGTTCGCGGTAGCATACTCTGTAGTAGCGCTTTGCCATTAAATGGAACCTGAGCAAGAGGTGAAGCCCAGTCACTGGGCAGCTGGCATCTGTCTGTCACTGGGTTTGGCACAGAGGCCTCCTGCCATCCCATAACCAAGTGGAAATTTGCATTAAGCTCTTGTTCCCTGTTTGTCGCAGGAGATCTGTCAGTGGGAGTCTTGAAAGATTAGCTTCCTACAGCAGATCTTGTTGGCCTTTTCCCACAGTGGAGTAAAGATTAGATAAAGCAACTACATCTGTTAGGCAAGTAAAGGAAACTGGTGCTACCAAGTTGAAAATAGAGAAACTGCCCAAGAGAGTTAAAAGCAAGTGCAGTGCAATGCATGATGAATTTAATCTGTGACTTTCTTGGCCAGGTTTCAAGAAAATGTAATTGTTCTAGTTTCTGGAAACCAATTTCCCCCTTGATATTGTTGCTTTGCTATTGAGGATTCAGATGCCCAGTAGGATGCCTGAATGGTTGCCTTTTGATTTGGCCAGGACATTTCAAATTGCTTGCAAGCTGTGTATCATACGGAATGCCAGGGTAGTTCTTCACATTAAGTACATTTGCATTTACCTTACATCCTTAATCACTTAAAACAGTGAAAGTTTTTTCTCCCATGTAATTCTATAATCATATTCAGCATTGTGACCTTTGATCCAGATAATCAGGGATAGGTATCTTGTTCTTCTGGTGCTCCTTTGTCCACTTAATAGCTGAAATACATCTCTTTTTATATTTCTAACTTTTTGCTCCCCTGTTCACAGGTCAAATAGCTGTAAATGATGCACTGAAGAAAGACTTGGAAGCAATTATCATTGGGCTACAGGAATATCTGGAGACTGTTAAGGGTCAGGCCAAACAAACCAGCGATGAATGCAAGGAGCTGCGAAAGGACAAGGAAGCTTTGCTCCAAAAGCTGGAAGAATTGGAGGATGAAAAAAATCAGCTGGAAATAGTTGCCATGGATGCAGAAAACATGAGAAAAGTAAGATACAGGAATGGCACCTTCCCAGGTGCTTGTTCAAAATGGGGCACTGGCCTTAGGCAGCTGATGAGCAAGCGGGCCCCAGGTTCATTCCCTTTCTGTGTCCCTTTGGCCCAGGTGCTCCTGTTGGCAGGCACCTCACGGCCACCTCTTGCAGTTGGTGGTGCCAGTGCCTCTGCTTGTCCTTGCTCCCTGGAAGAGTGCACAGCAATCTGCACATGCCACGTGGGGCCTGGCCAGCTCGGCTGCTGTGCTCGCCACCTCGGCGACTCTACCGCTGCCTTTCCCACCTTCTGCCTCCAAGCCCACCAGGGGGGCAGAGCAGCCGCCCCATCCCTGCCCTCCTGCAGATGTCACACGCCGAGAGCAAGCAAGCAAGCTCGGGGAGGGGTGCTTGCCTCTGCACGCCGGCGCAGCCTTGTGGACGTGCACTGGGGATAGGCAACGCCAGTTTGGTGCTGTAAGGGCTGTCACTCCCTTTCCCCCCCAAAGTGGTGGTCCTGAAGGGCTGGATCTTTCGGGGGCAGCATGCATCCTAGGCTGGAATGAAGGAAATAGGCGCTCATGGCTCTTGAAACAGGAGCTGCAAAGCACATCTTTGGTTGCAGGAAATTGCAGATTTGGAGCTCGCACTGCACGAGCAACGAGAAGTCAATCAAGAGCTGCAGGAGGCCCAGGGGGAGCTCGGTGCATATGAGGCCGAGCTGGAGGCCGAGCTGAAGGCCCGAGACTCTGAAATCAGTCAGCACACCGAAGAACTAGAAAGGATAAAACAGCTTAGTCAGGTATGTGGAGAGTTACAGAGATCTTGTACCTTTCGGTTTCCCACCCCCACCTGTACAGATTCCAAGAGTGAAATCTTTCAGGTGCCCAAACTGTTCCGGTTGGCAGAGTCAGGACAGCTAAATTCCTCCCCCACTTTGGAGGCTGCCGAAGGAAGGAGAATGGGCATTGCTCAGGTAGACCTCTGTGTGTGTGGCACTGGATTCTCCCCCAGAGTGTCCATCTGTGCAACCCGAAATTCACTGAGCAAACTACAGCCCACCTTTTCCATGCATGGCAGCCTTGCAAGATGTTTTGCATTCACAGACAAGCAGCAAAACTACAAGCATAAGTGAACAACCGTACCAGAGGTTACAATTTGTGCAGGCCAAGCAGAAGCAATAAGTCATACCTGTCAACTGAGAGCTGGCAATCTGTTTCCATGGAGTTTTCTTATGTACACACCATTGAGACTGATTCAGTGTTTATCAGAGAATGTTTCCGCCACAGTACATGTTTTGTAGACTCCAAACAAGCGTATAAAAGGTTGTGGGTCTGAAAAGTAGAAATGGCATAAAGATTTCTAAACTGGAACATTTTCTGCTAGAAATATAGCTGGAAAGATGCCCAGCAGATGACGGGCATCTCAAACTGTCTCCCAGTAAACTGCCTCAATGCAGTGGGAAAGAGCTTTGAGCTTTCTAAATCAACTTTCGCATGAGGAGCAAAGCCCTCGCTAGATGATGAAGCAGCACTGGCCCAAGGGAGACCTGCTGGTTAATGAGACACGCAGGCCCACTGGCAAGCTAAAATCTAAGGGAACACACACCATGTCTCCCATCCACTGTGCTACGTTCTTTACAGAAGTTTAGGGCAGGCTTGCAGTCAAGTTCTGATTGACTCCTTCACCAAAATGGAAGCTGAGAAGCAAGTGCCTTCCTTGGCAAAAGGAGCTGTTCTTAGAAAATCTTCCTTCTGCTTAATAGCTCGTTAATCCAGTTTTTCTTCAATCCCCACCTCTGCAGCTGATGCATGTTAGCCTCTGAATCGTGAAGGCTCACATGCATCCAGTGTGTGATCCCACATCCCACCTCATGCATTTTATCTAGAAGGCATCATAGGAACTGGCCTAGGCGGATGGCCACAGCCTCTTCCACCCCCAATGCCTCTTTCCACTTCTCCAAGGAACATTTTCACTCAGAGGCAGCCGGCACAGTTCTTTCTGTCCTGGCAGTGACAGGGGTGGGCTAGCCTTTGGAGCCCCAGCATGGGTGGACAGTATAGGATTGCAGACTTCCATTTTTAAGATTTGTGTACTGCCCAATAGCTAAATGTTTTCTGGGTGGTTTGCAGAGATTAAACATTAGAGTTGTTTGTTCGTTTGTCTTGTTTTTATCCTGGCAGCTGGAGCACTCTGCTCTCCAGGCTGAACTTGACAAAGAAAGACAGGCCTTGGAAAATGCCTTGACCAAAGCTCATCTATCAGAAGAAAAAGAACAGGAAAATAGTAAACTGCTTTCTCAACTCAAGCAGCTGCAGGTGGAGTGTTTTTCCAACTTTTTTTGTCTCTGAATCAGCATGTGTTGTGTTTTGAATTAATCTCCTTCAAAAAGCTCTAGTCAATTATGCAGCCATACTGAATATGATTCTAACATACTTCATGAACATCTGTTAAAAATTAACCAGAGCTGTATTTGATAGGGTTCAGCTAGAGAGAGTTTAAGCAGGGGAAGCGATTGCTCTCCTTGTACAAATTGATTCTTGTATCAACTGTACTTTCAGCTTTGGTAACCATGCTAGTGAAGGTGTGATAAAACAAGGGTTATGTTCTGTCTTCTGTATCCTTTTATGCATTCAGAACCAGAAGACAAGATTAATTTAATTGGAACTATCGAGAACATGATCTTTCCAACTTGTTTATTACAGAGAGAGAATAACTCTTTGAAACAACAGCTGCAGGAAACTAAAAATCAACTGAATCGTGCAGTTGATCACTTAATTCATCCAGAGGAAGTCTTGGCTCGTGTGAGCGAGCTAAAAAAAGCGCTACGGACAGGGGCAGAAATCAGGTGGGTTAAAATGAGACACTCCAGATGGTCTTAAGAAGGGAGGATAAGCCTGCAAATATTTGTCAAATTCACGTGTGTGCATTTATCAGTATCAGAAGGGGGGCATCTCCCTTCCAGAAGCTAACAGTTCATATGTAGTATAACTTTGCTGTATTGCATGAAATTACCTTTTGCTGCAGAGCAGTTTTAGTATCAGAGTGGACATTTGGCAGAGACGTTGGTCTTGGAATCAGTTGTCTTAGAAAAGTGCCTTGTCTTGCCCACCACTTCTTTGCGACACTCATTTTCCCAGCAACTTTGCCCCATCTGTAATTCCCAATTCTGTGCCTGATGTAGCTGGAAGGAAAACAGCTCGGGCTGGGGAACCTAGTGAAGTAAATGGCAGGTCAGGGAAGGACTAAATATCTCCTTGCCGCTTCTCCCCTCACTTTTGCTATGTTTGGAAGAAGCCCAAATACACTCTGAACAATTAGCTGAATCGCAAATTGCTGGTGTTAAGATGACTGCTGATTGCAAGCCCAGTAAACATCTGTTCTTTGTGCCTTCTGCCTTCTACATTTTTAATCTAACTGATTGTTGCAGGTGCCATAACCCAAAGGATATTTTAGGGAAAAGTCTGGCAGATCTGCAGAAACAGTTTGGAGAGATCCTTGCTCGTTCCCAGCAAGAGACTGAGGCAGCCCAGGCCAGAGAGCGAGGGCTTCAAGAGGAGATGGCCTCTCGGCAAGCGAGGCTGGAAGAGGCACATGAAAAACACAAACTGGCCTGTAGCAAAGCAGCAGAAGCCAAAGTAAGAAAATTGCAAACTGCTCCTAAGACTGTGAGAGGCCACTTCTCTAATTTCCAGAAGGGTTCCTGTGGCACTGTTTTAACAAAGTGTCTTCTGGTGCCTCAGAGCAGGGGTGGGCAAGCTTGTGAGGTCCTGGGGCCGTTTTCACTCCTGTGGGCCACACATGTGCACCGCCTTCAAAAAACAAAAACAAAACCAAACCAAACCATTCCCTACCTCGATTTTAAAACTTCAAAGAGCTATAGTTAATCCCCTTCCATCTAGGGATGAGGGCCTATATGGAGGAATTCATCTCGGTAACAAAGCCCCTTCGGAGCAGCCCCACCTGCTGGAGGTACCCCCACAGTTATCTCTGATCAGGGATTGCAGGTCAGCACTGATTTCACTTCACATGCTGTTCCTCATCCCAGTCAAGACACTGAGCTATGTGTGACGCTGTCAACAGAGCTCCATGCCTCTCCTTGCAGGAAGAAAAGCAGAACAGGAAGAGAGGGGGCCAGATAACATCTCAGAGTGATGAGGCTCTGAGAGCCCCCCCCCCCGACTCCATCCAGTCCCCAGACTAAAAATGGCCTGCCACTTCTGTTGGTTTATTCCTTATCTCCAGCTCTGAGTAAGACAATAACCCTATACGTACTTTATATCAGCGGACCTCACTAACTTGGCAAGCTTCAAGACAGGAGTGATTCTCATGCCTCCCACTTGCAGTTCTAACTGTAAGAAAACAATAAAAAATACATGCTTTCATAAAAATCTCAGTGTGCTGTGAACGGTATGCTCTGGGGAAATGATGGGCATCCATAACTCACAACTTTCCTGAGTTTCTTTGCATTTCCACTTCAGATTAAGTCTGAGAAGAAGCAGAACGAAGCCAGAGTTCGGCAGTTAGAGGATGAAATCCAACATCTAAGTGAACAGCTGAAGAGCATGGAGGAAATCCAGGGTCTCACAGATCAGCAGCTCCAAGAAGCCGAGGAGGAAAAAGGGAGAATGATTGCTCAGCTGGAAGATCTAGAGAATAGGGTACGGCTCCTCCTGTTGAATCATGTGTGCCTAGATTAGGAATAAAACATGTTCAGTGTAAGCATGCATAACACTTACAAAAGCACCTCGATGTTTGCTGATATTTTTTTGTCGATCTGTTATGAGAGAGAAGTAGCAGAGGGTTTCTGCTACCCTAATTCTTATGTTGTTCCTTTACATGAATTGTCCAGCTGGTTGAGTTGCACTTTTCTTTTCTTGCAGAAAAAAGTGGAAGATGCCAGGGTGCAGATGCAGTTCCTTAGCCTCAACGAAGAGCTGAAGGAGTTAAAGGAAGCAGTATCGGCCTCAGAGAGGCAGGCGACGGCAGAGCTCTGCGCAGCTACAGATCAGCTCCGGGCTCTTCATGGAACTGTGGGCAAAATCAATCAGTGGCGCAGTCAGGTACACCTCTGTGAAATTATTAATCTGGCATGCATTATGTAACTAGTTTCTCTTGATGAGTTTGCCGTCCTGTTAGTCCACTGGTCATATGACTTATAATATAGCTGGGCATGTTAATTTTGACTTGGAACATGGAAGGGACTTTCTTGATTTTATTTAATAATCAAGAGTCATATGTCCCTGTCAAAGGTGGTCCCTGTGTGAGTAGCCCTGTCAACCCCCCACCCTTTTAAAAGGAAGTGGAGTTTTTGACAGACAGTTGCCTGAGTTCTATGCTTCCGTAAAACGGGTGGCTCACACTTTTGTGCCTGGAATCTTAGGTAAAGGCGGAAGCATGTTTGGAACCTGGCAAGAGTAAGGTCCAAAAACAGAATGACACGAAGGGGCCAATCTTTGTAGTGTGTGATCTGGCCCCACCCCCTTTCATGAGCAAAAATCACTTGCAGCTTCGGTTTCTTTTTTCCAGCTTGCTTTTTTCAAGATGTCAAGAGAAACTGAAGTGGAATAAAGCCCTTTGCAACCTCCTTTGTGGGTCAGTGGCCATGATGAGTGCCTGCTGTTTCAATGGAGGAAATGAACTACATATAAATACAACCCAGTGGCCATGCATAATCAGTGCAAAGCACTGTCCGGGGTGTAAAATGAATTCTACATTTCTCCCCTTTTTTAAAACTCTAGGAACTTGAAGACGCAGAGAAGATGAGCATGCAGGCATCTCAAGCTGCTGATGCTCTTGCCAGGGCTGAAGCAGAAATAGAATTGCTGCAGCGGCTTCTGAAAGAAAAGGAGGAGCAAGTGTGTGGTTTGCCTCACTCTCTGCATGATGCTAAGGAATGCTCCATCGAGGGGCAGGAGCGAAACGTGTCTGTGTGGATGTGAGCGTGACAGGCAGGGTACAGTGCTGGTTTTTCAAGCAAAGGCATGAAACAGCGAAAGAGCGCTCAGGTTTTTTGAGAACAGAGGGTCTGCTGGGAGAGTGGCGTGGGGGGATGATTTGAAATCCCCCAAACTCTGTGACCTGCAAAGGGAATATTCAAATACCAAGGAGAAACATGCATGCAAAAATCTTGCATTCATTGAACAGATGTTGCTTGTATAATGAACACGGCCAAGTACAAATAATATGCAATTAAATGAAGCCATATTTAGGGAAATGCAGGAATTGGCCCAAGGTAAAGGACAAGCAGAACAGAATATTCCCCTCGTTCAAGAAGCAAAATCTTGTGGGAATGATTGCCAGTTGAGGGCTGCATTTTTCTATTGATGGAGACAGAACATGTAAAATCCTTCTTATCTGCAAGCAATGCATCTCCCCATTGATGCGATAAAACAGCAGAGTTGCTTTGTACAAAGAAAGCACAGTAACACACAGTGTTTAGTTTTAGAGGCAATGAACAGACGCTAGAGACAGATTTAAAATAAGTTCCAAATCAACTTTTATCATCTGGTTATTAACATTGTTGGAGAAGGCTAACTGTCATGGTTTAACGACAAGCACTCTCTGAAGATACGGATGTTTGCCTCTGGATGATTTGCTTCTTACTTGAGGAGAGAGGAAGAAGAGAAGGAGGGAAAAGGAGCTGATACATACACTTTATCCAAAGGCTGAGCCAGGCATTCTCTGTCATCCCCTTATGCCTGGAAGAAAGCAGAATTGTTTCTGTTATCCAGCACCAGCAAAACCTTAAAATGTAAGGCCTGGTCAAATACTAGCTTCCAGAAATAGAAGGACAATTAAGGGAAATCCTCAGGTCAGATGAATGTGGTATTTGACTGGGAGGAACAGCTAGGAAATGGTGTGTGAATACAAGCCTTGCTTCTTTTAAATGTGTTTCGGGAAAGATAATCAAGGCAGGCCCTTAGACTCACCAGGCCATGGCTGAACCGACGGAGCAGTGGATTTTGTTGCTCAGTGCTAAGTGTCCAATTTTGCATAGCTCTGATGTACGTGACACCAGAAGCCTTTTGACTGAGATGCCTTTTGATCCTTCCAGCATGAAATGGAAAAAGTTGATGCTGAGACTGCTGCCACACATTTTCAGAAAGAGGAGACGGATAAGTTGAACCAGCTTCTGAAATGCCAGAAAGCAGAAGCTGACAGACTGCGCGCTGCATTAGATGAGGCAGGGGCAGGTAATGACTGTTTGTCTGGGTCATTTCACTTGCAGTGTAGTTCTGTTTTTGAACAAAGTCAGATGTGTTTCCACCATTGTTCAGTGGTTTCTTCCCAAGACCCTCTACAATTGAAAAATACTATAATTAGGTTTCTTATGATGGGCTGCATAGGCTTCATGAAATGCTTACGAGCATTGCCCCCTGCTCCCTTGCAACATAACTTGCAAAGCAAGTTGATCATTGCCTTTATAATTTATTAACTGTGTTATTATAATTAACAGTAGTTGACACATTTATTAGTCTTTTTTAAAAAGCTTAAGACAACATAAATGTACTTAAGCAGCACCCTATAAAATACAGAAAATATTGTCAGCCTCAGTCAGAGCATCAAATGACATCAGTTTCAAAGACAGAATCAGCTTAAAACCAGTTGGTCTTGCCACTGAAAATGTATTTAAAGATCTTTCTGTAGTGTGTTAATGTTTAGGCATTTCTAATTCCAGGATTTCACAATCTGAAGAATTCATTCTGCTTTTGTTTTGTCCATCATGTGTATCTTTGGGATTCATCCTATGCTCACTGGTTATTTACTCTGAATCAGTGTGTCTCCTTGCAGATGTTCAGTACTGCCCACTTAAATGTAAAGAGAGCATCTGAAGCATTCTTTTTGCTAACGTCTGAAGGTTTGTCAAGGGAACATTTGGTCACTTCCTATTTGAATGCAGTGCAGACAGAGATGTTCAGCATATTAACACAGAAGCATAGAAACAGAGCGAGGCAGAAGGGGTCTCCCGGGCCATCTAGTCTGACCCCTGGCTCCAGCTGGCTCCGCTCACAACATGCCCGCCATATTAATATAAACATTAGGATAGTGGTCCAATTTCCCTTTACAGTTCAGAAATTTTAAGTGCTTAAACTGTCACACGTGACAGGCAAAACATGCCATCAATCAAAATACATTTTTACTACGTGCATTCTATGTTCAAATGTGACTAGAATCTAAGGCTTTACTAAAGAATAAATCCTATTGGACAAAGTGGAATTTGCTCTGAGGTTTAAAATGTATGCTTTTTATTGGTTTTCCAAAGGTCTTAAACAAGTATTTCAAATGGTCTTAAAAAGTCAGTACATGGTAGTGACAAATTCCATTACTGTGAAGACAGTTACCCTCAGACTATGCTGATGGACTGAATTACCTGAGCAGTACTTGCTGGGGTTAAGGATGTAGTTCAGGATGATTCAAAATTGCATGTTCAGTTTTAAATACTTTTTCACCCGCCTTCTTTATCCCAGACAGGTAGTTAGGATGTGTTTGCCAGTGTCTGGAGCGCTTTCAGGAAACCAAAGGGCTGACCAATTTCCAGAGGTCAGGAGGAAGGACCCCCGTGTTCCTTTCCCCTCCTCATGAGTAGCAGAAGCAGGCACACGTGTTTATCTTTTTGAGAACTTTAAAAATTTACATATAACTGCACGCATACAAATTATCTTGCAGGCAAGAGCAAGGAAATCGGCAGCATTTTAGATGAAATAGCAGCACTGAGGCATGCTGTCTCTCACCAGAATGATGCCATCGCCAGACTCCTCGATCCACTCAAATGGAAAGGACATTCGTATTACATACCATCTTCTTCACAGGTATGAAAAGTGACAGTTGATGGGAAGGAATTGGAGAGGGAAATACTTTATAAACTGCCTTTAAATGTGCTTAAAAGAATTTAGAAAAGCAAATTTAGGGGCAAGTAATTGTCCCAGCTCCTGCCCACCTTGCAGTTCGAAAGCATCCAAAGGCGAGTAGATGAGAAGGTGCCACTTCGGTGGGCAGGTAACAGCGTTCCGTGCCCCTCCGTGTTTAGTCATGCCGGCCACACGACCACGGAGACTGTCTGCGGACAAGCGCTGGCTCCCTCGGCCAGGAAACGGAGAGGAGCACCGCCCCCTAGAGTCAGGCATGACTGGCCTTCAATGTCATGGGAAACCTTTACCTTTTACCTTTTAATTGTCCATGAAGATTATGTACAGTTGTGGAAAGGACATTTTGTTTATATGTATTTATTTAATCCTTGCTTAAATAAGGATTTAAGGTGTATATCGTAAGGTGATATACAATAAATAATAAATCAGATGTTCTCCAGAGTTGATCATAGGTGGGTTTGCTTAATCAAGAAAGGGGAAACATTCTGCGCCTTTTGAAACAGAGGGTCCAAACTACATACATATTATTACTTGAATATCTGTTTTCCACCACTTCTCTGTGTGTTGCAGCTCTCCAAAGTTTAACTCAAGACATTACCCTGAATGAATCACTTGAATGCTAGTTGTCCCCTTTGTTGTACTTAATATAAACAGCTCTTTCTCTTTCATGGGTTGTTGCTCCATGCCATTTTGGCAGTGATGTCTATATGTTTTGATCACGGAGAGTATATTTTTAGACAGAATATTATTGTATCAATGCAGAATAGAAATCCTATTAGGTTGGAGTCAGGTCCAGCCCAGAGAAGGCTGGATTAAAAGGCTAACCAGAGGCCACATTCATCTATATTTTGTCATTCACCCGCAAAGTCAGGAATGGCGGGGCAGGTTGGTATTGTCTTCCTTCTGCAGGTGAAGCTTTCAGTTTGTCTTAACACCGGGTGGTGATTGTTTTCAAAGGCCTCTACTCCTGCATCTCAGAGTACCAAAGATTCTGGAGTCGGCCTGCAGTGTCCTATGCCAACCTCAGTCAATAAAGTGCATGCAGAGGGCGAGCGAGGCAAGAAGAAACATTCCATTTCCCCTGCCGGCAGAGGGTGCCGGTTGCATTCAACAGGCAGGGACGGCCTGCAGGAATCTCCCCACAGTGGAGGTAAGTCCATTCAGTTGCCAGGCAGTGTCTGGTCTCCCTGGTTGCTTCTGTCCTTCGCCTGGGGAGCATCTCCCTGCCCGGCAGCTCCACCATTTCTTCGGTTGTGGAAAAGGAAGATGCGTTCACCTCAGGATGTCTCCCTGCTTGGAGCACCTGAAAACTTTCCGTGTGTCTCCCCTCACACCCTTTTTTCCTTCTCTCTAAAATGCAGAGAAGCGAGAAGATGGGGGAGGGAGTGCCCCCCATGACGGTTCCTATCTGCCGCCTCCCGGCTCAGTCATTTACACTCTGCTGCCAGATGGTGCTCCAGCTCCACAAGGAACAGTGGTGTATGGCCCACCTCCACCTCCAGGACCAGCCTGTGGAGGACAGCTTGCTCCTACGACCGTGATTTACGGCTCGCCTCCTCCGGGGGCTCAGCTTGTTCATAGCCCTCTTCCTGCTCATTGTTCCGTGCCACTGGTTCCTGTTGGGGTACTTCACTGCAACATACCTGAGCATCATAACTTGGTAAGATCCCTGGCTCATTAGACAGCAGGGTGTGAAGCAAAAGGTGGTGTCTCTTGGTTTAGGGTTCTGGCTGAGAATTGGGAAGTTCTCCATTCCTCAGCTCCAGCCAGCGAAGTCACTAGGTGGACTTGGCCAGCTCTCAGCACTCCCCCAGCTCCCAGCTCCCCATTTCGAATATGGAAACAGTCATACAGTATTGTAATAGAGTTGCTGAGATAATGGATGCAAAGCGTCTTGAACACTCGAGTTGTATCTTCTAATGACAGGGATTTCAAACAAGTATTCTTAACAACAACAACAACAATTCTTACTCAGGAGTTCATAATGTACACAATTCTTGCTTTTCTGAAATAAACTTTGATGCCCATGAACTCCTTTAAACAAGGGAATTAGTAGTGTATTTTGTGTACCCCAGGACAGAAATACCTGTTTTCCTTATACCGTAGGTTTCTTTGCTTTCCTGTGGAGCTTTTTGATATCTCCCTGTTGTTAGAAACATGGCAATGACCATCTTTTGGGTGTGAAGCATACGACACCTCAAAACTTCAGCAAAAAGTTATGCTCCACATGATTCTCCCACTGAGAATTCATGTCATGTGCCCTGTCTGACCAAGCCAAACGAAGTGAGACTGCTAGCTACTAAGACGTTTCTCCTTTGTGGAACAACGGCTCCACAGAGGAGTTCCCTTGGCACCTGTGTTGCGATCTTCAATGCCATGTCAAGACCTTTTCATTCTCCCAGGAGTTCTAGTCCTTGAGTTCTTTGCACTGCTACTGTTTTTCACTTTAGTTTTAAACGTCTGCAAATGTTACAGTATGCTTTATTGTGCTCTGTTTTATGGTGTTTTATTTCCATCGATTGGCAGTAAATATATATGGTGCTGTATTTACAGTGATTGGCAGTAAATAAATGTAGTAACTATAATAATAAGAATACAACAATATGATCCATATGTTTGCTTCTCCACTCCAAGCCTTAAGTTGCTTGTCACAAGATAGGCAGTGAAGGCCTATCACCATGTTATTACCATGTGAAGCACCTTTCCACGATTAGCAACAGAAATACTTTTAATTGCACTGTTTATTCCTCTATTGCAGGAAAATAAAATCTTGAGTCTGGAAGGCAGTATAGATAAGTTAATGTCTCAAAGACCCGAAGGTGCCTGTCCTGCAGCCTCTCATCACAGGCAGCACAAACAGACGGAAGAATTGCGCCAGGGCATTCAAGACCTGCTGAGTGAAAGAGAAGAGCTGGAGCATCAAGTCACTGAGCTGCGTCGGGTAGCTCAGAAGCGAAATAGACGCAAGTGAGGATGGCATGTAACAGGCTTTCCTCTCCAGAGGCCTCTCCCATGTCACGGCACTCTGTGCTGGGGATGCGCTTTCCCCAAGAACAAAATGCGGCCTAGGAAACGGCTTTATAGCACGCCAAATGTCTCTGTCCATCCAGCCCCATCTGAGTGGTAGCAGCTTCCCAGGGTCTCAGGCAGGGTTTCCCACCAATCACCTGATGCCCCTCCAGCCCCCACTCCCCAGCCTGTTCTCCCCATGCTGGAGCAAATTCGGCACGGCCACTCATTTGCCACCCCATCTGCCTAGACGGATAACAAGCAAACAGAAAAGCGGGCATTTCAGTCCAGGTGCGCTTGTTTGCTCGCCTTCCATTTCAGCCTGCCCCCAGCCCTCTTTCAAGGTGTGGGGCTTTACCACGGGCTCATAGCTTTTTCTTCTCCAGAGAAAGCCCTAGCATAGTGGTGCAGTGGAGGGAACCAGAGTACCTGAATTACAGGTGTGCCAAAAGTGGCCACCTCCCTTCGCTGCCACTGCGAGAGGCCTTGGTTTGCCTTCGGCTGGGAGCCTGTGAATTTCAGTAAGGCCTTCCCTTTGCCTTGCCCGTGAATCCTGGGGGGAAACTGGACTAGCAAAACCATTTTGTCTCCAGCAGTAACTTCTTGACCCTGCGTCTTTCAGAGACTTCATTGATGGGTGCATGAGTGGCATCATTTCAGAACTGGAGTTAGAGAAATCTCTTCAGCACCATGGAAGCATCGTGGATGAAATTGAATGTATAGAAAAGACTCTTCTGAAGCGGCGGGCAGAACTCAGGGAGGCAGACAGACTTCTTGCTGAAGCTGAAAACGAACTTGAAACTACTCAAGGAAAAGTAAGTAATCTTGTGTTTCATAACTGTTTCGTGAAGTGCTTAGGAGGCATCTTTGAACCCATCAGCCCTTGGCTTGCAGACAGAATTGCCAGATTTGCTTGGCACAAAAGGTCTTGTGGACTCAGTAGTTTCATGTAAAAGAGCATCTGCATACATAGAGTATCTTTCTCTCTCTTCACTGCAGCTCTGTAGCCAAATCTTTGTATTGGAGAGCGAGTGTTGGGCAACTTGTGACCTTCCGGATGTTTGGTTGACCAGGAGGGCCAAAAGTTACCCACTGCCGTGTTAAAGGTACAAGGGACTAGTTTCCTGCCAAATCTGCTTAGCCTAAGAATGGGAATGTTACTTCTAATTTTCAATACGTTAACCCTGAAGTTAACTGCCCCACTTAGTCATATTTTCCATCAGGCTTCCTGCAGGGATTCTAGCCTTCTTGTCCCTTGCTTGCTGCCACACTGCTCTCCACGTCCTGAAGATTGTTCTAGTGGCCTTGTTTTATCATTTTCCTTTCAGTCTGCTGATGAAAGAGAAAAGAGTAAGGGCCAGCAACGGCCTAATTTGAACAGGTGTTTATGGGTAGGTGTTCTTTTCAAAATGCTTTTCCCCCCCTCTAGACCAAAGACGTCATTCAGAAGTACAACAGCTCTAAGCAGCATTTATCTTGGACTGAGAAGGAAGCTGAGGAGCTAGAACGACGGGCTCAAGAGATGGCTGTGAGACTTGTGAAAGCAGATCAGCAGCTAAGGTACCACGAGCCCACCTCTCCCGGCAAGAAGCCGCTACCAGAACTGCTGGATAGCTGGTCCCCAGGGACTGAGAGCTAGTTGAAAGACATGCTGAGAAGGGGTTATTGAAGGGGAGTGTGACTTTTGGCATCAGGGTGTTTCTGAAGAGCAGCTCTTTTGGGTCAGAACTCTGGATCCCACTCTTAAGAACCCTGCCGGAACTTGGAAGCTGTTACCATGCGCAATCAGGCAGTGGTAAAGAAAGAAAAACGTTATTTATGTATGTGTTTCAGATTGCTTCGAGCAGGTGCAAAGGACTTAGAACAACACAAGATGCAACAAGAAGGGATTCTGAAAGAAATCAACAAAGTCGTGTCGGCCAAAGATTATGAATTCCAGTCCTTGAGCCAGAAGATTGAAATTTTGACTGAAAGGTAAAGTTAAATAGGTTTGGTTGTCAAAATCCATTATATAGCTAATTAGAGTGGTTTCTCATGCACTATTTTTTTTTACTACTTGCAAATTTATATTGCAGATTTATATTGTGGCTATTGCTCATAATATAATATTTATATATTTATTTAAAGCTTTTGTATGCTGTCCTATTATACCAAAAATCTCAGGATGGCTTACAATATTTAAAAGAACAGTTAAAACACCAATTTCTAATAAATACATTGAAACTGAACAAAACAGTAAATCAGAAAACAAACAAGAGTGACTAAGATTAGAAACTGTTAATTTTAAAATATCGTTTGAAGAAAAAGGTTTTGGCCTGGCGCCAGAAAGTGTAAAGAGTGTAAAATTATATTGCTCATAATGCACCAAGCAGAGGAGTAAGGGAGCCATATGCAAATGAGCTGTTCTATTGGTTATCATCTCCATAAGAGGCTTGTACTCTGAACAGCATCCTCTTTCTACTCCTCAGCAAGCATTCACTGTCCTCATTTATTTTTATTTATTTAAAGTTTTTATATGCCATCCAATACTAAAGTCTTTGGGCAGCTTACAGCAAACAACAGTGTTTGCAAGTGACTGGCGTGGATGTCCTTGGGTCCTGCTGGCCCTCGGAAGCTGCACGGTGTCTATCTTTGTGCATTCATGGAGTCATATTAGCTGGAAGCGGGACTTGCAAGCTGTTGAGCTCCGCTGAACCAACAGCAGTTCCTGGCTAGCTGTTCGGAATTTGCTTCATGTTGACTCTCCCATTAAGTTGGGCAACACTGGGTCACAGTGCGTTTGCATTTCCCCAGAAATTTGCTTTCATTCCAAACATGTCTAGCCTTCAGAAGCTGCAGGCAGATATACAAGTTGCAGAAGGCAATGAGGACCACCATCTCCAGATTCTTAAAGAAGCAGAAAATATTCTTCAGAGCAAAAAGAGTGAACTGGAGAGGCTGAAGGATCAAGTGAGTAGAATGGCGAAGTAAATAGTCTTGAAGGAAGGTGTTTGTAAATGGCTGGAGTGGATGAAATCTTATTAACTCATTTGTATATTTTTTTTAAATACCTTAAATTAGTAGGTATTGTACAAAAAAAGAAACTTGACAAATTTTGTCAAATGATTTACAGTCAAAAAGTAAATATAAGGCACATTAGTGAAGGGATGGCTGTAGATCTCCCTCTTCATTTTCTAGACGGCCACTCAGCAGGAGGAGCTGCGACATCTGGACCAGCTTCTTGATCAAAAGAAGGAAGAGCTACGCCTCCTCCAGGAGAGCATTGTCCGGAGAAGTGCCGACCTCACCGAGGTGCTTAAGGAAGGGGAGGCCGAGGTGGCTGAAAAATGGCAACAAATAAAGGTTCTCCAGTATATACTTTCTGAAGCTCAGCTATGATTTTTTTTTAAATTGGAAACTATTTCCTTGAACGTTTGTACTTCAAGCTTTAATGCATAAGTTTTGTGGACCTGCAATTGATAATATCCCACTTGTAAAGAAAGTGGGGAGTGGGGAGGTGAGGTGCAAAAACAAAACGAAATTATTAATGTCACTGTTCTGGGGTAAAACATGTTGAACTTCATAAGATTACGCATGAATAGACTTTCATAGGTTTTCCGTCAGTGTCAAAGTATTGTGCTGTTCAACATGGCAGTGTTGGTTCTTTCATCCAGGAGGTGAAGTCCTTTCTAGCTGACCTGAGTGTTCAGAAAGGAGAACTCAGCGCCCAGCTGAGTGAAAAGCGATCCCAGCTTTCCCTTATTACTCAGGGAATCAGAAAAGAAAATGAGAACCTGCAGGATACTCTGGGGCTGATCATGAAGCATAAGACAGGTTTGTCCTTTCTTATTTATGTATTGTATTGATTATATTTTCTGCAAGGAACCCGAGGCGACTTGACTAATCATCCTGCTTCTCTCCATTATATGCTCACAACAACCCTGTGAAGTAGGTTAGGCTGGAACTCAGTGACTGGCCCAGTCACCCAGCAAGCTGCATGGCTGAGTGGAGACTAGGACCCAGATCTCCCGAGTCCTAGTCCAACAGTCTAACCATTACACTACACAGGATCTTGGCAACCCACATGGCCTACGCATATTGGCAGAAACAAAATTGCATATGACTGCTAAAGAGAATGTCTTAGGGAGAGGAGAGGAGAGGAGAGGAGAGGAGAGGAGAGGAGAGAGCCTCTGCTTAAACCTTGCTTATCAGCTACTTTAGGGGGGAAAGGTTAACACTTGGGTGTAGCAAGTACCTTTCAAAGGGCATCCCAGACTCTTGGGTCCTGTTCTCGCCCTCTGGCTGGCTGCTTGAGTCCAATTGCACTGATCCTTCCCAGAGAGAAGGAGCCACCCATCCCTCTTCCTCCCTGCCCTGGCTGGTTCTCACTGCAGACCAGGAACATTCACAGTTCCTCAGTTGGGTCACGCAGTTTATCTCACAGGTGTAGAGAGCAGGTTTCTAGGTTGAGGAACAGTAAAAACCGAGGTGGTTTGCAATCCAGGTCTGGGGCCCTAAGTCTCTCAAAGCAGGGGGAAAATCAGACCCACCACCACCACCACCACCATTGTTAAGTGTCAGGAGGTGGGTTGAGCTGCCCCAAGTTCCTCTCCAGAACCCTTGGCAAGTTGCACATAGCTTGGTTTTCACAGGGAGCTCAGCACAGCTTCTGCTTCTGGACCCACCTCTGATGGTGTGAAGACTAGAATTAATTCAGGATAGAATGAGACTGAGTCGTGTCTCCACCAGCTTTCTTTGAGCTAGTGGCCCTGCCAGCTGAGAATGCAAGGAATTGTAGCTCAGCATGTCTGGAAGGTGCAGTTCCCAAGGTTCCAAGGTGCCTGGGCCTTTTCTAAAGTTGCTACCTGAGATATTTGGTCGTAGACTGGAGATCATAGAGATCACATCTAGGGTCTTTATTTCACTTGATTGGCTTACCTGCACTTTGCATGTTTTTGTGTTTGCTGTCCATTATTAGAACTGAAGCACATTCTGGAAACGTTGCAGCTCGAAAGCAGTGAACTAGAAGGCTTAAAACTCCAGCATAACCAAAAGCTCAATGAATTACAAAAGATGCACACTGAGATTCTGGAGGTATATGCATGTTACTCTTTCTCTGATTATACCAATTAGGAAACCCTGCATGTGGCAGCTTCTGAATGTATTTAATCTCAGCTACGCCATGAAGTTGGGCACCTTCTGGATGGAAGTGCCATCACGTTTCTGCCCACTGTATTCCTTGTTACTAGCCCTGCACATATTAGCTAGTTAGGTATATACCTAACAAGACGTTTTAAGCGGCCATTTAAAAATACGCCATGTGAATGACACACACTCCAACTGTTTCACTACTCTGTGCCCAAAATGTGTGGAAATGCTTTTTAGTAATTCTTAAAAATGGTTCTGGTTAGTCTATGGCCATACCACCCCGAGCACCCGGTCTTGTTTTATTGCAAGAGCTAAGCAGGGCTAGGCAAGGTTAGTACATGCATGGGAGACCACATAGAAATTCTTTCAGTCAGAAGTTTGGACTTGCACAACTCTGACTGCCTGCCTTTCCTCATCCAAGTCTTGGTGCATGCCTGCTGGCAAAGATTTGCCTGCACATTGCTTCGCTTTTACTTGGCGGCAAAGGCATGAGCAGAAAGAGCGAGCTGACTGCATCACCTCCTTTGCCCCAAGTCCTCCTCAGTATTACGTCTGGACTTGACAATTCACTGTATCCTCTGCGTTTTCTACCCTTCCCCAAATGTCTGGGTGCTTGGAAAAGTACAGCCCGCCCGTTTGCTGGAGCAGTTTCCTTGGACAGCAGTCCAAAAAAGGGTTTCTTCTAAAATTGGATTTTGACATGAAATTCTGCAGGTGTCTGCAGGTATTTGTACAGGCAAGGCTTTTGGATAGTTGGAGCTGAGCACTTGCCCAGCTCTGAACTGCCAGCCAGAAACAAGCACATACTCTTATTGAAAACACTTGTATGTGTTTCTGGCACAAAAACTCAACCATGGTTTCCTAAAACCTACCCAGGAACTAGTGGGACAGACAGGGTGCAAGAATGTGAGCCCTTGCAGTGGTATTAATCCCCAGTTAATATTGTACTGCTCTGTCGTATGTCACACACAGCAAGCAGGTGCACTGCAGAACGAAATGAAATCTGTTCCATTCGTGTGTACTTGCTAGGGAAAACTGGAATTGGAGAATCTCCAGAGAGCATCCCAACAGGAACGTGGTGAAATGGAACTCCAGAGGCAACTTCTTGAGAGGATGCAGCAAGACGTGAAACAGCTGAATTCTCACCTCTGCACCTTGCAGAAAAGCATCCAGGCACTGAATAAACAGAAGCAGCAGCTGGAAGAAAACTGTGAGAGTTTGGAGCAGAAATTGTCACAGACCGAAAGGTAAAGGGCTAATTGAGGAGAGGGGATAACTCTGAACAAAAAGACTCGGTGCTGTTGCAGAAGAGGGGCATTTACAACAGTCCCGTTGTACTCTGTTTTTCAGCTGTCTTCTCAAAAGCCAGTTTAGGTGTCCTGGGGCCACTTACTGGTTGTTCAAAGAGGCACACCCAGTAGTCAGTTGCAAGGGTGCTGTACATCCCCGAATATTCGTGTAAGGACTGTAGGGGTTCATGCTAGGAAATGAAAATCAGTTTGCTTGGCTCCGGAGGGTCATGAGTGTTGGAGGCAAGGCCATCCAATACACCCTGTTAATGTAATTAGACTAGGTAATTACAGGTGAAGTGCTCCAGATCATTTACAAAGCCATTCAGTACCAGATGCTAAAACACAGTATAAAATGTTAAAACTGACATTAACAAATCTAACAGCCATGCACAGGTTTAAAATAGAGTCAATTCTAAGCCATTTAAAGTGATTTAAATTGAAAAATTAAGATACCTGGCAAAATGAAACAGTCTTCGGTGGGTGCTGAAAGGAGCTTAGCAAAGGAGCCAGGCAAGCCTCTTTAGGACGTTCATTCTCCAACAGAGCTGCCCTAACAGAAAGGGGCTCTTTTGAGTAGCCCCCAGCATCATTTCCTCCAGCAGGAGCTTCCAGAGAAGGACTGCCGAAGACCATCTGAGGTTTTGGGCAGGCGGAATAAGAGATCCTTCAGGTTGTCTTTTTGCTGTACCCCTATGGTATTATAATCATGAAGTGCTTATCCTAAAATGCAAGGATTTTATTTTATTTTATTTGCAAGTTCTTAGAAATCATGAGGGGGCAGTGAAAGAGAATGCACTCTTAAATACACACACACACATGCACACAGCAAGACAGGAGTTAGCTATTCCTTGCTAATAGTGCCTCTTGGCTTTCAGAGAAAAAATACTGCACCGGTTTGCTTTGCTAATCCATTTTCCTCCAAACTGTGGCAGTCACCCCACAGACTGCTGGATTTCAATTCTTCATGTGCCACTTGCCTCCGGGATTATCACTTCAGCTCCAGACAGCATTCGCTCTCCCTTAAATGATAAACACTCACACAACAACTGGAGCAACTAGTTCTTTCCGTTTTTTGAAGTGAACTGCCAAAAATACCAACAAGAATTCAGAAGAAATGTATGCCTTATCCCATTGCACAGAGCTTTGGCTTCTGCAGAAGAAAGCAACACAGTTGCTCAAGCCGAAAGAGAAAAAATGGACTCAGCTGCCCGAAAATTACAGCTTGACATTGACCAGCTACAAAATCACAAAGCATCTTTGTATGGTGATGTTGCAGACCTACAGAAGGATCTCCAAGGTAGAGGAAAGCTTTTCTGATTCCTAGACAGAAGTTAGGCTTTATTTAAACCAACGCCTCCCCAATTTATTTATTTATTTATTTATGAGATTTATATACTGCTAAATGAAATGAAATAATAATTGAAGTTCCAAAATAAACCTTTAAAATCAGAATATGCCCAAAAGTGCTGGTTAAAGAGGGAGGGTTGATTAAATACCAATGTGTTCATAAGCACCAAAAACAAAACTTCAGTACCTGTTCGACATGGACCACAGGCCCATGGGGAACCACCCCATCCTAATGGAACTTAACCTGTAGTGGGATTTTTCTTTATGCCAAATCCTCCCTCAAATATTTACACCCTCCTTCTTTATTATCTTTTATTTTAACAAGTGACAAAATTGTTTCCCCCCCCTTAGGAAAAAAGGAGGAACTGACTAGATTGAAAACTGAGCTGAATGAGGCCAGGCATCATCTTCAGCGGTTGGAACAGGTGAGGTTTGCTTGGCTTCAGAATTTGGAATATAACAGACAAGAAACCTGCAACTACCTGGGAAGCATCTAAAAAAATTAACAGCCCAATCCTGAACCACTTACCTAGGTGTGTTCTATTGAAATCGGGGATTTCGGAATACAAAGGCACGGAATTAGGCTCAGCATCCTGGGATAAATGATACCTACTAGCGAGTCATTTTACAGCACTGTGGCTGGGTGTCTTCACTCCTGTAATTGCTTTCCCCGGCCTTGCGCTCTAGACATATCAAGCTACAATTCCCAACATCACCTAGCTCCCCTACCGACTGAGGGATGCTAGGAAATGTAGGTCCAGCCCATCTGGATTAGAAGGTTTTCCTGTGGTGTCGAGCCCACCTCCTGTCTGGCATTTTTGCTTTGCAGGTGTGGCTCTTTTTGTTGGTGCCCAAAATCTGGAACATTCTTGAGTTGCGGTGTTTGTTATGTTTTCTTGTTCTGAAATGGCAGGATCTGAAAAATGCCACAAAGCAAAAAGAGGAGCTATTTTGTGAACAGGCAGCCCTGAAAGACCGTATTAGTGAATATTCAAAGAAGTGTGAAGAATGCCAGGAAGCACAAAGCCAGAAGGAAAAGCAGCTACTGCAGCTTTGCCGGGAAATTGAAGAGCAAGAGCTGGAGCAGACGAAACAAAAACTGGTATGAGTCTAGTCCACTCTCTGGCTGCTGGTCTGCTCCTCTAAGGTTTTCTGCATTTTGACTCGAATACAAGAAGAAGTCAGGTTTGCTGTCAAGCAGATCAGTAGTCCACTATAGTTTCTACATGATAGTTGGTTGTTAAACCTGGTTGAACGGAATGTCTTAGACAAGAAGAACTTTGCTTGGCAAGTAAATCATCCCCTTTGCTTTAGTTTTGAATTTCTGGCCTGACTGTTCCTGGTGTTCTTCAGCTTTCCCAAACCTCTAGCCAATCAGGAAAACAAAGGCCACTGAGACTGTCAGTGATCACAAAACAGGTTGCACAAAATTTATCAAGATCTCTCTCAAAAGAGAGATGTGGGGCCCAGAGAGAGAGGGCAAAGAGCAGGTTCCCATCCAGGTGGCTTCCCTCAAGCAAAGGCTAACTCTTCCCTTATGTTTGACTAGTTGCTTCAGGACCTCCGAGAGAAGATACAGCAAGAAGAAAGGAAATGGGAAGACTGCACAGCCAAACTACAGGACCAGAAACAGCGATTAGAAGAAGAGCTGGCAGAGCAACAGCGCCTCCTGGAGCAAACCGCCATGAGAATTCAGGGGGCAGAAGAACAGATACGCAAGCTGCAAGAGGAGGAATCCTGTTACTCCGTCCTTAAAGAAACCATTAGCAAAACCAGTATGTGAAGCTTCAGGCGACAGCCACTAATTTATTTTGTGCCGTGTGTGTTTAAGTACATGCTAACATGTGTATCCCCCTGCCCAGGCTCAGGGCAGACGGTGATGCTTTTAGAATGAGCCCACGAAAGCCTGTGATGCTTGCTCGGCCTGTCTTTGGATGTGGGAATCTCAGTTTGCAGGCATCCCAAGTTTTGCAGCTTAGCCCCAGAAGAGCCCTTTGCTCTTCTTGAGAAGGCTGCTCTGGGCTGCATGGAGGGAAGAGCAAGATGGAAATTAATAGTAATAATAATAATAATAATAATAATAATAATAAAAACACAAGTGGGGAGGGTTCTTCTTCAACAGAATGCTGAGACTTGGTACAGGTCTGTGGCTCTTTGGCGACAAAGGTCGTATCCTCTGATTGCAGGACATCAGGTCTCTGAGCAAGAAGTGAAGTTGCGAGAAAAAGCAGCTGAAGCGTGCTCCCTCCAACGGGAGCTAGAACTCTCGAAGGCCAGGGAGAACATGCTTCAACATAAGATCCAAGCAGAAAGGAAAAAGGCAGAAAAGCACATCGCAGGCCTGAAGGAAGCCATTCAGACACAGAGGGCTCAGCTCGAGAGAGCTCTTCATGTACGTTCCTTTTGGTGGTGGTTTACTTTTTCCATAATGGAGAATATTTTCATGCTTTTCTCTGGGGAAACATCCACAGGGATCTTGGATATCATACCTGCTTGAGCCTCATTAAAGCAGGCAGCATTATTTTGGGGCACTGATTACAGAACTTGGGTGTGTTCAAAGCCTTCCATGTACATGACCTTAATCATGCTAACAGAAACCTTGGGAGGCAGGTCAGCATGATGCAAAGGAAGCCATGGCAGAAGGCCATGTAGGGAGTTTGTGGCAGCAGCCATCTCTGGGCTGGAGACTTTCGAGTCCGCACCTCAGCCTCTTACTGGCTTCACTGACTGTTCCTTGATGCCCCACCACATGTACATAGCTTGATCCCATTTATTTATTAGATTTATATACTGCCTTTTTTCTTTGGAAAAAACTCAAAAGCCGCTTACGTCATTCTCCTCCTCCATCTTATCCCCACGACAACAACCCTGTGAGGTAGGCTGGGCTGAGAGTCTGCGACTGGCCCAAAGTCACCCAGTGGGCTCCATGGCTGAGCGGGGACTCAAACCCGGATCGCCTGTGTCCCAGTCCCACGCTCTTCACCACTGCACCAGACTGGCTCTCACATTTGCCTTGAACTTTGTCTTCATCAAAGTAACATTGGCCAAAGGGTGATTTCATCATGTGGGTTTCTGTCTTATAATAATATATTTGTTAATTCTGAAGGGGAACAAAAATAGGAGAAGCCATGAGTATCCCTGTTTTTATTTTAGGAACAATTGAATGGAGCTGGTCTTTGACCGCAATAAAGTTTATCTATCTATCTTAGGAACAAAAGCAAGAAAACCAGTGTTTGCAGGAAGAAATGGCATCCGTAGAGCAAGTGGCACAGGACAACCACCAGCGAGCAAAGCAGCTGATGAGGAACCTTGGCCAGATCCAAGAGGAGTACCTGCAGCTCCAGTCACAGGTAGCTCATCTTGAACAACGATACTCCTTCCTTCCCACTTGTCATCTGCCACACTGAATGTTGCCAGCAGTGCGGAGTGATTAGGGAGGTTGGTTTCTTTCTTTGTTCTCGTCTGTGAAATGGGTCTGACAGTTCAGACAGTTCAGACAGACTCGTCTGACAGTTCAGCCAGAAGGGACGTGTTTCTACATCCCCTTGGCTTAAGCATGTGCTGCAAACTTTTCCAGGGAAATTGGCGCAACTTGTCTGGTTGCAGATGCCGACCAGCAGCCATGCTTATCTTCTGTGCGACGGTGGGCCGTGACCACATTTCTTCCAGGAGTTGCATAAGATCCACCAAGTGTCTGCCCTGGACCATCTCTGCAAATTGGCTTGCTGTTCTCCTTGAGCTGCCACTCTCATCCTTGTTTCCTGTTGCTTAGATGAAGAGTCAGGAGGATTTGGAGAAACGACAGAAGGAGATGAAGGGCACAGTGAAGATGCTCAAACTAGAAGTGAGAGACAAAATGAGGACTTGCTTGAAGGATCTGAGTCAGTCTCCTCCAGAAGCTAATTCCGAAGCCAAGGGAAGAACTCAGAGTGACCTGGAAAGTCTGAAGGAAAACTACCCCTTCACAGATAAGGAGTCGAGAATGTTGTGCTTCGATGAAAAACTGGACCTGTCCAAAGTGCACATCATGGTAAACGGAGCCCCACTAAAATCAATGTTAGAAGTCAAACCTGCTTCTCAGTGTTGTGTGCAAATTCTAGAAACAAATGTCAGTCTTGATGTATTTGTGTAAACAGGCACTCCTGCATTTTCCTTTCTGAGATGCATGTGTGGTGCACCAGCTTTGGAAGACACAAAGCCAAGAAGCTTTTCTCGCTCTCTGGCTGCTGGAAACCACACACCACTGCCGTCACCAAATCCATCTCACTATCCAGATTTCTAAAATCTTGACATCTAAAATCTTGAAATTAAAAAGAAATGAAACTGTGTGAGTGTGCAGAGTACTAAAATTTGTAAGCAGGGTTCTGTGCTTGAGCAGGTGAGAGAGAGAGAGAGAGAGAGAAACCCCCACTGAAATATGTCAGTATGCTTATTTCTTAATGACCGTCAGCAGCTCTCATCTAGGTTCCACCGTGATCAGCTTTGTCAGACAATATTTGTGCACAGTGTATGACTGGTGTGTGTCAAACCTCAGGCTACCTTCCTGTAGGCTCCACCAAACTCTGATGTGTAACCCATTCTTTTTCCCTCAGGATGAACAGTGGCGGGGAAAAGCCCGCCGAGAGCAGCTCCAGCATCGTGAGGACTGGCTCAAGGTAATGACCGTTCGTTTAGGTGGGATCACCTCTTGGTCTTTTCCCAGTAGCGCCACACATTGGCTCTCGCTGTGGCAACCCAAACATTCACATCTTTTCCACTGTCTCCTGCCGGCCTCCCAGGACCACCAGATCTCAGGAGCAACTTCCAACACACACACACCTGTCTATGCAAATGCATGAAATTTGGCATCTCTCCTGGGCACAGAACTTCCACAAGCGAGTCAGCAAAAATGCTCTTGGCCTATATAGTAAGAGTCATCTAAGAAACAGGAATCTAACGGAGCGACTCTGTGTTTCTTAAGGCCCAGCTTCGGCAGTGCATGTCAAAGCAAGTGGAGGTGTTGATTAAAGGAAAGCAGCAGACGGAGGGCACCCTCCATAGCTTGAAGAGGCAAGTTGACGTGTTGGATGAACTGGTCAGCAGTGCCTCTACCGACTCGCCGTTTCAGTCATTAAACTCCTCAGGGTTCACAGCCTCTCTTCATGAAGAGTCAAGCCTCGCAAAATACAAGGTAGGCTTCCCTCTGCTTTGGGTTTATTGTTCATTTGGATATAAGAACATTTGTAGTTTACAGGGTGTCCCAGAAAAAATTGACATCATTTCGTAATCTAATAACATAGCCCATTCTCACTCAAATGATCTCAAATTTTAACAAAATGTGTAAAAACTAATTAATGTTAGTTACGCAATGTTACGCAAGACATGCTACAGCGTGTTTGGCAGGAGGTGGACTACCGACTGGACGTGTGTCGTGTCACAGGCAGTGCACATATTGAATATTTGTGAAGCTTTGTGAAATCAGTTATAAAATCTACATCCCTTTGAACCTCTTGTTGAAATTTAGATAAATAAATCTTTTATTGTTCAACATGAAGCCTATTTAATTTTGTTTGCCTAAGACATGTAGTTACTCAGATATTCACATTTCAAATGAAGTCAAATTTTTTGGGACACCCTGTATTTTGAAAATGTAAACCCTGTCTTTTGATTGCAGTGTCTAAGTGGCTTCCAATAGGAGCAAAAACCGACTTGGTGACTCCTGATCCTGGGCTTGGTGGGTGTCTTCCCCCGCCCCTTCTGCTGTCCCAGAGCAGTAGCTGGAAGTTGCCCATCAGGCCCCATTTTCCTCTGCAGCAGGGGGCTTACCCGTTTTTCTGGTGCTGTGCCTCCGGGCCACGGGGCACTTGCTCCAGGTCCTTCCAGCACTGGAACATTCCAATGCAGGGCCTGCCCACCAGTGGTGCTTCAGCCTCTGGCACTTTTCATCCTGCCACGGCAGGGCTCGGTGGCAGGTGAGCTTATCACCTGTGACACTATTAGGTCCCCTGGAGATGAGGAGCTGGTGCCCCACAATGGTCACATTCAGCGCCGGCCTGTCTTTGCAGTATATCGTGATGGCTTGCTTCCAAGGAGGGCCAGAGGTGTTCAGGAAGTATGTAGATTCTCTCTGGCCGATGCTGCTAGGGAACTGTGTTTGGAAAAGACTGAATATCCTTAAAATTGAGTGCACAGTACTTGTAAGGAGATCCTTCTATCCAGCCACCATGTTGGCGATGTTGGCTTGTTAAAATCTCAGGTTTTTAGGACGTTAGCCCCAAACTTCAGCATGGAACAATGGGCACAGAACTGGGCTGTGCCATGAGCAACACGTAGGTCTGGTCTGTCTTAATTTGAAGATTGTGGCGATCCAAGCTCTTTCTCATTGTCCTTACATAGTAGCTCAGCCTTCCAAGTGTTATATAAATGACAAAATTAGAGGTGGTATTGTGCTGCTGAAGCCCAGGAGCAGACGACGTCAACTGCTCTCCTCAGATGGATTCTCTTCCGGTTTCCTTTACTCGGGATCTGATTTTCCTTCTAGTCTGCTGGATCACCTTCCAGGACAGCAGCGGCTATTTCACCACAACCTCAGCCTGTTCTTCAGTACAAAGCATAGACCCAAGTAAAACAGGTAAGAAGCAGGGAATCTGCTGCATTATGAATTGCATGTTAAGACTGATCAGCAGATGAGAGGCTGTAATCTATCTAAACACTACAAAATAGATGCTGTTGACCAAAGTGGGCCTGATTGCTGAGTAAGCATGAGGCTCGCTGCCCAGCTCCCTCGCCTACCAAGAGGAGGGCAAGTTGCAGCTTGCACCGGTCTTCCCTCAGACAATGAAGCCACACGACCCATCACAAGAATTAAGGACACGTGATTTCCAGCTCCCACAGCAGGCATAGAAATGCAGACTCCAGGAAGAACTGCTTGCCCCGAACCTGAGGCAGTCCTGCAATTCCACTCCTTTTCCAGGGAAGTGCCACCTAGGACTTTCCTTCTAAAAAGTGGGATACCTGCCTCAGAAGAGCTAAAATTGAACTGAGAGCGTATGAGGGACCATGGGATAGTTCAGATTCCCAGAAGATAACATGGAAGATAAGAGTCCTCTCCAGTCTCTAAGATTCCCTTCCTGACCTCGGAGAGGAACTGGTGCAGTTCTTTCCATGCCAGTTGTGAGGGTGAGTGAAGGGGTCAGAGTTCCAGATCTCAGCAGAAAAGGCCCAGCAGGGTGGGTGGTGACGTCGTCTTCCATTCGAGTCCGCACAGGATGACCCCAAGCCTGCACTCAAGAGCTTGTTGACATCAGTGACTGCATGAACTGTCAACCCATTTTAGTATAGAAAATGAGTACAACTGTCTTGTTAGTTAGCCTAATGTGTACCGCCAACATAATCTGTACTATAATGATCTTTTCTTTTCTTTTTTTTTTTTAAGAGAAGCACAACTAGAATGGTGGGGCCAGTGCCAATAACCTGTATTCTCAAGTACCTGAAAACAACTACCTCACCTGGTCACAAGCCCCTATCCACATTGCTCGAGACGATTCCACTGTTCTCAGGTTCGTTCCCTACCTGTATTTAGTTGGATGTTCTTTTCTGTTAAGTAAGTTGATAGAGTTTGAGTCTAACATGGTGTTTGAAATAATCAAAGTCACAGCCGTGGATATTTGGTGCCTTAGTGGGGACACCTGCAATTATTTATATCTGGATGACTGCTTTGGGTTTTTACATTCCTTTTCATCGGTTCAGCAAAAATTTGTATTCTGTTGGTTAAAAAAAAAGTATTTTCTTAATAAAAAATTTTGCAAACCTGTTTGCACATCAGCATAACAGAGGATGTGGAAGGAACTGCCTTTTGGTCCACCTTTTCTATTTAAAGGCATCTGACAACGTAACACATATACTTTAGACTTAATCCCCCCGCTTCCCAGTGGTATTGGTGAACAGCTTTTCGACACCCTGGTAGTGGTGCCACACTCAGGAGGCGACCGCTGTGGAATCGGTAACATCTGTGGCTGATGAAGGCTATGCACAGCCACCGGACTTACTGCTGCCTGTCTGCATCGGCCTGCAAATATTACTGTGATGTCCTGACTCCTTCTTAGAGGAAAAGAAATCGTTTACCCTATGCAAAGTCTAGGTCCGAGTGCTGAAATTCAGGCATATGCACCCGAAATGAAAGCAGCAGTAAACTTTGGGGAACAAGTTTAGTGGCTAGAGGGCTGGTTGCAAGCCTAGGTTCAAGGCTAATTGATTCAGCTTAGCACCTCCTCCTTCGTGAAGCACCAACGCAGCCGTTCAAATCTAGGACCAGATAATCTGCTCATCGAAGGACTTTGAAAACCATTCCATGAAAGATTTCCTCATTTGCTGCCACCAGTGCACCCGGCCTGCTCTACCGCCAGTGTTGGCTCAGTGCAGCTAAACTGCATGGACAATACGAGTAAGTGGTAATACTCACTTGCACATTTGGGCTTGTGCTCTAACACTTTATTTATCCATTTATATCCTGCCTTTTTCCTACAAAGGGCTCAAGGCAGCTCACATCATTCTCTTCCTCCATCTTATCCCCACAACAACAACCCTGTGAGGTAGGCTGGGCTGAGAGTCTGTGACTGGCCCAGAGTCACCCAGTGGGCTCCATGGCCGAGCGGGGACTCGAACCTGGATCGCCTGAGTCCCAGTCCCAGCTCTTCACCACCACACCGCACTGGCTACTAATTCTAACTAGTAGCAGGCTGGGAAGTGCTAGATCCCCCTTCCGATAAATGCTGAAGATCTAGAGCCTTGATAATATGCAGTATTTAAGGGAACAACTGAAGAAACATTGCTTCCAGCCCCTGCAGTTCACACCTCCCTTAGTGCACATCTTCAAAGAATGACTACTGTGATGTATCTAGATACAGGTACTTTATTTACAAATATTTAGATAATAGCATTGTTACATTAAATGAGTACAGCAGCCCAAATAAGTCTTGTCACAGAAACAAAGACCTACTGTAACTTTACTTGGGGGAATATAAGAAGGGGCTATTGCACCGCCAACAAGCTGCAGAAAGATTGCCTTTGCCCAAACTTACATTGTGTCAACAGGTCATGGTCCCTGGGCAAAACCCCGCCCCGCCCCGCATGGTGGAATTCAAGCTGCAGATTCTCGGATACCCATCTATTTTAAGAATCTTAGGTTTGAGGGGAAAATCCTAACTGGAGCCAAACAAAAAGGACACACACCAAGGGACAGTGCACAACTTACCCAAACACTAATCATTTGCACATTCCAGTTTTGGCTTTTATTTAACATTGACTGTACAATATGCTGGTTATCACCCTTTGCTTTTACATATTGGAACGTGGCCTTGCTTAGTGTCTCGACAGGGGCTTCTGTACTTTGCTGAATTTGAAACATCGCAGTCAATATATTCACACATGCTCATCTTGCCCCAGTCATGCTTAACCATTTGTTGCCCCTGCTTTTTTCTTTTCTTTTCCTTTTTTTTGGAAAAAGAGAGAGGCCAGGCTGCCATGGAGAATACAGTACAGAGTTAAGATTGTTTGCACATGTGGCTGTAACCCAAGGAGAAAAGCAGGTCTGCATATACACACTTTTAATTAGTTCGCTTTCCTAGAGACTCTTGTGACCATAGGAGGAAGGAAAGAAGGAAGAACTTGGGAGGAGGCGAGGTTAAGCCTGTTCAGTCGTAGTGTCAAATGCCACAGAATAGTTCAGGAAGCCTAGAGCAAAATACTTGACAGTCCAGTTGAGAATAATTTCCATGAAAACGTAAGATGTGCGATAAAGCCCAGCATTCCTATACAATAAGGCAGGAAATTAAGCTGGAGTAAAGCAGAATTCTTACCAAAGAGAGAGAGGAAGGAGAGGGGGCAGAGCCGGTTAGCACACCATTAAATCGCACAGGACCAGGATCATGAACAAAAACAGCAATAGCTGCAGTGCAGAGACGGGGCAGATGCAACACCGGGATGGATACTCTTCCGCACTGCATCAGGAACCAGCTTCCCAGGCGCAACCTCCTCCAAAGGCCGCCACCACAGAGTTAAGCCGGTGGTCAGTGAACTGTAGTTGCTAAGCAGAGGTGATGTGGCCAATAATTGGTTGAACTGTACAGACCAATACACTATCTATATAGTTCTAATGCCAGTAATCAGTTTTTCTTCATTAAAATCATATACACAGAATGTACTTTTTAAGCGTTAGCTCGGTTCCTTCAAAATTTATACATATTTACGTTGTGTTAGCTAGGGCCAGAAGGGGAAAATGGCAGAAGGGAAAGAGCTGTGACGGTCAGGAGATGCACTTCCCATGTGCAAGGCCAAGATGGATGAAGACATACACCCCTGCAACGGGTCTCCCCACCCTCGGAAATCATTTCACAGCAAATCAACTTTTTTGTTACTAAAAAGGACAGATTCAGACCAGTTACAGATTTGGAGGAAAGGCTGAAGCTAACCAAGTTAAACCTTACAAGAGACAAAGCCCTGCAGAGAGAAAAAGAGTAAGAGTAAAAATCATGAGGTCCAGCATCAGTGCTCTGTTTTGTAAATCATGGATTGGTGACACCTATTCACAAGGACAATCATAGGGAGGGGTAAAGACTCCTAGATTTACCATGCAGGGAGAAGGGTATGACTACTTGCCTTTGATAACCTGATTACATCTAAGTTTCTCGTATTTTATTTTTAGAAGTTTAGTACTGTGTTAAACTGTCGCCTCAGGAGTTTTAATTAAACCCAGTAAGGTGTACAGAGGAAACTGAAGCAGCCAAAAGCACTGCTCCTAACAGAGGTGAAAGGTCAGAAACAGAGCCAAGGTTTTGAGGTCACTAGCAGCCGCAGCCTTCTCTCTGGGGCTGGGGTTCGCTGGTTAGCCGGCCACCCTGTGGAGCCGAAGGCTTGTGTTGTACACCCGACTCTGCGGCGTTCAGATCCAGGCTCCCGTCTTGGATGTTCTGGTAGATTTTCTTGGCAGCCTCTAGGAACGCATCCTCAACATTCTCTCCTCTGGGAAATGAAGAGGCAGCAACATTAACTGAGAACAGATGTGCTGGGCTCTTGCCCAAGAGATCAGGCAGCCCCTCCCCATTTCTACCTCGAGATTATCGTTTGTGGACTCTCTTAGCTACAACCAAGGCGCTTCCAAAAGAATCTTTTCACTAAGGTAGAGCTGGCTAAGTACTGCTTTTCTGCACTTGAGAGGCTCTGCAGCAGCGCCTCGCCCGCCAGCATTGTCCTGGCAGTCTTGCAACACATATCAGAACAGGCTGAATTCCTGCAAGCCCCACCGCCAGTTCATGGGCAGGTCACCATTCCAGCACTGCAAGAGGGCCCCCCCTCGCCCCAGAAGAGCCCCCACTACTTTCCCTTTGGCATGGGGCACAAGTATTCCACCCAGCAAAAAGCCTTCTGGGGCTAAAGACTGGCTGTCATTTCTGAGCCCCAGGGACTGGCAGAGCTGCTGCAGTTTCACTTCGCCTTCACAGATACTCTAAGCAGCACAGGTCGGCACCGACGGACGAGCGCAGCCTGCTTGAGGAAGGCAGGCAGTGAAGAGGGAGAAGAATTAAACGGGGCCAAGGGATCTGGAAGGCCAGGTACTGTTGATGGAAGAGGGCCGATGAGGTTACATGGGACAGTGGCTCCAAGAATTAGTGTGGTTGGAGGAAAAAGCACACGGCGTGCAATGGCTTGAGATACAGTGGCTGGTGGGAGGAGAGGGTGCTTCTCCAACACATGGTCTTGGAGACCTGAAGTTGTTGGAGCAAGAAGAGTAGTGAGCACACTCCAACCTTTCTTTAGAAAAGCGTTGGATTCGTCCCTGCTACGAGGACTAAACATCAAAGAGCCTAATAAAGAACTTTGAGATCTAAGGCATTTGGGTCTCAGCCACATTCTGGATTTGTGGAAATCTTTGCAGTATTAATACCGTTGTGGGCACTCTCACAAAACAGCTGCCAGGAGGGCTTGCCCATTTAAAAAGGCTGCCGTCGGCATGGCAAATCACAAGCCAAAAGGCAAATAACTTACGAACCGAAGGGGTTTGAACTCCAGCACAGAAAATCACCGTTCATACCCAGTTTTCTACTGCAATGGCAGTTTCTCAGAAAGCAAGGCAGCGAGCCTCAGAGACAACTTGGACAAGAATGCTTTGCAAGGCCCAGTGGTATTCTACAGAATAACCATGGCTCTGGAGGTTGGAACTTCACTTTGAACTTCTACCCTCCCAGGTTAACAACAAAATCGAAAGAATAAATTGAGAGAGATGTGGCAGACACCATGGAGACCCCAGGGCAACTATCCTTTTCCTGAGGAAAAAATCTCATCATCTTCACAAGTTACAGATTCACAGAGGAAATTGTAGTTTCAAAAAAAGTGCACCCCAACACTTACGTTTTTGCACTGGCTTCAAGAAACAGCAACCCTGTTTAAAAACAAAATGCAACTTTAGCACAGGTGGGAATTCAAAGCTACCCACTCCTTTCAGACCACACTAAAAGAATCCCACAGGGTGTCAAACCTCCAGGTAAGAGGGTAACCAGTGCAGCTTGAATAGCTGCATCTATACATGAGACAACATGGGGCAAACGGGACAGAATGCCTGCCAGTCCTTTGTGCTTTTCCGGAGCAGCAACACCCACCGTTCTCTTCAGCAAACTGTTTGGCTTCTTCATACGTTACGTCCCTCTGTGCTTCCAGATCTGCTTTGTTTCCTATAAGGATTATCACCTGCATCCAGGACGAGACGCAAAGTTAGTGGCTGACAGGCCCAACTGGCTGCACCTCCCGAGCTACAGGAAGTGAAGCCATCCCTCAGCAACACTGCTGTTAATGGGAAAGAATATCTGGCTGAGCACCTTGCCTCGTCTGCCCCTCAAGGCTTCCTCTGAGGCATGACGGTAAGGTGTAACTAACCCTATTTCTTTGCAAGGATGCACCCAAATCAGGCACTGGGCCTGCACTTTTAGTGAGAACGTCACGTGACGGAGGCGGAGACATTCACCAGCACTTCTTTATTCCTGCAGGGCCCACTCAGCTTCAAGAAAGTGCTAATTTTGCTATCAGTCACAGTCACACTAAAAAAAGGAAGTGAGCTTGGCTAGCTGGAATTACTGCTGCAGAGAGCAGAGAAAAACAGATCCAGAACAGATGTCTTCGAGCCACTTGGCATATACAGGAGAGATGAGCAGAGATAGGTGGAGGGAGGAATTTCTTTTCAGAACAGTCTAGCCCTTTGCAAGCCGTTAAGAAGAGCAGCAGGACAAAACGAGAGAGAGAGCCCCCTCCCGCCACCTTGCCTGCCTGTTTCAGAGGAGCAGGAGATGGTCTGGCTGACAATGAGACACACGGGCCTGGCTAGTACCAAGCCGCCCCCCCCCCGCCCCACGTCCTACATAGCCTCATGAAAGCTCTTCTCAGTGGCCCCCAAAACTGCCTCTTAAGCAGCAGAAGCCACTTCCAAACCAGGCCTATCATGGCCCAGAAGCCCAAACCCTCGCAGATCCGCAGGAGCCATCCCACAGCAGTGTGTGAACTGCTCACTGAGGCTTCTCCCGACTGTTCTTCCCTCCCTCCTTCCCCTTGCTATTCACTTTATTCTGTAAGACTGTGGCAGGACTTGTTCCATTTTTAATTGCTGCAGCACCTTAGCAGTTTTAAGTGCTTATTTGGGGGCTGGAGGGAGGGGGATATCACCAAAATGCAACTTAACAAAAGTTAACCATTTTCAAAGCATCTTAGAACCTTGGCCTTTGGATTTCTTGCTTTGGCCCCAGTTATCTAAATCAAAACAGCAAGCTTTGATTTTTTTTTTTTTTTTTAATCTTGAGTGTTTCTAATCCACAAAGGCAAATTCAAAATTAGCGGGGTTAAATTAACCTTGTTTGACTTGTGGCCCATTCGACATGTAATTGGGAATGAAGAAAAATTAATGGTGCCCTTCTTCTCCACAAGGAGCAGCTTTGAGTTACCAAACTGCAGCTTCTCACACTTCTGGAGTCCCAAAGAGGGAGCCAGTATGGAAGCCTCAAATGCGACTGCCCGGCTTTTAATGCAGTGGTTTTTAAGAGCCCCACTCACAGTATTTGGATTGGTGAGGTTCCTTGCATCCGTCAGCCAGCTGCTCAGATGGTTATATGTGCTTCTTCTGCAAGAGAAAACAGGCAAGGAACAGGGCTGATGCCTAACGGGGCTCAGCTTATTTCCTACTACACTTCTGGGAGTGGCACAATATTCAACAGGAAGAGGTTCTTTCCCATCCAGACAGTTAAACCAAGCTGTTAAGAGATGCTTTTCACTTCCCCAATTTTCAAGAGGAAAGCCGCTAAGGCAACGCTGACTGAAAACCCCTTAGAGGAATGCCTACAGAAAAAAATGGGCACAACATGTGCAAGAACACTGGGGCGTAACACAGAAAGGTGTCTCCTTTTAAGGGTTTGCTCTCCAGGAGTTCAGCGATGATCCTGCATGCCTAAGAAGAGAGCGTGAACTTGAATCACGTAAACAAAGTTGTACAGAGTGCAAGGTTGTTTGCTGGGGCTTGCGATGAATCGAAAAATGGCATCATCTTCATTCTTCTGCATTCTTCCACCAACTGTAATAGCTAAAGAAATTCAGTTTCTGAGTTCACTGCATCTGTCCTTAAAAGCAGGGATACTAAACATCTGTGGCTCTACAGATGTTTTGGCCTCAGTCAGCCCTAGCCAGCACAGCCCAGAGTGGAAAGAAGCTAGAATTCCAGATGTGCCTCATTTCTTTCCCCAAAAGTCTATACCAGAATAGCCAAGAGCTAAGAATGGTGGGAGCTGATGGTCCGGCCATCTGGACATCTATTTCCTGCTTATGCCCAGCACAGCCAATCATGAGGGTTCGTGGGGACAACAGGCCAAAACATCTGGAGTGCCAGTTAGCCCAAACCCAGCTGTAACAGCAGTCCCTGCAAGGAACCTGGGAGAAGCCGCAAGATCCCTCTCATCCGACTGGCCCCAAGCCAGTGATGAAGCTGCTCCATGCTGTTGGAAGAACAGCCTCAGATGGGACACACCTAGCAATTTGCCGCAAGACAAGAAGCAAGTCATAGCAAGGATGCACTCTGACTCTCAGGCCTTTTTGGTGGCTATTCTTTCTATGCTGAAGATCAGTTCTGTGGCGCCATACACAGTATTAGTTGCACAAGCACGACTAGTATAGTTATACAGTGCCTGATGTAGAAGAGACACTCCTGAGATAAGCAGTATGTTCTCATTAGGGAAACCCTGCTGCAAGACTCCTGTATTATGTATGAGAAGCAAAGCGACTCAGGCCCTTCAAAAGCCAGCCTTTGCTATGCAGAATGCTGCAATTTTTCCTCCACACAGGCTGTCTCTTGGCCAAACTGAAAAAAAGGAGAAGTATTTACATGTCCTCCTTCCTTTTCACCAACAAAATTCCCTTTTATGGAAAATATGGCCAAACTGTAAGGGTTGAGAAAGAGGAGGATCTATTAAAGTAGCAACCTTGGCTGTAGCTCCTTCTAAAACCAAAGAATCATCATTTTCATAGCCCTCATCATCTACAGCATCTAGATTTTCAGCAAGATTTCTTAAGAAGACCGGAGTAGATGCCCTCTACAGAAGACAAATTGGTGGGTGTTGTGGGGATAGAAGACTATTTCAGCCCTCCATGGTACTGGAACTCAGTATTACCTAGCTGAACCAGCCAGTAGCAAATTTAGGATGGGGGCGGGGACTAGTTTCTTTCTCTAACTTTCTATTTTCTGATTAAGATAGAGGATATCCTCCACCTTAGAAAGACACTTCCCCCTGGAGCTTGTGCACAAGAGTCCAGAACTAACTTTTGTTCCTCCAGGGAAAGCAGCCCCACTGCCTCCCAGTCTGAACTGGAAAGCACCAGCTCGTCACCCCTTACCTAGTAGAACAATGTAAAACAGAGCCTATGCCAAGGGCATCTGCAAACAACCAACAAACAGATTTTGTTCACAGAATAAAAATGAACCACTGCGACTTATTTAAATCACCATGCATGCTAGGTGAAATTTCAATAACCACCATGGAGGTGTGGCTTCTTGTTCTGTTTAAACCTGTGTAGCATGGCTTGTTGGAGGGAAAAACAACCCTCCAAGAATCCGCAAGCTGTTGTAGGATTACTGCAGGGTTGTTCTCCTCCAAGAACTCAAGCCACATGGGTTCAGATGATAAAGCAAGCTCTATCTAGGCACTGGTTACAGAATGTGCCTTGATTTTAAGCAAACCACCAGGGTTTATTTTAATTCTGCAAACCTGCCCACTGGGAATAGGCGGAAAGACAAGATAATGAGCTGCCCCCAGAAAAACCTGAGCATGCAATGATGACAGATTCTGAGTATAGATAACATCAGTATTCTAAACCCTTTACATTAGCTATCCAAGGTCTTTCCCTGCTTGTTAGAACTAGGGGCAGCATTCTGTGTGACTCAGAAAACAGACATTCACAGTAAAATAATCCCACCTTCCTCCTGACTCTCACAGAAGGCAGCTTCTGCCTCAGGATATTTCCAAGGACTGCAGAAGCCAAGGAAGTTTCCCAGGTCACCTTCTGAAGTGCATGCCTCCAAAAGCCCACTGGTGCATATTTATCACTTCTATGATGTCACAAACATGGCTGCCCTGCAACTCTCCCCTGCGAAAGAGCTACCCTTAACAACTGTGCAGACAGACACTCTGATTCCCCTCAGCCAGCAGAAAATGCTTGACTTAGAAACCTCATTCCGTAAAAAAAGCAAGCATGATTTGTGACTTTCAATTCCCAATGTCTTGTTCCAAGAGAATCTTCATGGACAGTAGACATCTATACAATGCCAGTTCTTTTTTCATGAGTATGGTCAGGATTTGGTCAGAAGGAACATAAGGAAACTCTCTGGACCCTAGGGAACAGGGCATTAGCTTTGGGCATACAGGAAGGATCTGGCTGAAAAACCAGGCGAAAGGACTGGGTCAGGGCCATGCGCCTCTCCCAGTTCCCACAACCAAGCTGTGGAATCTCCTGCCAAAAGGGGGGAAAACACCAAGTTATAGGTTGAATTCTTAGAAACTCCAGCCAAAGCCAACTGCTCTGCTCATGAGGCAGGAAGGGTCTGGAAAAAGGACAGCTCCTCCCACTGGAGAAACAAAGCATCAGATGTGGACTCTGCCTATAAGCTCCAGGTGCTGGTGTCGTCCTAAAATGGAAACTGCCCTCCCCAGGATACAGGGAAATACTATTTCATGCATCCACAACCAAGCTGTGGAATCTCCTGCCACAAGATGTGGCAATCGCTGCTGCCTTTAGAGAGATCAGCCAAACTGGAAGTCACATGTTCAGAAGCTGCACCGTGGGGGACTGCAAGAGAGGGAGGGGGCATGGCCTGCTCGAGAATTGCCCCATAGCACCACTCTGGGCTCTGCTGCCAGCCTGGGGACCGAGAACCATTGGGAGATTCCCTCCGCCTGCACTCTTGGGAAGACCACCACAAGAGAAGACCAGCCTGACCGTGCCCCCCCCCCCCAAACAGGCTCCAATAATTGCATCCCTCCCCACTCCTCTTCCTTGTGTCATAGCTATTAGGTTGTAAACTCAAAGGCAGGGATGTCTTTCTATAGAACACTTAGGGTCCTTGCAAGCTAACTGACAGCTTTATTTTTTAATCATGTTTAGATCCTGCCTTTTTTCTTTCCAAGGGACTCAAGGTGGCTCACACAGAAACAGAGTGGCTCATGTTTAGCCTGCAGTCGACCAGCACCCCAAGATCCTTTTCAGGAGTGCTGCTCTCCAGCCACTTGTTCCCTAACTTGTACTTGTTAGTGCAAGACCTTGCACTTATCTGCATTAAATGCCATCTGGTTATTCCCGGCCCACTTCCATAGTCTGTCCAGATCCTTTTGGATCTGGAACCTGCTCCTCAGTTGTAGCCACCACCCCCATTTTAGTATCAACTGCAAATCTGACCAGCAGACTTCTCACCCCCTCCTCCCGGTCATTGATGAAAAGATTGAACAGGATCGGTCCCAGGACTGAGCCCTGGGGGACCCCGCTTGTCACCATCTGCCATCCCAATGATTCCCCACTAATAGTAACCCTCTGCTTTCGGCCCATCAGCCATGCCCTAATCCACCGGACAGTGCTTTGGTGTATCCCAAAACTCCTCAGTTTCTCCACCAGGATATCATGGGGCACTTTGTCAAAGGCCTTGCTGAAATCCAGGTACACCACATCCACTGCATCCCCTCCATCAAGCCACCTCGAAACCCTGTCACAGAATTCCACAAGGTTCGTCTGGCGGAAACAAGGTTTGTCATTCTCTCTTCCTTCTATCCGTTTTATCCTTGCAATAATACCCCTGTGAGGTAGGTTGGGCTGAGACTCAGGGACTGCCCCAAGTCACCCAGGGAGCGCCATGGCTGAGTGGTGACTAGAACCCAGATCTCCTGGGTCCCAGTCCACACTCTGAACCACTACACTGCACCGGCTCTCTCTTGGAAGCATGATGCTCAAGGAGGGCCACTGGTCTGATCCAGCAGGATGGTTTCAATGTTTACAAAAACCTGTAAAATCCAAACTTCAGCTTTTCGAGTTAACCTGAACAAGCTGCCTGGCTGCTTCAAATGGGGTTTCAGGCAAGCGCACAGAAGAGGTCTACAGCACAAGACGACTCCTTACCTAGTGATGTCGTAGACCATGAGCGCTCCTGCTGCTCCTCTGTAGTAGCTCCGTGTGACAGCCCTGAATCGCTCCTGTCCTGCCGTATCCCAGATCTGCAACTTAATTTTCTGGCCACTAACTTCAATTATTCTTGTACCGAACTCAACGCCGATTGTATGGGGACAATCCGCCATAACTGTGGTCAAGGAGAAAGATTCAGGTGAGGAGAAGCGCCCATTTTCAGTTCTTCCCAGCCACGTGACATGAACCCATCAGTCCTGAAGCCTTCCCTCCGCATCAGCTTCCCAGTTTTCAGCTCACCCATCCCAGCAAAGACAGAGGGAGAGGCCTTTCTACACAACATGTTTACTGGCTTTTTCCTACATAGCACAACTGCATGTTCGTCCTTTTCATGTATCTCATCGGGAATGAGAAAGAGGAAAATGGTCCATCAAAACGTCACTAGCTCTAGGCCTGTGCATTGGCTTTGTATTTGACAAACAAATTTAATTTTAGGTTTCAAAAAAATATATGCTGGCCAGTAAGACTTTAATTGGGGCTTAGGACATATGGTCAGTTACAGGCAAGGTAAACCCTACTAAAAACTGCAAAAATGAGTCAACGGCCAGGCACTTAATTTCACATTTTCGGCACAAGGTGCGTTACTGTTTTGGGCTGCACGCAACTGAGTTAGTTAAGACTGTGGGCCTCTTTGCACCACACATGGGTGGCTAATAAGCCACCAGTGGCTTGTTAACAGCCTTGTACACACTGGTTGGATTTACGTAATCACCCCTCCCAAGCATGATAGTTAATTTATTTACTGTTTCAACAGGGAATTCTAGGCAGCTTACAACAAGTAACTGAAGTTACACAAATATTAAACAGCAACATCAATCATATATAAAACAGCAACAATTTAACAGCAATCATTTAAAACCTAATCAAGTGAAAGGGCAACCAATAAACAATACATTAAAGACAATTTAAAATACCCGGAGAAATGTTTTCGGCTGGTGCCGAGAGCAAATTTCTTTGGGGAGCCTGTCCCATAAACTGGGGGGGGGGGGGGGGGGAGACAGCCACCAAGAAGATCCTTCTCACCTCCTTAAGGAAAGGACCATTTAGAAGGACCTCGTGCCCAGATCTTCACGGGCAGGTAGGCATATACAGGAGGAGGAGGTCCTTTAGGTGGCCAGGTCCTAAGCCATTTAGGGCTTTATGTTTAAAAACAGTTAGTGCTTTAAATTGGGCATTCGACCGGCAATCAATGTAATTTATATAGAATTGGTGCTATGTAGGCCTGCAAACTTGCACCTAAGTGTGCAGCATCAAAGTTGCGACATCCAAGCCCAATGAGGTTTGTTAACACCTCACAACTCTAGAACAAGCCATAGGTTCTGGATAATCTGTAAACTACCACAGATGCTCACAATCACAGTAAGCCACAATGGCCAGGCATAAGCATGTAAATCTGGCCAGCGCACAATCTGTAACTATGTGACTTGTTCCCCAGCCTTCTCTGGTGCAAAAATGTCAGAAAATGAAATACACTTAGAAGGGTGATGTTTTTAAAATGAAGGTGTAAACACAATACTTCATCTAATCTCAGCAAGGGTTTTAATTCAGTTGTACTGGAATCCTCCTCACAGCAACAGATCAAGGATACGACAATTCCTTGTACGTGAAAGAACAAACCAAGGTTCATCACTGCTTTCGCTGATCATCAGAGCACTTACATTTCTTTTCTGTAAACTGGTGAAGCAAGCAGGACTTCCCTACGCCCATGTCCCCTGTTCAAGAGCAGAAAAAAGAAACAGTGGCTTGTTACTATTTAGTTCAAGGATTTAAAGTCGCACGGTGAGGCAGATGCACCTATCACGCTTGCACCATACAAACAACCCACGACAGGTTCAACGGATGAGGAAATTCACTGTGGGTTGTTCGCTCCCTTTCTCCTACAGGGGAGAAGCAGGTGGGCAACGTGAAGGTGAGTGCCTGCGGGTGCATTTAATCTAGCATCAAGTGCATGCTTTAATTTTTCCCCTTCAAATATTTCAGGCCAACTTACTTATTGGAACAAAAAAGTAATAATACGGTAGACATTTTAGCCCTGTTGACTAAATATAAGTAAAATAAATCTCTCGAGGGCATCCAGAGATTTTCCACTGCAAAAAGATTTTCCTGTGCAAGTGACCCTATCCAAATTAACCTGATCCCACTGGCAAATTTTCTGGAACGTTCTCCCATTCAGAATTTTCCAAAGGAGACGCGTGGCTGCACTTTACAGAACAATGAAAATGAAGGGCTGCTTCAATTTCCAAGAAAGCTCATAAGCTAGAGATGCAAGGGCAGGGCTGAATCTGAGCATTTGTTCTCTTCATACCAGTGTCTGGAAAGCAAGCACGGAGATTAAAGGAGTGCACCAAGCTTGCTAACAATGAAGCATCCAATTCAGGCCCTTTATAAGTGGAATATAGTTAGGCTTACCAATAATGATGTATTTAAAGATGTAGGAATAGTTGTAAGGTGCAGTTGCCATCGTGGCACTAGAAGGGAAAGAGAGAGAGAAGTGATCAGATGGCAAACCAATTCTAAAAGTATCAGTTTTGTTCACAAGTGACAAATAATAGTTCCATAGCTTTATGGGAACCACAAAATCCCCAAAACAACTGAATCCATATGGATATAATCCCCCCCACCCAAGAAATCTGAACTATTCTAGCAGTTCATTAAATCATTCTAATTATTAATGCAGAGACCTAGCTGATCCGGGGTTTTAACTCCAGAGCAGCATAACTAATGCAAATAAAAAAAAAAACTAAAACTCTCTCTAGCAGTTTCTGAACTTACTCATTTTTAACTTTTGAAATTCTGGAGGATTTTTCTCCTTCAGTCACATACCTAGGCTCAGAAAAGTTAATACTGCATAAAGCACCTAGGCAATACAAATGATGGGAAGAGACCATGGTTTGTTGTTTTGGTTTGGTGGTTTTTTGTTTTTTTAGTTTTAGGTAAAAATTATTTCCTCCAAAACCCAGAGTTTCTGGTCAACACAGCAGCAAACACAAAAGTTAATGCACACCTGCCTCATAGTGTGCCCACCCATTAAGTCTTCTGCAACTGTAAAGCAACTTTCTGAAAACATCAGCTCTGTGATTTTGCCATCTGCATCAGGACATGCCAAATATACTCTTCAACAATCATGGAAGGCAGGGGTCTAAGGCAAGTAGGAAACCTTTTTCCTGAGAAATCCAACTTACAGAAAAAATAAGCCAGAGTCACTGGCAGGTGGAAAATCACTTTGCTCTTTCATGTTCCATGTGCCATCCAGTCTCTGCTACCTGGCTGCACGGAATTAGATTAAGACCAGATGATGTCTGCACTGCAGGTTCTCCACCCCTGGCCTAATGAATGAAGACATCTGTCAAGTATGTTGAACTTCTGTGGTCACATGGTCACAAACCAGCACTTTTAACAACACCTAATAGATTAAAAAAAACCCACTGCAACATTACTATAACAGAGTAACTTGTGGCTGAGAAGACATGAAGTACATGAGATTAAAACAAGTTATACAACAGTTAATGCTGGGAACAACAGATGGCAAAAGAAGACAGGGACAGCAGAGGATGAGGTGACTAGATGGAGTCACTGAAGCAGTCGGTGTGAGCTTGAGTGGACTCCGGGGGGGGGGGGGTGGAGGACAGGAAGGCCTGGAGGAAGGTTGTCCATGGGGTCGCAATGGGTCAGACGCGACTTCGCAACTAACACCAACATCATACAACAGTCACCTTACACCTGCAATGAAGCCTTAATTTAGCAGGGACGGTAAGATTCCCAGTCTCTCAAAGACGGCATCATGTTTCCAAACTCCCAGGATTTTTCCCCCAGGTCAGTTCAACAAGAATTCTAAGCACCCTAGAAACTTAATAAGTGCAAGCTTTAAACAGCCACCTGCCTAGTCATCTGCAAATTTCTATTACTTCCAGGTGACTGTGGTAAGCCTCATCAAAAGTCATGTTATTTCCCATTTATGCCACTAATATTTACATCCTTACTGTCTTCCACTGTGAAAGAAAGGGAACATCGATAGAGTTCTCAGGTTCCCCATGCAGGTATTGGCCAGCCCAGCATTATCATATCATATGCCATCAAATTCATATCGGCCTCTTGGATTAAAAATATTTGTTTAGCCAATCAGGCCACTTAAATTTTTTGAAGAGGGGTCCTTTGCAAAAATAAGAGGGCATTGCCTTGTTGAAGATTAGATTATTCCACTGTATTCAGATAATCTCCAAGCAATACTTCATCCCAAAGACTGAATTCTATTTTGGTGAAGCTTCTAGGGGCCCCCTTCCGGAGGGGGATGAGGCTGACAGCAGAAGGAGCTAGGTCAAAAAACCAAACAACGTATCTTACCTTAAAACTCTTAGTATCAGTAACTATGCTTTTGGAAAGAAATAGGGAGGGCAGAGAAGAGAACCACACAATTACTGGTGACTGGGGAGAGAGGGTGCGGCCAGAGAAAGGGGGCACGGCCTTCTGGGGAACACAGAAAGGCTGGGTTTAGCCCCTATCCCTGAGATTCTACTCTCCTGCCTTACACCAACTTTTGGAAGTATATAAAGCTAAGATTCACCACAGTTTTTGTGCAGCTTGAAAGCATGAAATCAGCCCTAAACATGGATTTTTCCCTGTATGCAAGGTGAAATTTCTCCTGAATCTTAATCCCACTCTTAACTAATGAAACGGCATACATACAGTTTCAAAAGGAGAGAAGAGATCCTAGATCCCCCCCATAGAACTCAAGAGCATGCCATTTTTTTCAGTGCCAAATCTCTTGCTGAAGTTTTCACATTCAGCAACACCTTTTTTAAAAGGCTGCATCAGCACCAGCTTTCTGGTATCTCTCCTTATTCCTCCAGCAAAATATCACGGCAGTTTTTCCCACGATGGACACACCCAGATATCACAGGAACATTCGAAATGTTCCTTCCAGAGTTCCTGGTAAAATGGCCGCAGAACATGCCACACCTAAGCAGTCAGACAGGACCAGAAAATTCCAACATTAACTGATAAAACGTATGAACAACTTCTATCAAGTGAGAGTCAATTCTGCCATTTCCTCCTTATCTCTGTAAGAAATGTTCTGACTCCTTGCTTAATACAAGATCATGAAACTAAAAGGACTCTTGGGCATTAAGGCAATCCGTGGCATTCACTCAGCCTTGCTAAAGCTGCTGAAGAGCTACAGAACATGTAAAATTGAGAAGTACCAAAGCAGGTCAGAATACAAAAAACAAAAAACAAAATGTGTTCTCAAAAACATCAATGAAGTTTTGTTTGTGAATGAGTCCTACCCAAAAAGAATCTAACTCTTCTAAACCCCTCCGGAAAAATGGATTTTTTTTTTTGACAGTCAACGCTACCCAACATGAGTAGCAAGCCATGGTTTGCATGACAACCAATCCATGGTGAGCCCCACAAATTCAAGGGACCCCACAGGAGGAAAGGATTGTGGAAAGAGGGGGGCTATTTCACATGTGCTGTGAATTTTTACATTTTTTGGTCAGGAGAACAGTTCCACGAATGGATTTCAAGCCTCAGCAGAGGTAAACTCCACAAGGATATCTGCTACCCACACAGTCATAGGTCCAAGTCAAAAATCAACCAATTTCCTCTCAAAAACCCCCTTAAAAATAAAGAATTTGAATGGATGGCTATCAAAACTGTCTTAACTTTTTCCCTAGAAAAAGCTTGGCAGAGAGAATGCACATTCCCAAGCTCCTAGGAACTTGGGAAATGTAGCATGAAGACAGCTAAATGGACAGGGGGATTGAAGATCCTGGGCAAAGGGGATATAAATCTTCTCAGAAGGAAAAAAATCTTTACAGCATGCCTTTAGTTTCTCTTCTTTGGCTCTCATGGAAAAGTAAAGCTGTATTAGGAGCCTCTTCTGGGCAAGGTCCAGGTATATGCTACCATTGGCCCCAGTTTTTTAAATAATTTTAGAATGTATCTTTATGAAACATTTTTTGCAAAAAAAATTATTTTTCAAAGACTGGCCAACCACATAAAGCCTCTTCAAGCTGTCAGTAAGGCATTTTGAAGGGACTGCCCTTAGCTATCATAAGACAGACTGTGACATGGGAGCCAGTTTTTGCAACCTCCCCCAACCCTAGAATATGGTATAAAGTAAAAAAACTAAGTTCAAAAAAGCTTACAATCACAATGGAAAGTGGGCAAACCAGTGCCAGGTGCTCCCAAGGCACCCAGAAGGCCCACAGAAAGAAGCTTCATCACCTGCCATGAATCTCTTTATCTGATTCCTCACACCAACAATGGAGCCAACCGTGCACATCAAAGAACACAACAACCTATCACGGGTTGTAAGCCGCCCCGAGGCTTTGGTGATGGGTGCAGGCAGGCAGGCAGAAATGAATGAATGAATGGGGACCAATCCACAATGGATGGTTGTGTTGTCTGAACTCAGTAACTGACAGTGTGGTGTAGCGTGAGACTGAGACTCAGGCAACCTGGGTTCTAATCCTTGCTTAGCCGGGGAGCCACCTGGGTGACTTGGGGCCAGTCACAGACTCTCACCCCAAACCATTTTGAGTTCTTAAAAATGGAGAAAGGAAAGTGCATGATACAATTCTAAAAAACAACTAGCCTCAAAATTAGAATTCTGATACTTGGAAGCCAGGCTGAGGTGGTTATATAGCCCTTTGGGACAAGAAAGAAAGAAAGTTAAAAGCCAGAGTAGGTACTTAGGTGCAAATATTTCACACCAATCCAGCAACTCCCAAATATAAACTTGATAGAATACAAACCACTGTAGACTTATTTTAGAATATAGGTAAACCATAACTGATCATCATCTAAATTCACCAGGCTAATGAGATACTTCGGAAAATAAGCCTATTAAGAATATACTGGAATCAGCAAGATACAGGTCTCTCAAGGGAGCACACGTCCTTTGCTACAAAATCTTGGGATGCCGGGAAGCACCACTTTCTGCTTCTGCATGGGACAGATGCTCCGTGTCCAAGTACATCTTCTGTTTGCCAGGGAATCTTAAAGTGGCTGCCCAGCAGCGAATATAAAGCACTTGCTTTCAGGAACCCTTGCAACCATTATCACTCTAACATTGTTATCAAAGAGGCAATACTGCCTAAGGCTTTTTAAGTGAATTTGCTGCAGAATGGGGAACTGTGTCACACTCTTAGCCATGGTGCACAAGCCTCTGCCCCAAGAGTCACTCAAAACAAGTTAATTTCAAGAGGGAATTTATTTAACACTATGCCCCCTCACACATTTCTCATCTTTCTCCAGCCTTTTACATATTTGTTTTCAGATGGGGGGGAAAAGACACACACACACACACACACACACACACACACAGTGGAAGAGCTCCCAGAACAATCATTTTGCTGCTCTACCCCCACTTCTGGTTTCTAGAGCCCCATGTTTTATTCAGAATCTCTCTGCTGGAGAGCAGCCTTCAAGGGAAACTCAGTTTGATACCTGCTATATAAACAATAGCAGTTTTCAAACCTGAAATAGGATTTTGAATTACACCGGACTAAATTCCCAAAAGAGGGCTTCGTATAATCCTGCTGAGAAGCACAATGTGCTTAGATTTGTGAAGCATTTACAAATCCTTGAAAAGAAACTTCTTTTAGAAAGCCACATACTTCAGCTCTTATTTTTGAATCCCTGAGTTTCTGCAGTTGTGCAAGTTTTCAAAACTTGCCTCAAATAGTTATTATGCTCTTCTAGATGTTCGTCTGTGCCTGTCTTCAGGTGTGCACTAATGTGTAATGCCAGTGCTTTGTGCACTAATCACAACTTCACACTTTGTTTGCCCATCACCACCAAACACAGCAGAAGTTGTCAGCAGGACAGGCCATCCCATCCCAATCCGAACTGTGTTGTGGGCGTGTCAGCAGCGTTCTGCACAAGCTACATTAAAAAAAACAAAAAACTAGTTTTATCAAGCTACAAAGAAAGCTGACCTGAGTGTGCCTAGGCACTTAGGCACAGCTAACAGAGTCTTTTCTTGGGGTACCCTCCCTCATACCATCATAAAAGTGCTTGCCAGCACCAATCTCCTGATGAAAAGACCAACGTGGTGGGCCCTGGACTCATTCCAGACAGCTCTACCTGTATCTCCTCAACAGCACAGATGTACTGGGGGATGTCCACAAGAGCAGAAACAGGGCCAAAGAGGCAAAAGTCACTAGCAGCTGGGCAAAATTAAGGGATGAGATCTAGGCAGACACAGTGGAGCAATGCTTAATAAAGCCCTACAATCTTTCAGTGGAAGACTGACAACATTAAACAATGGGGTCAATAGGAAGTAAGGGATGATAGCCATGAATGCAGCTTCGGGGGCTGCTTCCTCGCAAAGATTCAGCTCTTTTTAAAAAGTCTTGGGTTACCCTGGTCTTCCTCTTTTCCTTTCTCTGTAAAGCACTAGGATAGCCAGCTTCAAGTCCAACATAGAGCCAAGACCACAGGGGAAGGGAGCTCTTCAAGGAGGAAGTACTCCTCCAACTGCAAAACCCATCACAATTAATCCATCTTAGTTTAACGTTCTGCATTTCCACCAGACAAACTCAGGGGCATG